CGAGCGAAGCCAGCCGTTCTAACGAGGCAATATGCCGAAGACCCATCCTCAGGTCAAACCATAACTTCGGTACATCGTCATAAAGATGTGGTCCAAACAACTCCCCGTGAGGAGCATCCTTCGAAGATGGTTTCAAGCCAGCGTCACTCCCAGAGCCGTCCCGGGATGATGAGAGCGCCTTTATCAATTCTCGGCGAAGAGGTCGAGTCTGAATATGTCTCTGCTTTAGAAGCATATGAGGAATATGAACAAGTTCCCCCTTCTCCATGGTCGCAGTCTCCTGCACCATCTCCAGCCCCCCTGGCAAAACCGGATGAGAACCCGTTCTTCACCAATCCTGAAGTAGACGAAGATACCTTCGCTTCGAGTCCACCGCCTCACGACTATTCCGAGACCCAGCCTTTACAGGCCATTGGTGTTGACTCGTCAAAAACGGTGATTCATATACCACTACTGTATTCCCCCCCTTCGAAACCACCCGACCCGACGACGTTGCGATTTCCTGTTGCTATCATTTCCCTCCTAGCGCCCATCGTTCCCTACCCGTCAAATCTACGAGTTTCTCTAGCATATCTTATGCCCCACCTTACCACTTCGTTTTGCCTAGCACAGAAATACAGTCAGTTGGAGAAGCAGTTGTCAAACTCATCTGTTGGAAGGTATAGTCAGCTTCTAGGGCTTGGCGGCACCTTTTCCGATGAAGGAAGTGAACTCGAACTCGTTGCAGGGTTGACGGGCCAAGTCAATCCGCAGGGAGAGAACGCCTCTGCTGGTCGTTCTTCTATTTCAAGCCCTGCTGTTGCATCACACTTGCTGCGATCTGCCTCTGACTTTTCGACATCTGCTTTGGATCTTCCGAGTGGTGGATTACGAAAAGATATTTTCTTGAGTCCTGGACCACTGACACAAACCGGAGTAGAATCAACGGATAGCTACTTCAAGTCAAAGCGGCCCGGTCTCATCCGGAGTCAGCATTCTAAATGCTCACGCGATTCGAAACCCGGAGAAACCCCCTCGAGCCCATCCAGCCCTGCCCTACAGCAAGAAGGGGGATCAGGATATGACGAGCTCACACCGAGGGATACTTCATCTATCTCAGATCCTTCACAGGCGTACGGGATGCCATTTTCTCGCCACTCTTCCTCTACATCCATTGCCACCCAGCTACATCGTGATCTCCAATCCCGTCCTTTCTCGGATACAATAGCGCAGCTGATACTTAACTCCGTTCCCCTACATCTGTTTCTTGCTAAGTCCCCTACCGGCGAGGTGATTTGGACAAATACAAAGTTCGATACGTACAGAAGATACCCTCAAGGGCCACGAATAAAAGATCCGTTTCAAAATGTTCACAGCAGTGAATATAACAATGTGATAACCGAATGGACCAAAGCCCTGCGAACGGGATCTCAATTCACTGAACGGGTTCGAGTAAGACGCTTGAATGACGAAACATCTTATCGCTGGTTCATCTTCAGGGCCAATCCCTTAATATCCTCTACCGGAGAACTTCTCTACTGGATTGGCTCATTCCTTGACGTTCATGAGCAGCACATCGCCGAGCTGAAGACTGCACTAGAAAGAGAAACGTTTGCCACTGATGCAAAATACAGAGCTCTGGCCAATTCAATACCCCAGGTTGTATTCGAAGCTGCTGAGTATCGAGGTCTTATCTCAGCCAATCAACAGTGGGAGCTGTACACAGGCCAGTCTCTCGAAGAGGCTAAGAATTTGGGCTTTGCGAAGTATATCCATCGGGATGATCTCAAAAAATGCGGCATTATTACTCCACCTCAAGTTATTCCCGAGTTTACCAGTGCCACTGAATTTGGCCGAATTCTGTCAGATGCTCATATGTCTCAGCCGCCTAAGCCAGAGCGATCATCAGAAGATTCTACTTCATCACCGAGGGCCCAAGTTCACGGTGGTGATCTGTCGAGTGAAGGATCTCGCTTCAGTCGGGGCGTGACTGAAGCACTTCAAGACCTAGTTCAAAAAGGTGTTGTTACAATACAATGTGATGAAAACGGGCGCCATTCATATTCTACTGAAATCCGATTCCGGTCGAGGAAGGGAGACTTCCGCTGGCACCTCGTAAGGCTTGTCAAGGTCGAAACAACCGATTTTGGAAACGGAGAGGCGTCATGGTACGGCACATGCACCGACATAAATGATCGGAAGATACTCGAAAAGGAGTTAAACATGGCAATGCAGAAGTTGAATCGTGAGATGGAGTCAAAAACTAAGTTCTTTACAAATATGTCCCATGAGATCCGAACACCGCTGAATGGAATTCTGGGCACAATACCATTCATTCTTGACACGAATCTGGATTCTGACCAGCGACGCATGCTTGAGACGATCCAAAACAGTTCGACCAACCTACGCGAACTTGTGGATAACATATTGGACGTGTCGAAGGTGGAAGCAGGAAAAATGAATATTCTTCGGCAGTGGTTCCACGTCCGCTCTACGCTTGAAGATTCTATCGACACCATTGCGTCGAGAGCTATTGATAAGGGCTTAGAGCTAAATTATGTCTTCGAGCCTGATGTACCTTCAATGGTTTTCGGGGACAGGTTCCGGATCCGCCAGATTCTTATCAATCTCATTGGTAATGCGGTCAAGTTCACCTCTCAAGGCGAAATTTTTATTCGCTGTTCGATTCACCACGATCCAGAGAGCAAACTTGAGAAGTCGGAGTTCCTGATCAACTTCGAGGTGATTGATACGGGCAAGGGTTTTAGTGCTAGGGATGCTCAGCAATTGATGCAGAGATTCAGCCAAATTGAAAACGATGACGCACCACAACATGCAGGAAGTGGCCTAGGCCTCTTCTTATCAAAACAAATTGCCGAGATGCATGGCGGTCGTCTAACGCCGACAAGTATGGAAGGCCGAGGCGCTAAGTTCTCTTTCTATGTCAAAGTCAGTGCCGCTCCTACACAAGCACCTCAGACGTTAGAATCTATCGAAAAGAAAATATCTACTCGGGTTTCTGCAGACGCCGCTGTCGAAAGCTCGACGGCTAGTCAAATCTCTTCCAGTGCGCAGTCAGAAATCAGCCCCGAGTCAGCGAACTCGGGTAGCTTCCTTTCTACGCGTTCTGGATCAGCTAGCACGCCTACATCCGGTCTATCCACCAGGCACAAACCAGTACAATTCAGTTCCGCAGTACATGATGCGTACGCTGCAAAAATGAATAGTCAAGGTTCTCCATTGGTGCCCGCTTCAAGGCCAGGAACGACTGAGGAGGCGAAGAAGAGCGATACCTCCGAAAGACCTCCGCACCCGTCGACCTATTCTGTGTTGATAATATGTCCATTCGATTATGCGCGCGAGGCTATTAAGCAACATATTGAACAGGTCGTCCCTCTCGATGTTCCAGTTAACGTAACTTCAATCCTTGACTTAGACGATTGGAAAGAGCTGATTAACAATAACGAACGTCCTATTTTTACTCACCTCGTGTTGAATTTACCGGATGTCGATGACATAAAAGAAATTATGCGGAATGTGCTCCAATTCGAAGCGGCTCGATCGCCTACCGTCGTCATTGCCGCCGATGCATACATGAAACGTGGGCTAAGCGACTTTATCTCAGAGTTTGTATCTGCAGGGAGGAAAGGTTTCATTCTGCCTAAACCGCTGAAACCTTCGACATTCTCGGCAATTTTTGATCCTCTCAGCAAGCGTGAGCTCAGCAAGGATAGGAATCAAGCCACGGCTAGAGCGATGGACGATAGCTTCAAGACTATGTCAAAGATAGTCAAGGAGATGATCGGTAACAAGGGCCATCGGGTTTTGCTTGTGGAAGATGATGAAACGAATCGAGCTGTAAGCCATCATCCCCTCCCGCTAACGGAAACTCGTGCTAAAATATCCGTTTTAGGTTATGTTGAAATATCTAGAAAAAGTTAAACTCAGATCTGAGGTTGCTGGAAATGGCCAAGAGTGCATCGATATGGTATTCTCCAAAGAACCAGGATATTACTCACTCATCATTGTAAGTCAAATATTACCAAGCTAGGTTTGCACGCTTGAAATCCCTTGTTAACAAGCGTTTGATGCTGTAGTGCGACATTCAGATGCCTGTCAAGGATGGCTATGAAACTTGTCGCGAAATCCGGTCTTGGGAGGCAAAAAATCATTTCCCTCAAATTCCTATCATGGCTCTTTCAGCAAATGCCATGACAGACCAAATTGATGATGCTGCGCGTGCAGGATTCAATGACTATGTCACAAAACCCATTAAACACAACGAACTTGGTCAAATGATGATGGCACTCCTTGAACCACAGGCTACCCGAATTCTGCTTGAAGGTCGAAGGGGATAAAGTCTGATCAATTCGCTGGCAATCTCGATTCCACTTTTACAATCCATCAATCTTATTATGTCTTTCTGGTTTGTTTTACTCTTGATTCCTGGACACTTTTTTCATTCTCTGTCTCTGGTGCATTCAATAGGTGTTGTGTGGTTAGTATAAACGATGGGAGGCATGGGTGACGGAAATGGCAAAAGAGAAAACACGGCATGCAATGTGTACTCACTGGCGCAGGTCTGGTTCTCTCATCAGGGTGGGCAGTTTGCTTTCTTCCGTCTACTTTTAACGTTGATACATGCAGCGAATACCCCCAACATGCGATGAGAAATGCATGGTTGCGGGTTTCTATGAATTTTCTTTTGCTGCATTTTGTGCATGAGCCTTTGGGCCTTAGACATGACTGACTCTGCAAGCAATGGTTAATATATCCCACCTGTTGAGTCCTGATCTTTTGCTTTCACAATTAGTTGCAGTCACTGGTTCTGCTCCTTGCTTTTCATTGTTATTTCAGTCACCTTTTTTTCCTTTTGAAATTTCTGGTATGAATTGGTATCTATGAACAGTTTGTTCTCTTCTGAAAATTATGTAACTATAGTATTATATTTTTCATCAACACAACAGCTCCCGGGATGAATGCGTAACCATGTCCATCCACTAAATCCAGCAGCATGCTTGTCAATGCAGGCTTCTCCGGCCAAACGCTCGGAATCTCTTGACTCCACCATCGGGGATGAGGGTCAGCTTTAGATGGGTAAATCCAACCACGTTTCTCATAACGGGAGCAAGATCTTCTCCTTCAAAAACATGTTCCGTGTCAGCCTTGCACGGACGATCTCCGTCGATTATCTCGATCCAGCCTGGTTGATTGTGAGCAGGATCCTCGTCCGCTCCATCAGCAGCGGTATACATCATGCCGTGAACTCGCACCGCACGAGGAAAATTGCCCCTAAAGTCCTTCGTGTCCACGACGATCCTTTCCACGGAGCCAGAAAGACCAAGTCTGACGATAGCCCAATCGACATGTCCCGGATCTCTGGAGCGTGCAGTCTCCCATCCATCCCCCATATTGACTCCCCTGCCGGGTAGCAGGAGGTTAGAAGCAGGTGTAAAGTGTTGGTCACTAACTGAAGTCACTACGGCACCAAAAAGCGCTGACGAGAGCTCTTCAAGGGGCAATACGCTCCGGTCCGAGGTATTTCTGAGGGCGGGCGGCAACGACGGCGCAACCGCATGGCCGTATAGGCGGAGTCTCGCGAAGCCACCGTCCGGATACATCCGCACACGCACATGTGTAAGTGGAGCTGAGGGTGTCTTCAACGCCCAGGCGTGACGTCTCGATGGCCCACAGTGCTGGATGGGCAGAATCGTACTCCAGCCCTGGTACCCCGGGCTTGTGACGGGATGCTCGTCGCCCTGTCCGGTTTCACCAGATATATACGTTCCCTCGACGAGAACGCTCTCACCATAGTTGCCTACGAAGTGCGCGGTGTCGATCTCCACACCTTCGACGATGCCGCTTCCGACGCCTAGCTGGATGACTGCCCAGTCGAACGGCTGGGGATTGTGCCGTCTGGTTTCCCAGCCGTCGTACCAGGCTCCGGTATGCACGAAGACTCCTGGGCGGTGGATTGGCGGAGTAGGAGTGAGAAGGTTGGATGCAGCGGCGAAGTATTCATCGCTGCAGGAAAGGACTTTGGATTCCAGAGTGGAGGAAGCGAGATTGGTCGTCTTTGAAAATTGCTTGTCTATATGCTGAGGAGAGATGGGAATAATGTTGGCTTTGGTAATGGTCTCCATAGTTCGATTTCTCTACGAGCTTACAGAGAAAAGCTAAAGACAAGAATATAGCGCTCTTTTGTCTGAGGATCGAGCTGGACTGAATAGTTTATTGTACAAGCCTTGATCAGGATTTCGGCAGCTATATATAGTCAGCCATTCCGCCAGAACTAAACAATGGCAAAGTTAATTGCGGGCTGGAACGGCGTTCGGAGTCTGCCGATGAAACTCTCGGGAGATCTTAAAACTAATGAGGTAGCGTCCTGTGTGACTCGAAGTCGGTTGATAAAACACTGCGAAATTGCCGTTCTAGGTCTACCGATGAAGTGAGATGTAAAGAAAGGAGGGGAAGATGAAGAAACACCAAATAGTTAGTTAATATCGTCCGGGATTCATCGGCCGGAGCGATCTTCTCCTGTACCGGGAGAGGCGGTTGTCATTCATTCGGATGGATGACGATCAGGAGTGACATCATTCGTCCTCCGTGTCACCGCCGCCACACAAGTACCTGGTGATTGGCAATCGCGGCGTGCTCATTGCTGGCCAGATGCCCATGCAGAATTGGAGGCATTATTAAAACCTTTACAGTGATGCTCGGTCGGATGTGATGATATCAACGGGAGCAAGCGTTGTAATTTGAAGACAAGCCCTGTCGATTGCACCATATAACTACGTGCTCCGTAGATTCGACTCGCTACAGCCGGTAGCCAGTGAACTTCACCAGTCCAGGTCCCCATCGAAGCATGTACCCCATACGCTCCGCATCACCCCCCTTTTGACTATTGAATTCGTCCAATTGCTGTTTTAGGAGGAACTGCACTACTTTTCGATCAGCTCGTGGTAACACATCCACACTGCAATGAAAGATGGCTTCAGCTACTGGAATTCCCGAAGCGCGGCCGGCCTCTATTCATGAGAACGGAGAGGAAGAACCGCTGCTTGGACGTCCGGGCGACGTGACCCAGAAGGAGAATCAGAGCATTTTAATAAACCTGGTTACAGGTATGGATCCGCCTTTTGACGTGGGGGAAGGCGAAAATCGTGCTGTTCTCACGTCCTCTTATCATAGGCACTGCTCCGATTGCACAGGCCGGGATACTGATTGTACGTCTCTGGACCCGAAACTCACTGGGATTCCCGCTCACGTATGCTGATGGCAGGTTGCTGCCCTTGTTTGGTCTGCTATATTCTCAAACGAGCTCATCTTCTTCTCTCCTCACCCGGTACGTCTCGGCATGATGATTCGCCGGCAGAAGCACCACTAACTCTGTCGTCCCTCGATCGATAGCTTCTTAATTCCACCGGAGTGCTCCTTACCACGCAAGCAATCCTTCTCCTCCAGCCGACACACACTCCTTCGCAGAAAAGGCAGGGAACATTGACTCACTTTGGCGTAATCGTTGCCTCCAATCTCACCTTTGTCGCTGCCTTCACTATCATCGAGATCAATAAAGCCTCTCACCCGGAAACCCGCTTCACCTCCGTCCATGCGATCATGGGATTGATCACGTACATCCTTATCGTATTGCAAGCAGCTGTCGGAGCAGCTCAGTATTTCTTCCCCGCACAGGTCTTCGGAAGCATCGACAACGGGAAGCGGGTGTACAAGTGGCACCGGCTCTTCGGCTATGCTCTCCTCGTCATGGAGCTCGCCACGATTGCGGCAGCGACACAGACGGACTATAACAAGACCGTGTTGCACATCCGCCTTTGGGCCGTGTTGCTCGCATCAGTCCTGGTGATTGCGGGAATCTACGCTCGAATCAAAAAGCAAAAGATGCCTCTTTTCAAGCGCCAGAGACCAAGAGAACGGTCAGATTAGTCAATGGTGGATCGGAACTCTGTGTTTCTCTTCATTTCGGACCAGTTCGGTTCCTTTCAGCGCGATATTATCAGTGTCTCCGAAGAATGGCCGTGGGGCGACGGTGGTAATAAGTGGAAAGGTGAAACATACAGAAAGTATCTATTTACCATCAATTGTCAGGAAAAGTAATTTTTGGAAGTAAAAGTTTTTAAGAAAAAACTAGTCATTTATGCCATTTCTGCTGTGTATCGACTGAGAGCGGGAAAAGCAGTTTTTGTAGAGCGGCTTTTTGTATCGAGCTGTGGAGATACATAAATGCGTCTTTGGCTGAGCACAAGAGCAATCAAAAAAAAACTTCACGATCTCAGAAGCCGAAACAGCACATTAAACCCTGCAAAAGCGTGGCAACGAATATCAAATCCATGACAGCACCATATATCTGCCTAAACTGCTGGCGAACATGTCTGCGAGCCTTGCAATTCCGCCGTCCATTCTCTTCCTGTCCTCGCATCCTTCATGACTCCAATTCCTCCGCCATTACCCGTCCACCAACTGGGCCCAAACCGGTTCCCAACGTCAAGCACATTCGCGAAAACGCCGAGCTCTACTCCCAAAACTGCATTGACCGAAACTACAGATCCCTCTCCGAGTATCCCTCCCGAATCAAAACCCTCGCGGACGAAGCCGCCCAGCTGCAACGATCCCTCAACGCTCCACGATCAAAAATAAAACAGGTTCAAAGAGCCATTGCGAAGCTAGCTACGTCGTCCACTGAGGGAAAAGGCAAAGCTTCGGGTAAAAATGAAGAGTTGGACGCGTTGCACCTGGAGGCGAAACAGCTCAAACATGCGTCGCAGTCGATGACCGACCGGAGGGAGAAATGCCTTGAGGAAGTACAACAGCTTGCACTCTCGCTGCCCAACCTCACCTCGAAAGAGACTCCGCGTGGAGACATTCCCCGCGTAGTTAATTATATCAATTACGACCCGCGATCTCCTCCCGGGTTCGTTTCCTCACCTGAACCAACGCGGAACCACGTTTCTATCGGCACCTCTCTTGGGTTGTTGGACTTTACCAGCTCCGCGACCTCGACGGGATGGGGGTGGTACTATCTTACGAACGAAGGGGCACTACTCGAGCAGGCTTTGGTTCAATACGCGCTCAGTGTCGCCATGCGTCGAGGCTGGAAACCTGTTTCTCCGCCCACACTGGTCTACTCGTATATCGCCGAGGCATGTGGTTTCCAGCCACGCGATGTGAACAATGAACAGCAGATCTGGTCAATTGAGCAGAATGAGAAGGATAAGAGCAAACCACAGAGGTGTCTAACGGGTACAGCGGAGATCCCTCTAGCCGCAATGTATGCCGGCCAGGAGATCCCGGCCGACAAACTCCCCCTAAAATTCATCGGCATAAGCCGATGTTATCGTGCCGAAGCGGGCGCCCGAGGCGTTGACACAAAGGGCCTGTACCGGGTGCATGAATTTACCAAAGTCGAACTCTTCGGCTGGGCCGACGACATCCCAGAAGCCAACTCCAAGAGCGCAACAACCACTACCACCACCACCACCACATCCTCCTCCTCCTCCTCCACCCTCTTCTCCGAAATGCTCTCCATCCAAACCGAGATCCTCTCATCCTTAAACCTGCCCTGTCGCATCCTCGAAATGCCCACCGCAGACCTCGGCGCCAGCGCTGCCCGAAAACAAGATATCGAAACTCTCTTCCCATCCCGCCTGCACCACACCCTTACACAACAACCATCCCAAGCTGAGCCCTTTGACCACAATGGCTGGGGAGAAGTAACTTCTGCCTCCATATGCACCGACTACCAGAGCCGTCGGCTCGGAACGCGCGTGCGCACGGGTGCAGCGGCTAGGTTTCCCCATACGGTTAACGGCACGGCGGTAGCGGTGCCAAGGGTCCTGGCTGCTATTTTAGAGAACGGGTGGGATGAAAAGCGGGGTGTGGTGATTGTGCCCGAGGTTCTGAGGAACTGGATGGGTGGTATTGAGACGATTGGGGGAAGAGAAGGCATGGTGGAGTGAGATGCGTGAAAGCCGTGCGGATCGTAAGAATATGTAGGATAGAATAGAAGAGTATGTATGGACTCACATTTGCCTATAAATACCGACAATGGTATAATGTGACAGTGATTGAAAGTCCAATCAATGTTATCTCGAGCAAATTAGATCTCTGAGTTAGGCTAAAGGTGCAGAGCAAAAGAGCCTGATCTCAGGATTTTCCAATGTCTTGTTGAAAACACCTCTTTTCTGTTCGAGACCGCATGACTGTATTTTTTCCAAGTTCTTCTTGGTGATGAAAAATCCTAGTTGACAACATGGTGCAAGGTAGACAACCTGAAAAATTATCCGGAATATCTTATTTCAGCCAACTAGGTAGAAATCATGACAGGAATTAGTACACGAGAAGGGCTTATTAAATAAATAAAGCTAAATGGTAAAAAGGCAGTCATCTCACTAGGCGTCCAAGATAAGCATGGGTTGCATGCAATCATCACCAGACACATATCAACAACTCCTAAAAGCCAGGGAGCATTGCGATTCAACACTCCTAAAGAACTCACTTTTAGGTTATTCAAAAGAATAGGGAAAGAAGTACAAATGGGGATATCAGAGAAGTAAGAGAAACAAAGAAGAGCAGATACAAATCACAAAACAAGTACGTAGTCGTCATTTCAAGTCATAAGATTCATGAATGTTTCGCATAAAATGGCCAAACCATCATCCTCACGGAGCAGAATAGAGGGGAAAAACACCAAAAATGATGTCCTATAATATGGCGGAGGCACTCATAGGTTATATATACCAGCATGTCTTTCGTCAATCCGAATCGCGTTTCTAATCAAAAGCAGCCTCCCGCCGATCGAGGCAGCGTGGCGGCATTGAAAAAAAAAAAAAAAAAAAAAAAAAAAAAAAAAAAAAAGAAAGAAAAAGGGTATCCCAAAAGGGGGGCAAAAAAGAAGAGAGCTGTGGCTTTAATCCCATGGGAAATCAGCTTGTTCGACTCTCGTGCACGTCAAGTAAGGTAAAAGCGAGCCATGGGAAGAGGAATCGTCATCGCTGCCGCCTCTCAAATCCAGTTCGAGGAAGTTCCGCATCAAGGGTTTCACTATCTCCCTGGCAAGCCGCTTAATCTCGTCCATCTTCCGCTCAAAACGCTTGAAATTCTCGCGCGAGTAGAGAGAGTCAGATGACGGGTGCAGTTTAAGGAAGCGTTTGAGTTCGTCATGTGGGAGGTAAGCCTGGGAGTTAGATGAGCCGAGCAGGCGATAAGTGCGGCCGATGGAGAATGGCGGCGGTGCAGGGCGGTTGGCAGTGCCACCACCGGCAGGCGTATTGGTTGCGGAATTGTTCTGGCGACTGGTAGGATTGGAGCCTGTTGAGCCAGAGCTGTGGATGTTGCGGGTTTGCTGAGAGGACGAGTTCTTCAATATCGACGCAGGTGGCGGAGTGGTGTTTTCGACCAGGAATTGGCGGAACAACGAGACGGCCAGCCAATCCAAGTACGCGTTGTTGGGGCTAACGCGTTCACCCCTGGATGTGGTCAGGGTAAGGCGGAAGAGTTTGCCTTCTGTTCGCGCAATCATGTCCTCCAGGTCGTCGACTTTATCCTCAATCAGATCTAAAACTGGATCGGGAAGTGGAGCATAGGAATTGGGGCCAAGGTACGGCAGCGCCGCCGGCCATTGACCGACGACGTGGATAAGGGCCTCTGCGAAGATGACCCGACTACGCGCCAGGTAACCAAGCTTAAGGTAGCTTGGTGGGTATTTCGCGATCTGTTTATATAACCGCGAGGAGAATCGTAACAGATGGTGATCGACACGGGGACCGACCACGGGAAGGGCGTCGTACATGTCCGCCAGGGTAAGCAGCGACTTGCATTCGGAATAAGCAGACGCGATGTTGACAGAATTGAGAAGAGGAGAATGGTTGTAGAAGATGCGGAACAGATTATCGTAATCACGTATCGTCGGGTCGACCGGAGGCTCCTCTACGGTCAACGTGCTTGGAAGATGGAGAGCGGACTGGATGCCAGTCAGATTCGCCATCGTTCGAAAGAAGCCCTGCTGGGGCGGTGGAGGTTTATTTCTTGCCGGAGGCGGCTGTTGCGGTCTGGTTTCGCCGAATACAGCATTGCTCGCGGTGGGAGGCTTTCAGCAGGTCAGTTAATAGAATTCCCCATCAAGAGACATGCGATCTTGATCGCAAAAACACCACCAACCTTCTGCACGAGAATTGGCATCTCATCCTGCTCCCTATTCTCCCAATCCAATTCATACCTCCAGCGATTCTTCTTTGGGGCGCTAGGGGGCGAAGCACGCGACTCCTGATCACTCTCCTGGATGGCCTCCAGCCCGTCGGGGACGTTCCCCGGCAGAGGTCCAACTGAGCTCGTAGAGACGGCAGCTTCGCGCTGGGCCTGCACCCCGGACCATTCCTCGCTGGTATCGGCCTCGAAGAAGCCGGAGTTCTGCGCCAATATCAGCCTGTGCAGCAGGTACTTCCTCTCCTGATTCGACGCCCGGATGACAAGCTCCACGTCGCCGGTGACGGAGAAGATGGGGAACTCGTTGAGAGGCTGGTTGGAGGAGCCGCCGTGGTGCGAGCGGCCTCCACTGAAGCGACGGCGGTGCTGGAGATGAGGATAGCGAGCGGAGGTCAGGGACGGGTCAGCGCGGACGGTTCTGGCACGGCCCGCGGCCTCAGGGTGGGAAACCATGGGCGCGGTCGCGGGGAGTTCCGTGGATTGCTGAGGACGCGATGTCATGTTATTGCGGAGGGGATTGGAACATGGTCAAGCTTGCACGCTAAGCGACTGAAAGAGTGGGATTAAGCGCTGGCTTGCGAGGCCGCGAAGAGAGTCGAGAGGTCGGGCTGAGCGGGCTTGACGCGTTGCTCAGGTCGTCCAGAGCATAATAAATCACCTACATACAGGGGGAGGAAACGGAGATCAGGCTGCGCGTGGTCTATGTGTCTGTGTGTCTTGTCGATCTGTTGGGGGATGCTTTGAACGTCGTCGAGCGCCTGAAGCGAGTTCAAAACAACCCGAAAAAAGACAACTTCAAGGAAAACAAGACATGAAACACCGGGCTCTTCGCCGGAGGGGGTCAAGAAAAAAAAAGAAAAGGGGCGGATCCTCCAAGCTTCCCACGAGATATAACGACACAAGACTCGTGAAAGGGTGAGTACTTTTGCAGAAGTGCAAATCCCACAATGGCCGTAAGTTCTGCCCTGGATGTCGCTTTCTCTCCGGCTGCTGAGCCTTGCGCCAAGATGGACGAAGAAGAGACCGCCGTCGCCGTGCTCGCTCGCCAATCACCGCTGCAGCGACGCCGAAGGATACACTCTGCAATCCTTGCCACCCTGCTGCGAAGCTGAGGGCGTGTGGCGACCCTCGCTGCACATCGTACGTGCTGTCCTCTCAACTGGCGCCATTGCCGCCCCGTTTCTCCTGCAAGCTATCATGCTTGACACTCACACTGGCCGGCGAACTGCTGTGAGGTTTGTGCCACCCACGCCCGTCCGCCCGGACCTGCGCGCTCAATGACCATGATGGATCAAATTATGTATTATACTATACATGCATCCTTACATCTACACTGTTTTCAAAAAAAAGAAAAAAAAAGAAAAAAAAAAAAAAACATAGAGAACTGCATCGCCGTTCGTTCGCTCGCTTTGCAGAGCATACGGGGAAAAAAGCCCCAACGCAGGACACCCGGTCAGAGGCCCTTGCGGAAACCTGCGGCACAGCAAAAGGACAGAAAATTCCTTCAGCGGACGGCACAGCGCTCGTATGGTGTCCGTCCAGACCGCACGCGACGCCGCTTGACGTTAGAGTAAACCGTGGAGCAGAGCCTCATCGGGACGACGCTCTTCATGGATAAATGTTTTCTTCCATTAATTTCTTTCTGATCCTCGGTAAGGCACCATCAAATCACCAGCCGAATGCGTGAAGCGTAACTCGAGATCCGAGTTGAGGCCGGGGTGATCCGCGAGAAAATCTTGAGCGGCGTACGGAGTATCTGTCCGATCGGCGAGGTAATATTTTTGTCATTTAAGTATTACTGAGTCACTCAATAGGTCGTCAATGCTTCCCCATAATTATCAGGCCCCTTATGGATGGATGGATTTTATATGGTAACACCAGAGTAAAATGAGAAGACATCTTGAAGAAACAGCTTCAATTCCACCTCTAGGACAGTAGGGAAATCGGGGATAGAACAAAGGAAGGATTGGTTTTGGGGGGAATCATCATGCATATACACCAGTCGCTCTAATCAACAAACCTTCTTCAGACGAAATAATGTAAATTGCGCAGACGCAAAGCGATTAAAATGTATCGCAGACGAACTGGATGTAGAAAAATGCTGTATGCCTGCCTTGAACCCGATAATCTGCCCAACTAGACGTCAAAGAAAAAAAGGGGGGGGAAGGGGAAGCCAGGCCCGCACCGTGTTAAAAAACCGGCCAGCCCGCCTTAAGCCCGGAGAACGTTAGATCATGGATTCTGTCAAAGCATGGTGCGGTGCGTGTGAATAGCGGGGAGGAATACCGCAAAGCTACTATACTGGAAAAGGGGGAGGAAAAAGAAGGAGGAAAATGGAGACAACTGAATGCAAAAACACATATAAATGATAAAACTAAGTCCTGGGGGGAGGGAAAAATAAGATATCAGGCTCAATATGCACAATGCGAAAATTTGGAGGAATGGGGATGATATAATCATATGCTAATGGCGAGAGAGCTACGCAATGAAACTGGATCACGGAAATCGCAAAGAGAAACTGTGCCAAACCAGGGGTTTTTCACATGCAGAACGCTTCGACGGCATTAGCCAGTGTAGGTCATCTCTCGTAGCCCGAGGGCGGAAATGTCGACTTAACAGCAAATGGAAATGAATATGTCGTTTGATGTGAGAAAGGTAAAGACCGTGGCGTGAGAGGTTTTGAGGTCAATGCGAGAGATCAAGGGAGCTTTCCCCAAACGCCGTTAATGCAGAGTATATCCAGAGAGAGCTCGGTGCAGTGCATGACCTAGGGGCCAAGGTCATATCGTGGTTGTCAAGGCCCAGTGTCGTTCTAGAAAACGGCCGAGAGACCGTTCTTTGAATGTCGGCGACTGAAACGCTTCTTAGCTTTGACTGAATCGGAATCTGTAGGGCCTTGGTTTTTCGTAAGTTGCCCTCTTCCTCCGGAAATTTCTTCTGACCGGTCCAATGTGTTAGCGTGGCTCGAAACCCCTGAAGACAAATCCCTAAAACCTTCATCACCCATATAAGATCCTGTTCTGGGGTTTAACGCGCCCATCTCTCTCGATCGATCCAGTGTTTCCATCCATTCCTGCGTGGAAAGAGCAGACGTGTTCGTTTCGGCGGAAGAAGACTTTACTTCTTCAAAGACGAGATGTTTGTCTCGCTAGGGAAAAAGAACCAGCACGTCAGTAAAACTCCAGTAGATAAATAAAATGTCGAGTGTAGGGCTTTTCATACCGTATCAATTATCCATGACGAATGCCCCTTTAGATCTGTCGAGCTTCGATAATGAGTGTCCGATTGCAGGAGAGATACTTCTAGTTTTGCTTTCTTTTCATCTCCACCGGAAGGCACAATTATCACACGCCCTGCGGAAGTCGCTATAACTAAACGCTGGCGCTTTTTAGTCGTAGCACCACCGAAGAATCGAGAGAGCTTCTTGGGAGCGTCGCTGTCCCCGTTTCCATGCCTATTCTGGGATCGATGAGGAGCAGGCGATGACGAAACGGTCAGGTTTCCCATCTTTAATATGCGCTCATTTGGTCGTGTTAGCACTGGAGACCATTCGATATCAAGTTGCGATGGAGGGGGTAATTCGGTGATAACCCGCGGGTAGGGTCTATTGTTTTGCGACTGGGCGGTATTGATATTTGGGGGGAAGCTGTCGTCATTCGTATTTCCATTGAGCTTGATAGGTTCGGGAGGTGGTGGCACATACGGCTTTAAACGAGGCGGCTTCTGTTTCCAAAGGCCTCGACCCCAGGTAATACCTTTGAAGAATTCATGGTTCTTGATGTGCTCGATTGGGAGTCTTCGAGTGGGATCAGCAACGAGAAGTCTCTCCACTAGATCTCGGGCGACGGGCGGGAAACCCTTCGGAAATTCGTAGTCCAGATTGACGATCTTCTGGAATGTCAGGTATTCGTTGACTGCCTTGAATGGTGGCCTTCCTGCCAACAACTGATATATGATGCAACCAAATGCCCATAGGTCGCTAGCTTTACAGGCATTTTTCTCAGTAAGGAGCTCTGGGCTGACATATTCTGCCGTTCCAACAAATGAGTTAGCTCTGTCTCGGCCAGACATATCTGAATCAAGGATGCCTCCAGAACCCTCATCTGGTCGTTGCGGAGGGTCCAAGATTTTAGCAGTGCCAAAGTCTGTAATCTTGACATGCATCTGGCTGTCCAATAGTACGTTTTCCGGTTTCAAGTCACGATGAATGATTCTACGCTTGTGCATGTAATCGATGGCATCTAGAATTTCCGCACCATAGAATCTGGTGCACTCCTCGTCAAAGGTTCCTATTCGTTTGAGGAAGTTCAAGAGTTCACCACCCAGGGCTAGATCGAGAACAAAGTAAAGGGAGTTTTCATCCTGAAAAGTGTAGTATAGTCGAACCACTCCCGGATGTTCGGTAAGTCTGTTTAGGGTGTCCTTCTCAATATTGACATATTTAACTTTCTTTTCTTTGATGATGTGACGCTTATCAAGTATCTTGATGGCGTACTCCTTCAGGGTTTGGCGGTCTGTTCCAGCCACAACAGTGCTATAAGAGCCTTCTCCGAGAGTTCGGCCAAATTGGAAATCCCTGACGCCCTTCCTAACAGTCTTTGAGACGGGTTTGCCGTTCGCGTCGATTTCTTGACGTACAGCGACGGCAGAGCCACGCTCCTGCCAGTCTCCAGAACTGTGTGTAGGCCGGTTTTCCGGGTTATACTGAGAGCCTGAACGATGAGGCTTGGAATTGTTGTGCACCGCACGTGAGCTCCTCCTGGGTGGTAACGCGGCATTCTCGCCATAATGTTGGGGCTCTTTGTACGACCTGTCACTATGGGTTGTGTCTCGAATAGGAACGCCAGCTTGCAACATAGCTGACCGGCTGCGGGAGTCACTTCTCGAGGGAAAATCCGGGGCAGGGGAAGACGGTTCCGTGCGAATGCGGTATGAGTCACCTCTGCTGATTGGCGATGTATTACCGTTCGTCGACGGTGGTAAGTAAGTCGATAGTGGCCTCACAGAAGTAGCAGGGGGATTGTCTGGAAGTTGATGTGGAGTGGGTGGCTTTTGTGAAGGTGCATATTGCTGGTCCTGGGGCTGGGGGTGCATGGGCATCGACGGTGTGTTCGACGGTGACGAAGACGCCACATTGCTCGAAACATTCACTTTCCGGAGGTGTTCTTATCAGCTGGAGTCATCACAGATTAGGGAGGGGAACATTTATGAAACACAATCACCATACCGTCGTTTTCCCGTTTCGCCTCTGCCGGTGGAAGAGGGGCGGAGCTTGAACGTTCATCTAGACCTCCAGGGGGCACATCATCGGGGTTAGCGATGCGCAAGCCACCAAAGGACTGCGAAAGACTGAGATCTCCGTCCATGGCAAGCTCGAAGGATTAATATAGGATGAGAGGAAGGATGTAGGTTTTGGTGAAAGTAAATGTTGAAACGGAAAGGTAGCTGAGTCGGGAGGGAGGGAGGTCGGGATTGTAAGTGAGTGGTAAGCGAAAGAGAAGCTAGGCGTCTGAGGATACAATTTAAACACTGGTCAACTCAAGGGCGAGTAAGAGGCATGGCTGGCGGAGACGTGCACGAAGGGCGGATGGAGGGTAGTCGAGCCGGGAGCCCCTAAGAGGAGCTCTTCCAACGGGGAATGTTGATCGGCAAAATTGGTTGGGCAGGGATGTTGCAGGCAACACAAAAGAGCAAGATGTGAAGATGAACGCCACGAGTCAGAGACTAGGCGAGTGGTGAGGGAGAGGAAGAGGAGAGCGACGACGACAACGACGACGACGGCGGCGGAGAGTTGGGGGTGAGGCGATCGCAGTCAACGATCTAGGGACGGGAGGGAGGACTCTCCACGAACTAGAAGGTAGATATGGTGAATTCCGAAGGCGAGCGCCCCCAGAGGACAACCTGCTCTGGTGGACAGGAAGCCAGCACGATTGGCACTCGGTCAGGCAGGATCTGAACTGGGCTTCATGACCGTTCGTCGTCGCTGTGATTGTGGTAGTAATAGTGGTGGTTGTGGTGGTGGTGGCAGAGGAGGATGGATTGCTCTCCTGTTTGCATCCGGTGAAAGTACCAATGCGTCAAGCCTGGTGGGTTGTCATGGTGTATCAGTACTGTAATGAACGCTGTATCTTTCAGACCTGCACCGTCATTCACCACATCATGCACACCTCACTCCCACGTCACTTCCGTAGCCGGACTGTACGGCCCTTACCGGTACGGTATCTGGTACTGCTTACTCAGCATGAGCCACCCCAGACGTCAAAGTCACTCCTGCAACCAACCAAACAAGCCGCCGTGACAAGCCACATCGTCACGTCTCGCCGGAAGAAGTCGAGAAGTGAAGAACGGCCATTCTGCCATCCTTACATTGGCCATCTGCTTGCCGGACAGGTAGGGGACCGAGAGAGTGGTGATACCGAGTCATCGACTAGCCCTTGGCGGCATCTATTTCAATCGCCATCCGTGTGCGGCCAACCGCGCCTCCTACCTCCACAAAGTATGTCCTCCGTATTGTACAACATTCTGAATCTTCCTTGGTCTTAGGTTGCCTGAAAGTTTATCAAAAAGAAACAATGTCTTTCGAGCCCCTGTTGGAAAGTCTGGTTCAATTTTGCCATTCTGGGGTGCCGTATGGAGCATTTCCAAGGAGTTTTCTCCGGCCCTGTCGTGGAAGCTATCAATCGTGCCTGGAGACCGGGTCAGTTGGTTCTGAAAGTCAAATTGACATCGCCTTGTTAAAATACCTAGCCTCAGCGTCTTTTGCTTGACGAGACCGTTGTATCGCCTTAATCCGATCTCTCATTCCTGGGCCCCGAGAAACAGAACCCAGCCCAGCTATGAGCCAAGGAATACCGATTATTACTGAGGACCTTCGCGAAAACATGCTCGTATCTTTTGCATGGCTCTCGTGCAGCGGGTTTCCGTCCTGGCCAAACAGTACAGTGCCACAGCATGATCAGTTCTAAGCTCTTGCACGCAGCGGAAATACATTTAATATCCCAATGGCCTCCAAGAACCTTGCTGCTTACAGCTTACCCCTTTGGGCTTGCATACCTAAAAGCCATTCAACACCAGCCAGTCCTCCTATTGATATACATATTTATACAGCGGCAATATATACGAAGTATATGCTCCAGCATCCCGCTTACTCCTGTCTATGGTACGTTCTTGGATGTAAGGATCATGTGTGGCGTCTGATACCAGTACAGAGTACCACGCCAAACAACTCACACAAATCCTGGCGATAAACCATATTTTCAGCATATAAATGTCAACATTCCAACAGCAATTTCTCATGGTTGTCCAATCAACATGATAAATAATTCTCTTATATTGACAAACAAAGAGACTATGGATTGCACACAGGTATTGTCTGTGACATACAGCCATCTATCTGAATGATAGAAGCAGGTTGAAAATTGGAATCTTCAGAGGGATGGCTCTGTTGAAACGAATACTATGCTTGCACCTAAGACCGAAAGTATTTCAAGACAATGAAGACAGATGCTATTTATAGAGCTAGATGTGTTTGAGTCACTTCTTTGCTTTTCCACAGAGCACGGACCATCGATCTCGGAGACATGCTTTTTCGTTGTCCGACACCACCGTCCGCTACCCCTTTCTCTCCGTCTTCTTCCAGTTTCTGACGTTTGACAGACACGAAGAGAATAAATAAGAAGATTCTTCATTGGATTTTAATCGCCATATTTCCGTGTGTTCTCACTGATGTTCTCAATATTTTATTAAGATACCTGAGGCTTACATCGTTGCTCAACCCACTCCGGAGCTACCCTGTCGCGTCGTCATTCTGGATTGTGTGTTGAAAGCTCATGAGGATCATCATGAGGACTCTTCAGGCGGAGGGTTCCTTTACGGATTCTGCGCATCCTACCCACCGCGCTCGTGAGTTTATAGGACGAGCACCGAGAAAAGCAACACGTTACATGAGGGATCGACCGAGGGACATGGAAATACTGTGCAGGATTTCCGGGTCAGAGCTCTTAGAGAGCTTTTTCATGGTTCCTGCATTATTACCTTCCCTGCAGTGGTGGAGTAAACTGGAACGGGTTCCATTTTCCAATGCCTTAATCGGACGAAAGAAGTGGATTCGCCGGGCCCTATCAGGGGCCTTAGTATTCTTTTTTCTTCTCATTCCCACCCCCCAACTCAAAAACAAAAAGTCTAACTATCATACTTAAGTGTCAGTTTCGAAGGACACTTAGCACTGATGCCTCCTGGAAGATGAAGAACTATCAGGTCACATTCACTTGACCCTACATATCCTGGGATTTTCTGGAATCCCAAGCATCTTACTCTTTACCTTGGATCTCCAAGGCAGCCAAAACTGAGACTGTTTAAAAACTGAAGCTTTACACATGCACCCACAGAGAAAATCTGACTGAAACCACCCACAAATCAAGGTTTTGATGTTGCACCCAACTTTGTTACTACAACATTCGTAGTATTAATTTCTCTCTTTGTTCAATCCCTCTGATAGCTCTTACTTTTCCCTCTTCCATACATCCAAGTTAGTTATCTCTGTTAGTTCAATCTATTCTTCATATTTTACCCTCTTTTACACATTCTTGGACATTAGCCTATTTGCAGGCTGCCAGAACTTTCCGCTAGTGAAAGACCAATTTTCCATGTCCACCTCACCTTCAAGGGAGCTGCAATTCGATATCTCCAGGAATTCTTCCCGCTCAAAGAATGACCTCCTATTCTTGAGCTCTCCTGACATATGAACAGGCTTTTCAAGCGAATTCCAATATATCACTTTCAGCATTTGAGAGTTGTCAGTGCCATTTCTATTTTGCTAACTTTAGAGTGAGGGTTAAGTGAAACTTTGAGATTCACCTACCTAGTGACATTGCATCCTACAAGTGAATGCAATACATACCCTGGAGTTGGAGGAAAATCGCAATTCTTTCGTTGCATGCTACATAATCTTTCAAATTGCCCTCATTCCGCCGGAAGCAATATAAGGCTCTATTTCCTAAATCTCAAATCTGAATACTGATATTATTGCTGCTATTTTGATTAAAAAAAATACCCGATAGCAAGCCTGCTGTGAAGGAAGGTCTTGTAGAAGCACTTTTCCATCGCTTCTTCGAGCCCAAGGGCAGAACAAGGACTCTTTCTCGAGTCAAGTTTCAAAAACCAACCGCTGTCTCACGAGAACGTCAAAAATATGATGAGCTGGGCATGCAAGAAATGCAGCACATATGTTACTCCCATGCCAACGAAATACACTACTAACTTGAATGTATCCAATACTATTCATGGATATCAACAGCACAGATAAAACCCGTGGGCCCGAGCGAAGTGAAGCAAAGGTATTATTAGGGGGGCTTCATAGCTAGCAACAGTAGGGAATGATCGACGGCCCTCCTGCTGCTCCCCCCTGCAGACAGACAAATCGGGGGAGCTTCTGCAGGAGAAATGGGATTCAAACCCTGCATACAAATCAAGTATCTCATGCCGTTTTATTAGAGTAAAGTATTAATGAAGGTTCGCCTACGTTATAGCAGGTCTACTTAACCCTCTGACTAGCTGCTGGAGAATATTCTCACTTGGCTAAGCAGTTACAAGCGCTTTCGCGCGTTATCGCATTTTCCTTGCGGCCATATATGCCGTCGCTCGAGAACCTATCGTAAGGAAGATATTACAACAAGCAGCGAATACTACTAAAGAACATCTCACTACAACAAAAGCGAAGACTATCAGGAAAGCCAGAGAAATAGACATTAACTCTCACACCATAAAAGAACCATCACTGAATCCCAGAGTGGTCTTACCATTGCTTCAAACACAAGAAGAGCCTCTGTCGTGGGTTTTCTATTGAGTTGAGAGCAGTATCTCATATTTTTTTTCAAATTTTAACAGACGATACTTCATGTTTCTAGTTCCATGAAGGCTGACTCCCGCGTTGGTACTCCTACCAATAGTCGGCTGCGAGCAGGGTCAAATCCGCAATAAAAAAGAAAATAGAGGCATTCCTATATCTTGCCCTATCAATGCCCCAAAGAGATTGATTATTAGCCATTTATCAGCGGTCAACAGTGCGAGGTAAGAGAATCTAAGAACCTCGAGAAATACGTAGAAGCTTCTGTGACGCCCAACGAAGTAACGCGAGCGAACAAAGATACGGCAAGCAAGCCCGATTATGCCTTAATATATTACAAAGAGCCGATAATTTTAAGACGGGAGTTCTATTTTATTCATCCTGGCTGGCTGGGCAATATTGCAAGCCAATAGCCATGTTTCCGACGTATTCTCCATGGCGCCCCTCGCCTGCTCTCTCTCCTTCATCTCTCCTTCATCTCTCCTTCATCTCTCCTTCATCCCTCCTTCATCTCTCCTTCATCTCTCCTTCCAAAGCCCTTCCTCCGGTTCTCTGAGCAATCCCATCGTCAACAAAACCAGACCAACTCGACTTCAAACTACCCGAGGAGTGAATAGGGTAGCCTGAACAAAGATCCGGAAAACAAGCACGGTGGTTTCAATATCAATAAAAAGGATGTAGTTATGGCAGATTCAATATGGTGTGGCACTGACAAATCACCGATCCGGAATCATGATAATTAACTAGGTATATCTTTGAATCACATCCCTTCTACCGCGAGGAAAGCAAATCAGTGTTGTCGGCGCCGTATGCATCTCTGATACAAAGATAAGTACTGCCAGAGTTCCACCTACAGAAGGCGGCTAGGCTGGTTAAGTTCCGGTACATCAAAACACACTATCACCTCCCAGGGGGGAAAAACAAAGAGGAGGAGGAGGAGGAGGAGGAGGAGGAGGAGGAGGAGTAACGGCGATCTCGCTGCTGGATCGTCGTGGTTTCTGAGACTGACTCTCGAATATTTTTTGCCTTGACAGCGGTCCCCCGGGTAGTGGCTGAGAGAGTATATACATAGAATTACCATTAGCAATCTTCCCCCATGTGTTTTCAATTTTGGATATAAAGTATTCTAGGGCTTTGGCAGTACGGGACGCGGGCATAAACATGGCATCTTTTCAGCCCTATGTGCGTTCCAAAGAGCATGGATGGCTAAGCCATGAACGCCAGGTGCGGTGAAAGCTTCTGGCTGGCAGGACGTGTCCGAAAAGAGTGAGGATAGAGTAGGGAAAAATAGACAAACCCAAAGTCTTTGGACTTGCGAGTTCCGAGCGCTTAGGGACGTGTGTGGGGGACAATTGTTCAGAACATCTCAAACAAATGGAAGCAATAAATCAAAAACCGTAAGGAAAAAAGGAGCTCGATGGTATTTTCTTTTTTTTGGTTTCCCTCTTTCTAATCCATTTAGATGCTGTCTCTTCAAGCACAGGCTCTAATTACAATTATAATATCGTTACTTTATACTCAAAGGGCAGATCTTATCCGAACCAGGGGAGGACTAAACAGTAAAATCGAAGGGGAAGTTGGTAGACGTTGGACAGAAAGGCATGAAGAATGTAGATCTTTTATTCCGTTTTTACCCCTCACCTTCATTCATGAAAGACATCAGCAAGCACTGGAAAACTGACCTAACCCGTCAAATGTCGTAAAAATGATGCTGCACAATGTTTAGTTTCGGATCTCCAACTCCTTAACCTTAGCAAACGCCTGGGCGCCATCGACAAGTCTTCGTTCGTTGTTCGCTCTTCCATTGACGAAGTCTGGGTAATTCAGGGTTAATTCGGTGGCACCATTGATGATGTTGTCCACTGCTTCGACTCCAAGCATGAAGGAGTGGTCTTGATTGCCGACTTCATAGCGCCAGCTGCCGAAACGGCCACGTGAGTAAATGCCCATATCCTGTAGGCGCGGGAGAAGCTTCGTGAGGACACCCTCGCGTTCAAGCGTAGGCGTAGGGTAACCGTGGTCGAAGCGGCGATGATAAGTGGAGACGATTTCGTCTGTGGGCTTGAGCATTGAAGTATTCACCAAGCCCTGGATGCATTCAGCCAATAAAGTCTCATTGTTGACTGGCTTGAGGGATGACTCGGAAACTTCAAGCATGATCGACCAGTATGGGCCTGATCGGAGCTCGGTGTTGTTCGGCTTAGAGCCATCTGCCAGTACTTTCGTAGCTAGCTGCTTCGAAGCATCTGGCTGGTTATATGGAGAGTAGTTAGAGAAGATGGTTGCACGATAGAATGGGCAGTTGTCTTCGGGGAAATAAAGCTATTTTCATAAAATGTCAGATTCCAAGGCAAATACAGATTGAAGTGAAGATTTCACGTACCCAACATTTATCACCAATTCTCTCTGGTCGCTCTCCGCGAATACCGACCCCGATGACATGTGTGGATGAATAGAAGAGACCTTTGCTAAGATCAGTCAACTCCGGGTCGCCTATCTGCTCAACCAACGAGTCCACGGCCATGGTGGAAACCAAACGCTGGTATCTAACTCGAGTTCCGTCGCCCAAAGTGACGGTCTTATTCCGAGCATCGACCTGCGTGACCGCACCGCGTTTACCGAAGCGTGTTTTTTCTTTGGGCAGGGTATTTGCGACAGCGATCCAGATACCACCGGTGCCACCACGGGCGGGAAAGCGGAAGGTGGCATTTGGACCCCAGTTACCGGCGGTCTTCTGCAGAATAACGTTCGTAGTCACCGCTTTCAGGTTCGGTGCGGCCACACGCTCGCCCAGCCAGGCGCATTGCATCTGTAGGGGGTTACTTAGCGACTGCATAGCCGGCTAGACAATGAGTCGATGCATCTCACCTTTGTAGTCGGCACTGCCCAGACCTTGAAGTTATACGGACGCATGAATAAATCCGCAATGCCGGTGCCCATCATGCGGACGATCCACTCATCAAAGGTCTTTGGCTTTGTGTTGGAAACGCGGGCCTCCAGGGCGGCGTCAATCATGCCATCAATACACTTCACCTGCTCCTCCTTGGGAAGCATGGAAATGTTGTTCTGGAAAGGATATGGAACCCATTGTTCCTTGCAACGAACGTATGAAATGCGTTGGTGGGTGTACCAGTCGCCCTTTTCGGGGAGGGCCTCATCCAGGCAGTCGTCGAAATATTTGTAGTGCGAGAAAATAACATGGCCACCAACATCGTAAAGCTACAACGTGAGTTGAAGGTTTCAGCTATCAGAACGACCATTCACGTAAAGGTGTATGCTCTCGAATCGTAAAGGCTATCAGCACGTACAAATCCCTCTGGAGTCACATCAGTGGAGGCTAGCCCTCCGGGAGTCTCATTCGCGTCGACAATCATCCAAGACGGGCCGTCCTAGATGACTTGATCAGCAAATTTGTCAGGCGCGCATACCCCCCTTTTTCTTTTCTTCTCCCAGAGAGCGGGGGGGGGAAGGGGGGTTGTGGTTTCGCTCACGATCTGGTGCAGGCGCTTCGCAGCTCCGAGACCGGTGGGGCCAGCCCCGATGACCAGAATGTCAACGGCGCTGCACACGGCAGACGTCAGCTATGGCACAATTGACCCTGTAAGGCTGAGGTAGAGCAACGCACAGGTCTTCTCTGGCCATTTTTTTCGGTTGGATGTATGGCAAAGGATCGAGTCGAAAAGGATGACGCAAGCCAAAAGAAGCGTACACGGGGAAGGGCGAAACAACAGCACAGAGACTCGACAAGCCAAACGCAACGAAGACGCGCGATGCAGCGGGAACGAGCAGGCAATTGAGGCCGAGAGAGCATAAGAAGGGAAGAGAGGAGAGGCAGAGGGGGGGGAGGATTGATGAGACGAGAAGAGGCGACCAGCTCTTGATGAACAAGCACGCCAAGAGATGCCCAGGAGCTCCCACTGCAAGCAACGAACTGACAGCGTTGGTAAATTCAGAAACCTTCCGTTACCAACCTACCTTGTCCCCACAGACCAATCAGCGCTGCGGAGGGCGGAGCCACAGCCTGTTTTAAAACGTGTGTCTGTACCTCTGTAAGTGGGGGCTGCAGCCAGTCAGAGCGACCCATTTTTGACGCTGTTTTAAGCCCGTTTTGTGCATGTGACCCCGAACTTCGTGCTGCTTTTACTGACGACCCCATCAAAATCTCATCATTAGCTATCCTGCTTCTGGGCTTCGATACAAGGCTTTCCACATCGGTCGCTTTGCTTGGCTGTTCGACCAACCATTTGCCCTCAAGACAGTCCCTATACTTGTGGGTGACCTTGGTTTGGCCGCACATCGTCAAGCTGGAGATATGGAGAGCGTGATAGGCTGCTCCCTGACGGTGAGACGGATGGAGGTGTTGCGAGAAATGACCAACTTCAAAGTCGCCAGCGGGCTTGGGATCGTATCTTTACCAGGGCTTCTTATATTCAAAATCCCTGGGCTCCCGCCCAAGACCATGTTCTGGTGCGGAAGCGGAACCAGCCAGAGCATAGCGAGTACATTCCATCAGAGGACCTGCAGATCGGCAGTAGCCCCCCGGAGACGCCCAACACAGCGTCATCGTTGCCCTCGAGCGTTGGCTACATGGAAAGATCATCAGCACCACTTGTGGAGGACTTCACTGTCAGGTTCATGAGCTGCCTTATCCGATGTGTGCTCAACTACGTTCAGCTGGTTAACAAAGAATTGCCTATCATACATTATCGCGACCAACGACTTTCTTTCATATGCGAGGAAGCTGGTATGGGACATCCGTTTGAAGCTATCGATGATGGCGGTGTGCAGCTTCAGCATCTGGGAGAGAATCTGCAAGTGGCAATATTGGAAAGCTAAACGCAGTTTCCAAGCGATAGCTGACAGTCGTCCAACTGTGTCCGATGAGTTATTGGCACAAATAGTCGGTGAGGCACTTGCGTTAAGACTCTCCAAGACCATGCGTGTATCTGCAGAGAAGTAGGTCATTCAGTCATTGTCTTCCTGTCGCCCCCCTTCCCCCACACCCCCATATGCCCATTCCGAGCTGATGTCACTTCCAGTATCGTCTCCATCGTGGCAGTCAAGTACTACATCAAACTTTTCCACTTTAACATCACGAATGACTTCATTCGCTGTTTCAAGACACTCTATCCAACCGACGCAAATTCTGACCACTCTACCTATCTAATGGTGGACTCGACGGCTTGGTTTGATATGCGTGAGGTAGCCGGCCGCAAGTACTTTGTGCGTCACCTAGTCGCCTTGGTAGCATGGGCGGATGCAGCATTCAGCGCTACGGTCAACTTGGAGGACCCAGAAGATTCAGAGGACGCCGGAGATGTAGAGGACTATATGGATATAGGAGAATAGTTTCGCTTTGCCTCTGCGCTGCGCTGTGCCACCTGTCAATGTCAACCCAAGAAATAGTGCGGGCGCCGTCATGCATCTGAAAACATACACTTCGGCCGGCTATTTGCACCTCGGTCGGATTTCTTCACTCTCGTGACTCGCGTTTCGGATATCCACGTAGCAGAAGCGAGGAAATACGGTCGCAGAAAGTGTTGTACGGTTTATATGGTATCTTTGTATGCTGGATTGAGACAAACGGTGATGCTGATGCGGAAGGACGGCTCGCAGGGAGGTCAAGTTTCTGGAGAAACGAGGAGGAGATATCAGCTGTAAAGAGGTGGATGCATGCCTTATCATTGAGATCAGTCAATAATACGCGGCACTAACATAATTCTTGTTAGCTCGAGGCATGAGAATGATAAATAAAGAAGCTCATACCGCAAAAGTAGAGCATATATCAAGCTGCTTCTCAGGGTTTCGTCGCCGCAGAGCACCCCGTTGTAGCTGAGCCATGGCTATTAACAACGCTAAAATGTATGGGTCGTGCAGGTGTCCGGGAGAGGTGACCTCCTTTGACTTGAGTCTGAAAAGGGTGCTGCCATGTTCGCTCTGTCTTCTACCCTGGTATCTGTATAGTTCAGCGAGGCGCAGGTGATCGATGCGGGCACGGTCGACATATGCAGCGACAGCGGGTACAAGCCCCCTAGCCATGCGGTCATGGTCGCCTTTGGGAAAGAAGACAACACAGGGAAGATCGCTGATATGGCGTCGATCGAAGTAGAAGGGAAGGTTGTTCCTGTAATGTCCAGAATTAGAAATCAGACAGGACAAAAGCTGCGAGGCAGAATTTGCAAACTAACAACGCCGTAAATGGGCATCCGGGAGACGAAAGGATCTGTCGAGTTCTAAACTCCCGCCAAATATACTCTTCAGCATGAACAAGGGCTCGCACGAATCGGTCACCAGGGCCTTTATTAGTAGAATCCATCGCCGATGGTGCCAGTGACGGCTTTTCAAATCTGCATTGTAGTAGCTCAACATGACGACCGGTCCACCGGAGAGGTTCAAGGATCAATTGTTCTCGGCAATTCAGTCTGACGATTTCATTGATAGAACACGCCGTCGATACTGCGGCCTGGGAACACTTTCGAGGCCCCGAGGAGGTACAACGTTGAGAGATTGTCATCTCTAGTCAGCTAATCATGAGTATCAAAGACGGGTTTGTATCAAAAGACAGAGCCCTACGACCTCCAAGAGCTGAGCTGAGATCCGGCGAACTGTCTTTTGTTCGCGTTTCGTTAGCAATGGTCAGGGAATGGTTGATCACGTTGCAGTTTACCAGAAAGGTCCGCGTGACCGGAAATACCGGAGAACCTTTTAGCTATTGAGGTCGCTACTTTATTGTCATGGATAGAACCAAGTATCCACTGCGACCCTTCTGGGGTAGATGCTTAATTTCAACAATGCCGAATTGGATCCTCTCAGTAAAGGATGTTCACCACATTGAAGGTGCCGGCGGACTTGTTGGGGAAGTGGCCCGGAAACAGAGCTGCCTTTGGCTAAGCATGTGCCTTTCCAATTGAAAGAGCTCCATGTTGAAGAGTTCTATCAGCTTGTTGAAAATAGAGACATCCTATCATCGATTTTTGTCCAATGTGTCAGTACAATTTGTACCCCAGACCAAGTTCTCTACCAAGCCAGACGATGTCGACGCCTTAAGGTTGAAGCGCAAAAAGGACCTTTGCTACCAAGAACTACCAAGCAATCACGCTGTTCCTCTGTGTGTGTGTGTGTGTGTATCATATTTTTTGTAGGCCTTATGCAGTCAGAGACTATGAAGGCCATGCTATCTGTCCAAATAGTTACAGGCATGTGTTCTTGATGTGGGAACTTCAGTTAAGTCATTCTGTTTAACTAAGCTTAAACTGCACATGATTCCCAGAGGAGATCATATCAGATCTCTTACAACTTATATCATTCTTCTGATTGGAGCCATGCTTCAAGAGAAAATCCTCAAAATCTTGAGTGTAACTGACACATCTCAACATTTGAAAATCAATAAAAAGTATATGATTAAGTGAATTATCTTGTAAATCACAGGCCCAGTACATCTCATATCTAACTCATGTATATTCCTGATTCATAGTAACTAATTATAACCACCAACAAGACAGCACCTGTCCTTCTAGAGGATGGGATCCCTCATGGTAAAGATTTCTTTTTTGGTTGAAGACAAGATTCAAACTTGCAACCTTCTGTTCAGTGTGGTTGACTCCCCAATCAACAGAACACCTACTTCAGAAGGATTCCAGGCTGGCCCTTTGCCACTTGGCCAACCACCCCACCATCAATATATCAATGAAAATGCGATCCAGATTGTTCAGTCTGCACGCGATCCTCCAAATCACGGTGTTGGCTTGAACCCCGTTGGCGGCGGGCGTGGTCGAGGCAGGGGTCAGTGAACTCGGAATTTGCGCATAAATCGGATGTGAAATGCCATATTTGTTACTGTTGATTGTGATGCTGGGCTAGCCCTATTTGGATTTGAATCATGTTGCTTATTTTTGTTTTCTGGTATGACTGCGGAGTTTCAACTGGTTAACGAGGCCCTTATTAGTAAATCCCATTTTTCATTTTGGTTTCTGGCATTTAGCAATTGTTTCTCTGGTCAATCATCAGTACGGGGTGAAGCACACTCGAGTACATAGCTTATGAAGGATATTGGAAAGAAAAGCTCGGTAAATGATCATGACAAATGTAATTTAGAAGGCTAAGTACAAAATCAATACTTATACTGCTCCAATCTGCAGCACGTATTCACCGAAAGCAGCGAACTCAGCCTCGTCCGCAGTTAAGAATTTGGGAATCCAAACATTGCGCCATTCCCCCTTATAGTCTGATGTGTATAAGGCCTTGCAATACTCCCAGTATTCTGGGTACCAGGCAGCATGAGCCCAATCAACTACAGCAAGGACACGTGGGCGACCAGCTGGTGAAATTAGAATATTACCCCGATGCAAGTCTCCATGAGTCAACCTGATGGCCCCATCGTCTGGTAGGTAGTCTCGATAAGGATCCCGATATCTCTTCGAATCAGGAAGCCAGCTTTGAGGCAGAGAAGAAAACCAGTCGTTGAATGCTTTCACATTTTTAAAAGGTCCTGATTGAGGGATGGTTGCGAAGACATAATCGTGCAAACGTGCGCGGTTGATGGATCATACACCTCAGTAAGCGACTCCGCTGATAGACATTGCGGGATACGTGCATACCGATAAATGAGTCGCAAGGATCTGGCTCAATTTGCCGAAGGGAAGAAATAATCTCCCGTAACTGGCCGCAAATAAAGTTCCTATCCGGCTCATTGAGAGAATCCCATCGATCATATAGCGTGTCTCCCTGAATAAGCTCCATATAAATGAACACAGAATTTTGATAAACTCTCCAACCATACACCTCCGGGACAGGTATCTTCTCAGCGAAAGAGGTTCGAAGCATGCGGAGAGTTAGGGCTTCTTCAACCGCCACAGACGGCCCAAACTTGACGAGAAGATTTAGATGCTCAAATTTAACTGGTGCGGGCCGTGGATGTTTGTTGAACTGTTCTGAGAGGGAGCCAACCTCTGCAGCGGTTGGCAAGCTCTTATGGCCTGCTTTGGTGAAGAAGGAGGAGTCGAGGAAGTCCATCTCTGTTTGCGTTGCGTTCAGAGTCGCTGACGGTTGAATTTGCTGTTTAATGGGCATCTTGTTATGAATCGTCTCGGTTTGTTGATAATACCAAGAATTACGGGAACCGAGAGAGTTGTGGCCTGCTTAGGTTGTACGTTCAAAGGAAGCGAGTAGGCTCCAAGGCTCATGAAGTACTTGTCGGGTGGGCGCTTACCATTTGTTGCTGGGCAAGTCCCAGATCAGTTTCCGTTGGAGCCCCAGCCAACCAAATCGTCCAAACTTCTACAATTCAAGGGACCAGGATTCAAATCAAGGAAATCTTCCTCTATATGTGCTTTACAGTAATGAGCTATTAGACTTACTAAAAAAATCACAAACGAAAGTACTTACCATCAAAGGGCGTCTCTCGGCGATGCCAGTATAATATGCGCTCAGGGCGCCATGCTGAAGCCACAATACTCGAACGCTCAGGTGAGGCAGTGAAAAGTAGGATAAATACGACAACTGAAGACTTAATTGCACAACGAGGTTGGTTGGCCTGATCAAGGGTGATAAATTCTGCCTGCTTGGTATTTACAAAAAGTAATAGTCCACAAAGTACTATAGTTGGGCAGAGCTGAAGAGCGGGAGACTACAAGATGGCAGAGCAGAGAGAGAAAGGTGGAGAGTTTACACTACTGTACTCCGTACTCCGTACACAGCCAAAGAAACTTGTGGAACTTACAAGAAAAGAAAGAGAAAATTGGGATGATAGAGAGAAGATGTTTGAGTGGCAGGAGAAGGGGGTTTACATCGTCCAGAAAGCAGCAATGTTGTGCTAAACCTGATCAGGCGGGAGCTAAACCATGGAAGGCAATTCCCCATGATACGGTATACCTCCGTACTGTCCATACATACATACATACATACATATACGTTAACCTGCGTTCTTACACTGCATGACATGTGGGACTTTCCTCTTTGACCGAGAACACTAAAAGGGGGAACAGGGATCCACAGTGGCTCATTATCAGCCACTCAGAAGCCCACGCCGGCCGGCATGATTTCCCTTTGCGGGCTAGTGGGAGTGCGGCTTGCCAGATCGACCCTGGATGGCAACGGATCTGCCCTTTTGGAACGGAGTCGTCGACGAGGTCCACTCTCCACCGTTTCTTTCCTGGCTGATTGCTATATTGTAGTATGGGCACCATGCCGATAACGGGTTGAACTGGCCGGGTGCTGTTGGAGGAGAGGATTGCCTCATGCAGCAAGCAGCCCGGCTGTCGCGGTGGAGCGGAAAAGTTGTTGCGTGGTACGCCGAAGAGATACATTCGTACTGTCCGGAGTACACGCATCATACATCTGTAACTTAAATGTTGGTGATGCGTGAGGGTGAGGGTGAGGGTGAGAGAGTGGACTTGCGTAAGCTCTGGTCACTGAAGCCGTGGGGTGGTGGAGCAGCCTCTGGAGAGCCGATCCCCAGGCCACCGTGCGCCTTGACGCGACTCACCCGATAAAAGGTTCTATTTCCCACCGCCGTGAGACACACACACACACACACACACACACACAGGCCTGCCCGTGGATGGGAGTGGGTTCAGGGACGAAGTTCAAGCACCTCTGATAGATAGGGGTCGCAGCGCCCGCTGGAGGAGGGCCAGGGGTTGGCTGTAATCTCAGATCGTTCTCCAGCATTGCTTGTAGCACTCTTATGTACGGGAGTATTTAATTAAAAAAAAGCCAAAAAGAAAGGGAAAAAAAAAAAAAGATTAAGCAACAGTGAATAAATACTCCGTAAGGGGTCCCTTTAATGGATGCCGCACCTGTCCCCGGCGGAGAACAGGGCTCTAGAGAGCTGCAGGAGTCGGTTCAATTCCCTTCGCTGCATGTTGGAGCAACATTTGGCGCTGAGAGTTCCCCGTCCCACCAGGCACGCTTTGCTGCTGCCAACACGCAACTCCAGGCCCGCCCTGACCGCCCACGGAAGATTATTAGTCGCTTTCTGAACTTCAATCAAGCATCCCTCCCGGTAGTTTTCGCCTTGAAACTCGTCCTCACGCACTCCCTTCCCTCGCTTCAATTTCCCTTCCATCAATAATATTCATTTTTCTTTACTCTCGTTTTTTTTCCCCCTTCGTATCCCCTTGTGACCATTTTCCCCCTGGCTTCCAGCGCATTCGGTCAAAGTAACCTGCTTCGATCGCGGCCGTTCGACTTTCAACGGTTCATTGCTGATCAAGCTCGTTCCTTTTCTACGACCGTCTCGATGATCGCAGAGCAGGAGAAGTCCCGGGTGTCCGGAGAAGACAAACCCGCTTCCTCTTCTTCCTCCTCCTCCTCTCCCTCCTCCACCCCTACTTCCGCCGATGCCCCCGTTCTCCCGACCGTGGACCCAGCGGCGACAAAGACAGAGCCTCCCAAGCCCACGCTCCATCCTGCTTTCTATGTCATGTGAGTCGGGTTACTCTATTCTCTCCCCTCTGGTGGTGGTGTGTGTGTGTGTGTGTGTGTCGCTTGATTCACTGAGACTTCGTGTGGCCCGCAGTTCGTGGATCTTCTTCAGCTCCAGCGTGATCCTTTTCAATAAGGAATTGCTTGACAAAGATCGGGATAGATTCCGTGAGTCCTTGCCGCGAATGGATTTACTTGTCTCTTTTTTTCGATGCCAATGCGCTGAGCTAACTGACAGATGTTATTGACTAGCATTTCGTGCGTGCCACCCTGTTACTTTCACCATTCTTCTTTCTCTAACCCTCCCCCTGCAGCCATTATCCTCACAACATGGCATCTCGCCTTTGCCGCTTTCATGACCCAGGTCCTGGCTCGGACGACGACCCTGCTCGATGGCCGGAAGAAGGTTAAGATGACAGGCCGTGTCTATCTACGGGCGATCGTCCCAATTGGCTTCTTTTTCAGTCTGAGCCTGATCGGCGGAAACAAGGCCTATCTCTACTTGAGCGTGGCCTTCATCCAGATGCTCAAGGTACCGTACACACACTCTCCCTCTCTCCCCCTCTCTCCCCCTCTCCCTCTCTCGCTCTCTTCCCCCCTGGAATGCTCTGATTTTCTATTCTAACATGCTTCTTCCCAAGGCCACCACTCCTGTCGCCGTTCTCCTCTGCACCTGGTTCCTGGGCATGGCTCCTCCCAACATGCGAGTCCTGTTTAATGTCTCCTTTATCGTGATCGGAGTCATCATTGCTTCCTTCGGCGAGATCCATTTCGTCCTCGTCGGGTTCCTCTTCCAGATCGGCGGTATTGTCTTCGAAGCCACCCGACTCGTCATGGTACAGCGCCTTCTGAGCTCAGCCGAATACAAAATGGATCCGCTTGTCTCCCTTTACTACTTTGCTCCCGTCTGCGCGTTGATGAACTTCGTCGTCGCGCTGGTCTTTGAAGCACCATATGTGACCATGGAACATTTCCAGAGGACTGGCTTGTTCACCCTCCTCGCCAACGCCATGGTTGCATTTCTTCTAAACGTCGCGGTTGTGTTCTTGGTAGGTTTATCCCTATCTCCTTTTTCGGACATTTGTGGGAAAATTGGCTAACAAGTGTTTTTGAATAGATCGGAAAAACCTCCTCACTCGTGCTGACTCTGTGTGGTGTTCTGAAAGATATCTTACTGGTTGCCATTTCCGCTGTGTGGCACAAGACGCCGGTGACCGCGCTCCAGCTTTTCGGATACGCCATCGCCATCGGCGGTCTGCTTCATTATAAGCTGGGCACAGAGAAGATCAAGGAGTATGCCGGCCAAGCCAACAGGTCCTGGGCAGAGTACGGCGCCACCAATCCGATCAGACGCCGCGTTATTATTTTCGGGGTGTCCGCTTTCCTGATCATTTGTGTCTTGGTCCAGCTGGGAGGCCCTTACGACCCAAATAGCCTGAAAGGCATGATCCCAGGGAGCACAGTTGCAAACCACGCATAATTTAAGCGCCGTTGGGACACCTGTGATTTGATCGCGGACTCCGATTGATTTTCCCCTGAATCCCCTACGTTGAAGGATTTACGTTATCGGTAACACGCAAGCTCCAAAAAAACAGAGAGGCATCGTTGCTCGATCTCACCTACTTTAATTCCTTCCTCACTTCGCGATAGAAAACAGCTATTCCAGTGATTGCTTTCTCGAAAGAAAAAAAAAAGGAAAACAAAAATTATGAAATATAGCAAATGATTTTCGAATTAGCCATACGATGAACATTTCGACGGCGCGTAGAGACGTCGGGGTGCTGACGTCCTTGACTTTGATTCTTCTTTTTCCTTTTTTCTCAAGTCATTTTTAATACTTCTTTAATGACGCTTATCCACTGCTCGCGCTTCATTCCTATTTTCTCTCTCATGTATTAACTCTTGCCACATGTCCTAGGGAGCAAAGGTTTCCGTTAGATGTCGTTTGTTTGATGTATTTCCTGCACACAGAGGTGCTTTTATTGAAGGCGGGTTTTCAGAGTCGCGCCTATTCCAAGAATAGAGACAGCATTACGGAGTATTATGTACTCTTTTTTTTTTTTCAATGAAGTCAACAGAGCCCTTTGACGTTTCGGTCTCGCATTGCTTGTTCGACTGTCCGACGTTGGCCGCTGGAGTCTGAGTCTGAGCAGCTGGTGACGACCTTCCGCGCCCCCTGTTGTACCACTCGGCCCGATGAAATTCCGATGGACTAACGGAACGGAGCTTCATATACCCGGTGACCTTCTTCGCACCTTCCAAAGAAAAAAAAGGCAGGGCTTTCCCATTCCGTCTGAGCAGCCTGGCGCTAGCCGCATTTGGAAGAGGTCAGCTTGTGCCAAGACCCAGCAGAGACAAGGATGGAGTAAATGCAGCTCACTGATTGGCGCATTTAGTGCCGAGAAGCTTGTTTAGGAACAAAGACAGGGATCTGATTGGCCTGGCGCAAGGCTGGCGATTGGTTACTCCGGCAATACAGGGCGCAATCCACGGTTGGTCATTGGCTGGATTGCCGGTGGAGCCCCTATACTCGCAGTGTACGGCTCTTTACTCAAAGATTGCGTGGTAGGTCAGGTACTCTTTTTGTACCGTCCTGTTCGCCGGCTGCTTGCCACATCCGGCTTAGCTCCGATCATCAGCGCCTTTTCCCCATCTTTTAGTTCAGCCTTCTTCCGTCTTTCTTCCTCTCTCTCTCTCTCTTCTCTCTTCTTCTTCTCTCTTGAGCTTTTTTCTTCCTCACCCAAACCTCTCCTTTTACTTTTCCCTCCGCCCTTGTCGGGCCTTTTGTCTCCTTTGTCAAACCTCCCCCAAGTCCAACTCGACCGTCAATCTCTTTCATCCACGCCCTGTTCCCCCATCGTATATACTTGCTCTTCTCTCCCCGGAGCAAGCTCTCAACCCCGTCTCGGCCCTATCCACGCCCTCTCTCGCGCCCTTGCCAACACGACCGCCGTCTCGTCGTCTCTCAATTGCTTATTATTATTGTTTCTTATTTCTTACAGGTTATTCGATATTGTTTTTCTAACTGATCTTTTGAAGACACCCTTAACATTCCAGATACACGGCTTCACACCTCACTGCCGGCACTATCCTCTCCGGTATAGCTCAACATGTGCCGATTGCTCTTCAGTACTTATTCCGACGGGCCAGCAATGGTACTATCTCCACCATACCTGCACAATGCCGACAACATCCTCGCCAACAACCCTACCAGCGTCCCGCCTAGCCGTCCCCAGTTCCCCAATCCTGGTTCCGTCTCTACTTCTGTGAATGGCATCCAATCAGGACCTCCCCGGTCTTCCATCAGTCGCTCCGGTCTCTCAATGTCGGGCTCATCTTCGACGCCTCTGTCTGCCAACCCATCACGAAAACGATCCCACGACGAATTCAACGCGTCCAACGACGATGACGCCAGCAAACCCTCTACAGCCCAGCAGCCGCCTTTTCGCAGCCAAACTCCAGAAGAGCCGATCTACGGAGAAGGCATGGTCCTTTTGAATCCCCGTACCGGCCTTGCTCTCTCGGCTGAGAGTCAGACCGGCACCTGGTTTGAAGAAAAAGCTGAAGCCGAAGCCTCCGCCGCTCCCCCTGTTGCCGTCGCGTCTGGCTCGGGTCAACCGGGCCTCCCCAGCCGCAAATCCCAACGCCTCGACTCCTCCGCCTCTGGCTGGGATGATATCGCTGCTGCCTCTATCCATCGCAAACTCCAATCTTCATCCCACAACGACACCTATCGAAATATCAGCAGCGCCGGCTCCACCTCCACATCGACCTCTGGTCCACAAACACCCCTAGTTGATGATGCAACTCGCCTCCTTGGAATAAGCTGGCAGCGGGTGAGCACCGAAGACAAAGACATGGCGGCAGCAGTCCGTGGTTGGGAGAGGTACATCAACAACCACTTCGCGCCCTTCCTCGAGAACGCTCAGATCTTGCTTAAACACCGAGGCATCAACGCGTATCTTGTCACTGCCAACCCAGTCAACAACTACGGCATGGGAATCTGCGACATGCCTATGAACGGATTCAGCAGCAGCGCCAACCAACCCTGCTTCTACCTTTTCACGGAAGACCTCACCGAGGGCCAACTTGTCGGCAAGAACTGGGAGTCCTGCCTCCACAACTTGCAATCCACTCCCATCGCTTTTGAGGCAGGCTCAGAAGTCATGAGAGCGGCAGAACGGACACCAGAGCGACTGCTTGGAGACCAGGGAATACTGAACGGAACCATTTACATGAATGGAAACGGAATCAAGATGGGGAACGAGGGAATGGAAATGGCCATGGAAATCGATCGATAAATCTCAGCACCGACGAAAGCGACGACATAGAGCGTATCCGCCGTATTATTAATCCATGCAGCAAGAAAAGCAAAAGAAAAAGCCCAAAAAAACAAAACTATCGTCGCGTCTGTGTCTTTGCTCGCTGCGTTTTATTTCAGTTTCTAATCTTGCTTTTCAGGTTTGCGTTTCCCTTTTAACTTCCTTTTCGTTTCTCTTTTCTTTTTTCTTTCCTCTTTGCTTGCCATTTCAGTTATTTTCTAGATGTCATTTATCACATATTACCTGAAAAACATTACCATTGGCAATATTATTACTGTAAAGTTTGATCACCTTGGAACCGCCTTGATTGTCTCCGCGTCGCTTACTTTTCGGCTGTTGTCGCTTTTCGCTGTCGACGTGTAAATGGATTTATTGTTTAAAGCTATATACGTTCAATATTATATATATATACATTTATTTATTTCCAGTCTGACGCTGAAGGGGCTTCGTCAACTCGCTCGTCGGAGGCGGACGCGTCTGTTGGTCCGTCGGAACGCGGCCGGGCGCGCGATGCCAAGAGCAAAATACGCTGGAGATCCAAAAACAACAGAGCCTCCTACTAGTCAACCGAAATCCTCGAAATATACGGAGTAGTTACGGGTCTCATCATGGATTGAATCCGTCGAAAAGACCCGGCGTTTCGCTGCCAAATAATGGTTGCCTGGAAACGGTTTCCATCCGGCTTATGGCGATGATCTAGCATCTGTTTGACGATGCTCGCCGATGCGCTTCCGAAATCTTGACGGGGAAGTGCAAATGTCATAGCTGGCTGGGAGAGGCGCTAGATAGGTACCTATTTTTGATGGAGGACTTGTATGCTTGTCATTCACTAAGCTACCTAAAGGGGAATCTCGGCTAATCTATGTGGGTCACGTGAGTGAGGTGCTAGTTGGATTACCTAACACCCCCCCATGCAACAAGCTCCAGCAGCAAGTGAGAGCCACAAAGATCCAAAGCTTCCAAATCTCACAAATCTGTGATAAAAATTAATTACAGAATCCAGATTTATTTCTTCTTTAGACTTAGCTCCATTTTGCTGCAATACTGTATTTTTACTGACTTTACTGATAAACCTCCATATTTTCCTGTATCAACTTGTCACCCCTATCACACTCATAAATTAAGTATAGGGATTCATTGCAAGAGTCTTTGTGAGCCTGTCAGCTTTATTCATGTTGGTTCCAACATGTTCAATTGAGATTTTGTTCTTTTGAACCCAGTCTCTTAGCATATGATGCTAAATCTCAATATAGCATGCTCTTTGCATTATAGCTTCAGCTTTGGCTAAGTCAACCACTCTCTTGTTGTCAACACTTAATTTTAAGCTCCTTAGCTTTACTGAGCCTTCACTAATCATCCTGGTGTCTATCAACAGATCATTAATCCAAACTAGTTCACAAGCAGCTTCACTAGCTGCCAAATACTCCACTTCAGTCATTGATTTTGAGATGGATGTCTGACACTGTGATCTCCATGATATTGAAGCTCCATTCATGGTAATAATGTAGCTGCTGGTGGATTTATACACAGGGTCAGCTCCAGTCCAGTCAGAATCTGAACTGACTGCTGGTTTCAAGTCTTCAGAATTCATATCTCTTTTGAAGACTATTTCTTTTGATTTTGTGTTCTTGAGATAGCATAGAATCTGCTTGAATACTGCCCAGCTTTCCCTATTGGGCCTGCTGTTGAATCTTGCCAGATAATTAACTGCAAATGCAATATTCAGTCTTGTACATATAACTAGAAACTGTAGAGAGCCCAGGCCTTTTCTGTAATTTATAGATGTAGTCTGCTTGTCAACTTCATCTTTAAGAGTCTGATCTGATGCAAATTCAATGCTTATTTCTTTCTTTATTGGTGTTTTGGAAGGTTTACAGTCTTCCATTCCATATTCAGTCAGTAGATCCTCAATATACTGTTTCTGGTTCACAAAAAGATCTTCATTTGGCTGCTTTTGAACCCATATATCTAGATAACAGTCTTGTTCTGTAATCTTCTTGATCTTAAAGTGTTTCTGAAGCTTCTTAATAAGCCATTCTATTTTGACTTCATTAGGTTCCATTATACAGCAGTTATCAATATGTAGGGTTAGGTAGATTTGCTTTTTCTTGTGGTAGAGTAACCCTGCATCATATGGAGAGATCTGGAATCCTAGAGATTTCAGATAGTCAGTAGCTACTTGATACCAAAGCCTAGCAGCTTGCTTCAATCTGTAGAGTTCCTGGTGTAAGAGCCCTACTAGATTACCCTGCCTGTGCTTGAATCCAGTGGATAGTTGAATATATACATGTTTGTTCTCTGGAAGAGTTCCATTTAGAAAGACTGTCATGAAGTCAAAGACTCTGATCTTCCAGTTCTTGACTGTTGAGATAGTAAAGAAGACTTTTATTATAGATTCACTAACAACTACTGTGTAGATCTTCTTGTAGTGAACATCTTCTTACTGTTTGAATCCATATACAACCCAACAGACTTTGAATTATACTGTGCCACCCATGTTGTTGAGCTTTCTATCAAATACCTATTTGCCAGAGAGAATCTGCATTTGGGATTTCTTCTTAACTAGGATTCAGATATCTTTCTCTTGTAATTTAAAGACTTCAATATCTAGAGCCTTCTTCCAATAAAGCCACTCTTCAGAGTGTTTGGCTTCAGCAATGGATTTTGGTATATCTGTACATGTACTGAGCACTAGAAGCTCAGCTCTATTTGTCTCTTCTTTCTCTATAGTATTCAAGAGAATTTCTTGCTCTTCACTCAGGTATGTGGGCTCTAAAGTCTCTAATTCATTATCTGTAAGCTTCTTCATGATTTCTAGCTTCTTCTTTGCAAGGTAAGCTAGTAGCTTGTGTTGCCAGCCATTCAATGAATCTATATAATTATACTTCTCTGGGAGTTCAACATATTCAGCTTCAGTTAGCAAATTCATAGGGATTTGATCCAATTTCTTGTTGAATATAACATCTCACAAGATCATTATACTGTTTGTTTCTGGGTCCCAAAGCCTATAGATGTGCATGCCATGATATCCTACAAATTTGATCTTCTTGAACCTAGGTTGGAGCTTTAAGAATTTGTTCAAAATCTTCATGTAGATGTTACATTCTTATCTATAGACTCATCTGCAATAGGGTTGATGATCTGTCCAGGCTTTAAAGAATGTCAACAGCTTTGTGTTCTTGCATCTGTATAGAGACACTAAGATAGGCAATAGATTCACTATTATAGAGACTGTGGTGAGAGCTTCACTCTATAACTTATTGAGTAGTTCTGAGTCTATAAGTACACTTCTTGTTTGCTTGCAAAGAAGTTGTATTTCTTGTTCACTTGTTTCATCTTGTTAAGATGTATATGAGTATATAATCTTCTGTTGTATACTCTTGCTTCTGTAGAATTCAGCTAGTTGTTGACTTATTAATTCAGAAGCTCTATTAAACAGTATAGTGCTGATCTTTCATTTAGTAGACACTTTAATCATATTGATTTAGTTCTTCAGAGTTTCTGAAGCTTCTACCCACTTCTTCAGAAGGTAGATCCATCTGTATCATGTAGCATTATCTGTTATAAGTAGGAAATACTTTGCTCTGCTGTAGCTTAAAGAATTAAAGTCTGTGAATAGAGTATAGCTGCCATCTGCAATATCAATAAAAATTTTAGCTCCAGACTTTATAGAGCATGTTCTAGGTTTGAATAGATTGTGAGCTTGCTTAGCTTTAACACAGGTTTTACAGAATCCTAGCTTCTTTACTCTCTTTATTTGCATTGCCATTCTTGGATCTCTAGCTAGAATAACTATATTATGGGTGTTGAGATGCCTCCAGCATTTGTGCCAATTGGCCATTGTATTCTTCTTGATTTCTGATATCTTTGCCAGATGATTTGGTGCCAAAAGCATGTCATCTCTATCTTTATTCTCCAGAGTTGCTGTTATATAGCAGGGCTCTAGAAGTTTTGTAGGTACTGGAAATGTATATGCCAGTAAATTGTGTATTCTAGGTGTTTGTAGGACTAGAATGTCATTCTTGTTAAGCACAGCTTTAAAGCTCTGTATTTTATCTGCTGATTCTAGTAGAAAGACATGTTCTCTGTTGACATAAAGCTGTTCCACTGTAAAGCCATCTCATATAAGCTTCCCAAAGCTTATAAGGTTAACCTGGAGGTCAGGCACAATTCTAACCCCCCCAATGCTTAATTCTTCATTGTCAGTTTGGATACTGGCCATGTCAAATCCTCTGGTGACTGATTTTAAACTGTTTGCCATAAGCAGTTGTGTTGCATGGCTCTTTGAGTTCATTTGAACTAGATCTGTATGTAAGATTGTGTGGGATCCAGCTCCAGAGTCAAGAATCCATCTATCTGTAGATTATGTGCTTCTCTTGTAGAAAAGACTGCTTTGTGAACTGAATGAATCTTGTCTGTTACAACTATAGTTATTTCCTTATCTTTGTCTTTAGAGTTTTTCTTAGGCTTGTTAGACTTTAAATTCTTGTTAGATTTGCAAAATTTAGCCAAATGACCAGGTTTACTACAAATATAGCAGTTCCAGTTCTGCAGTGAGCTCTTCTCTGAATTGAATTTGGAGTTTGTATTTTTGTAAGACTTTTGAAAATCTGAGCTTGTTATATTTGTATTTGGCTTTGTAGATCTGTCTTTCTTCTAATCTTTCTTGAAGATTCAGTGGAGGATATTCTTCAGTAGGCCTTCCAGATCCTTCTTCAGTAGATTTATTCTGCTCTGGCATGCCATATCAAATTAGTTCTGTATGAACTCTCTTCATCAGAACATAATATTCATCTTCAAGATATTGTGTAGAGTGTGGTCCAGTTGTTTGAACTCTAATCTCTCAAATTCTCTATAGATTACTAGAAATCTCTCTATATAATTCCTTTCTGAGCCAGTGGATTGTGGTGTCATTCTTACTAACTCTATAAGTAGGCTTTCCTGCTGTATCTCAGGTCTCTCTTGAAAGACTGTCCTTACAGCTTTCCAGAGTTTGTAAGCACTAAGACTATCTGATTTCTTAAAGTATTCTCTGACTTGTGCAGATATTGTACTGTTAATTAAACTGTGTAGTCAATTATTCTGAACATTCCAGTATTGTAAAATCTTCAAGTACTCTGGCTGTAGTGAAGTCTCTTGTCTTTCCAGAATAATCTTCTCAACATCTACTTGACAGACTATTTTTAGAATGGCTTTGCTCCATGCTAGATAGTTGCTGGCTCCAGTCAGAGTTATAGACTTCTTTACTGTCTTTATAATCTTTATGAATTGAGTGATTGCTCTGCTGATTTGTGTATTTGTATCTATAAGATTGCTAACATATTCTTTTAGTTTCTCATCAGAGTCTATTTCTCAGTCCTCTTCTTCTTCTTATTGAGCTTCATGCTCTAGATTCTCCTGCATTGTTGCAGGTGTATTTGTGGTGCTTGCTTGGCCTGATAGAAGATTCACTTGCTGTGCCAGCTGTTGTACTATCTTTTGTTATCTTTATATTAACTTCTGTTGTCTTTGCATTATCTTCTGTTGATTCAGTATTATTCTATGCAATATTTAGAGTTCACTCTCCTTTCTAGACTCCTGCTTGTTATTTGATGGGCTGTCTCTGAGCCTACTTGATTATCTAAGCTTAGTTTAAGGTGTAGGGAGGTTTGTTGAAGCTTCTCAGTCAGGAGTTCAGTGCTCTGATTTGTCTGTATGGTTCACCATGGCTTTGGCATTGCCAGGTGCTTAATTTGCTTGCTAGGTGCATTTAGCAGATGTTTTGCTCACTCTCTGGTTGTGTGCCAGAAAGCTACAGGATTCAACTTGCTTCTCAGCTCAGTGCTAGAAAGCTACAGGAGTTGTATGTATAGAAGATGTCTATCTTAATATACACTCTCTCTTGTGCTTGTAAAACCTCATTATTCACAAGGATAACTGTTCAGGATGTTGATTGTAAGCTTTAATATCCAATTGAGCTGTAAATCAATCTTATACACTTGCTCTTCAGTGCAAAGGGCTATAACCTGATAGAGGACTTGTATGCTTGTCATTCACTAAGCTACCTAAAGGGGAATCTCAGCTAATCTATGTGGGTCACGTGAGCGAGGTGCTAGTTGGATTACCTAACAATTTTGCCGTTTTTGAGCCGAATTAAAAAATGTTTAGCACCGAGCCATCAGGGCTTGAAGCTCTTCTCCACCGGCCACGACCCACTCGATGGCAGCATTTCGCCTCAAACCCGATCATCTACATCTCACAGCTGATATACAACCTGCGCCCTATTCCAAAAAGCAATACCGCTTCTACGATTACAACGGGAAGCTTCAATTCCCCGGTAACCGTCGTGTGTATATCAGACACGCACAACTGTCAACCGCACATTCCAGATGGCGACATATTAATCCACGCCGGAGACCTCACACAATCGGGCTCCCGCGAAGAACTCCAAGAGGCGATCTCCTGGCTCAATCGGCTACCGCACAAGTACAAAATCGTCATCGCCGGCAACCACGATATCTCCCTAGACCCCGCCACATACACGCTCAAGGAGCACGACCTGGTCCAGCTCTCGCGCGAGCTCGTCTGGGGAGATGTGATCTACCTCCAAAGCTCCAGCGTCAAGCTCACATTCTTCGGAGAGAACAAGCGCGAGATCTCCGTCTACGGGAGCCCCTTTTCTCCCAGGCACGGGAACTGGGCGTTTCAGTACCCCCGCCGCGGTGACTTCTGGCTTGAAAGTATTCCGGAGGGGACGGATGTCTTGGTCACGCATGCGCCGCCGCGGGGCCACCTTGATTTGGGGTATGGGTGCGAGAGTTTACTGCGCGAGCTGTGGCGGCTGAGGTGCAGGCCTGGATTGCATGTGTTTGGGCATGTGCATGAGGGGTACGGGGTGGAAGTTGGGGTGTTTGACGGGTTGCAGAGGGTGTATGAAGGGGTGGTGATGGGGCGGGGGAATCGAGTCTGGGGACTGATAAAGATGCTGGGTGAGTTTGTGAAGGTGTGGGTGAGGATGGGATGGCGACGTGAGAATGTGAGAAGGACGAGTTTTGTGAATGCTTCGATCGTGGGAGGCCTGCTTGATGAAGAGAGCAGGGAACCGGTGATTGTTACGATTTAGCATTTGGGTGGCCCCCCCGTGGGTTTAGTTAGTTAACTAACTACATAGTTGATGCCTGCGACTGGTTGGCATGGTGAATTCACAAAACAAACGAAAACAGCCAACAAAAAGAAAAAGAGACAAGAAGAGTCCAAAAAAAAAAAAAAAAGAGTTTTCCTTGAAGGGATATTAATGATGCTTTATTTAAAAATTTAGTACATAATTATGGAAACACACCATCGAAGAATCAAGAATCCACATAGTTCGCTAAACTCGCATTCAAGTACAGCACCAAATATGATAAATGTCAAATGTGAAAACAGGCGATGATGAGCCCCAAAAAACAAACACGAGTAATCCGTATCTCACATGCGATCTCCTAATAGTCGTCATCATATCCCCCATCGCTTCCCTCACCATAATAGTTGCCTGCAAATGCAGCTTCGATGCGATCGTCATCGTCATCCTCGTCTTCATCCTCATCCTCATCCTCGTCATAATCATCCTCATCGCCCGGCACGGGATGCGCCCTGGGTTCCGCTTCGGGAATGTAGCCCAGAATCTCCTCGTTAGGATTCGCTGGCTGCGCGGGCTCAGGCTCAGGCTCCGGTTCTGGTTCTTTTTCTGGTTCTGTCTGGCTGGGGGGAGCAGGTGTGATCCTCGTCGCCGACAGTGTGGGCACTGGTCTCCTGCTCGGCTCGGGAGTAGCACTCGCTCTCGCCGCGACGCCGGCAGCGTGTTTACCCTTAAGCATCCTCCTTCGCGCCGAAGGCCTGATGCTGCCCAAGCCACCGAACCCACGGTCCGACGCAACGCTGGAACTCCGCACGCTTCGAGCGACGCTCTGGCTGCGGCTCCGACTTCGAGCACTCTCGGCCTCGCTGTCTCGGCGCTTCACTTCGATGTCGTCGTCCTCGTACATCTTTTCCAGCAACGAATAGTTGATCTTCTTGCTGAACCCTCTTCTCTCGAGCATCAGCCTGGTTGCCTCTGCCGGGGTGGACGCGCGTGATGACGCTCTGTCGCCATCGCCGCCTTCCCCGGTCAGATACGTGACATCGCCCATGCGGCCCTTTCGGCGTTTTCGCGGTTTGTGGCCAGCGCCTGAAGCCGACGGGTCTGCAGCCGTCAAAGCACGTTTGAGGGCCTTGGCCTGCTGCGCACGGAGATAATCTTTATTTTCATGCACCCAGATGCGTTCTTTGATCTCTACTTCTGCCGGTGAAAGCAGGCAATATCGAACCTCCGGGTCCGAGTCGAACTCGGTGGGGTCGATTTCTTCGCTATCAGGAACTGGTTTATTGGGTCGCTTGTCGGGAACGATTTGTCCTTTAGAGGAGGAGGCAGAGGCAGTCCTGGGTGCCTCTGCACTCGCAACTAACGAAGAACCAGAAGAAAGGAGGGCCGTCATCTCGTCTTCAAGAGCGGATTCCGAGGCCAGTTCAGCTTCAGTGGGTTCGGGGAGTCGTGCCCTTTTGCTGCCTTTGCGCTGATTGGTGGACTTCTCTACTCCAGCGACGCCAGAGTTGCTCTCCGCAGTGGCGTTGCCGTCTGCAGATGAGAGAGAATCTTGCATTTCCAGCCCTAAGATCGCCGGGTCGATAGGAATATCGGGAACGGCGAAGCCATCGGCATCAACGCGACGAGGTCGTTTTGAAGCCGGCGGTGACTGATCCGGCTCCTCCCCATCTTCGATTTCGGCAGCAGTTTCTGGTGCCTTTCGCTTCTTTCCCTTGTTGTTGAGCCTTCGAGGGTCCTTTGAGTGGCTGAAGGACGGTGGATCGTGAGAGGTTTCCAAGTCCACGGAGCGGAATTGATCTACTGTAAGGTCTCCACTTTCGGTAGCCTTGAATTCATTCAAACGCTGGTGGATGGTCAACTCGGTGACCTTGACGACGTAGACGACTTCGCGGACGGTGCGTCGAAAGTTGTTCATGCGCGCGGCGAGAATTAAAGCAGCTCCGCAGATACCGGCGGGCCGTCGCCCTGTTATCATCCAGTCGCGATTCATTCTCTGAACGATGCGAACGGCCTCGCTCGCGACCTGCATCATCGAAGAGCCGAATTCAAGTTGCTTTGCGAATCGATAAATCAGGCTTTCGGGATCTATGGGGTTCATGATGAAGATATTTCCACCCAGACGCAATTCGTCAAGGAGAGCCTTGTAGGTTCGGCCGAGTTTGAAGACATTGATCTGAGTTCAGCTTTTTAGCATTTATACGAAAATTCCGGACGTCAAGTTCAAAATAAAGTGAACGGCATACCATCAAAACGTCGGCGAAATCAATCAGCATTATAGTGTTTCCGTCCTGCCGCCTGCATGCCACATACAGACAGATCGCGGCCACGGTCTTGGTCCGTCGGCCCTGGATGAAGTTCAGGCCAACTGCGAGCTTGAATACCTGTCCTGCCGCCTTGGAAGCACTTTCGGGGATGTTTAAAGCTCGAGATAGCTGTGCGATGTATCGATTTCCTGTGGCCTAGCGTTAGGTTGGGATGAGGGCAGCTCGGGGGATGGATGGATGGACGGATAGATAGATAGATAGATAGACGGAAGCGACATACCATTTTGCTCTGTGATCTCTCGAGACTCTACTCCTCCACCACGCTGGAATCCAGGGCCTGTGCTGCGGCCATGACTCTGGTCCGCCCCTATGAATGTACCCTGGACCACGGCGGCACCGGACGAGGACTCTCCGAACGTGATTTCGGAGACTATATTTGCTTCGCTGATGACGGTACCGCAGCCGGAGCACACCTTCTGACCGTCATCCTCGACGATGTTCGGAGCTGGACAGCCGGGGTTCGGGCAGGTGGTGGTCTTTGGATAGGTGGTGGGCTTGGTCTGCGGGCGTCGGATAGGAGTTGGGGTTGGATTTTTCAGACTGGCGAGGCGCTCGACGGGTCGGACGCCGGCCCTGGAGGGGGGTGGAAGACGGGTTGGCCGTACGCTGGCCATGGGGGTGGGGGGTGGGGGGGAAGGTAATCTAAGAACAGCACCTGGTATCTGGCGGGCACGACGTATTAGCTTGGGAGGATGACTGTGAACGTATCAAGGTGAAGGGAAGGGAGGGGAAGAGAGAAAAAAAAAAAAAGGCGTTGCCATCAGAACACAAGGACAAGGGGGGTTTTTACTGACAATGGAGTGTTTGAAAGGACAAGCAAGGCCTCCCATTCAGCTCCGGTCCCCTTGAATGATAGAACAGTAGGAATAAAACGGCCACTGGCGCATAAACAGAGAGCTATCACCACTGATGTATGGAATGTATCCTCGAGCTATATCATCGATAGGCGAGGATGGCGGCGGTGGTTTGTCGGGCTCTCGTCGGGCGCCGGGCGGGCTGACTGGCTGGCGGCGGTGGTGCAACGGTCAAAGCGTGCGTGCGTGAAAGTCGAGTCGAAAGGCGAAAATCTGCGGGCTCTCGCGCTAGGCCCGATCGGGTGGCGGGGTTGGTCGCCGGGTTCGAACCGCGTGGCTGCCAAACCTTCTTTTACTCCGCCTAATAATTATTATTTTATTTTATTTATTTTATTTTATTTATTTAACTTTTTTTTTTTTTTTTTTTTTTAAAAAAAAAGAATATATATATGAAAAAAAAGAAATCTAGCCCGGATAATTCATCAGCTGGCTGGTCAGCTGTACGAGCCATTTTCGCGGAGATCGACTTGGCTTCGCTGCTTTTTTGATTTCAAATCTCGAGGGGTTGCATCTCAACACTAACTACGGAGTAGTTAACTCGGGTTTGACCAACGCAGAGACGCTGCTACACCAAGCGGTCCATCACCCCGGGTGAATGTTAGCTAGAGCACACACAGACTGAAGGAGCGGACAGGCGACGGCTCCTGTGTTTGGTTGACAAGATGGGAGTTGGGTTACTCACTCTGCTTTTATGCTTTATTGGCCGTCACAGCGGCCGCCTCCGTGGCATGCGCTTTTGGACGTCACTCTCTTCTGGCTCTGGGGATAGCCGCCCACATGGCAACTCCCGTCCCGTCTCCCCGTCCAGTGAACAAGCCACAACCGTCGGGGCATTTGTGATTCTGGAACCGGATTATAAACCCCATCTTGTTTTCTTTTTCTTTCTTTTTCCTTCTCGATAGGCTCTGCTGTGGCCTCGCGAGCTTTTGGGTTTGTGCCATAGAGCCCTGCGGCATTTGTGCGTCAACGTTGCGCAATTTGACCGCAAATCCGCACAACTCTCGCAACTTGCCACCCCTATCGCCCTTTTTTTTTTTTTTTTTTTTGGCTCCTTTTCAGATGCTATGATCAGATCGAGATCAGCTTAAATATCGTGTCTGCCCACGCTGGGACGAGGAGTTATCCAAGCTCTCCGTTGGTATTTTCTGTCCTACGTCCTGCATTCTCCTGTACGTGCATGCATCATACATTCATTACCTTGTGCATGTGGCTGGTAGCACGACGTACTCTGTACAACGTATATATATATATTTATATATATTGATATACAACCGCTGTTTGAGTAGTATGTCCTTGTACATACTGCAGACTTGTTTTTTTTTTGATCCCATCTCCATCCATACCTACTCAGCCGTCCATCGGGCGGAAAAAGAAGCATCCGCTGCACCATCACCTTCTCTCATCCGTGCTTTCGCCCCTTGACCGCCGCCGGATTCTGCAATCGCGCGCGCGCCCCCTGACTTGCTGGCGATCCGGGCACTCGGATCACCAATCTAACAAGCTCCGTGCACAGAAGGGGTTTACGAGAACCATGGCGGAGAAAACCGTTGCGACATCACCTCCTCCACATTTCACTCGCCCTTCGGCCCCTTCGCCCTCCTACAGCCGACAGAGATTGCTCACAACTATTCTCCTGGTCAATAATATCCACTGCGCATCTTGTGTGACATATGCAAAAGAGGTCGTCAGCCATTTACCACACATTGCGCAGGTCGATATTTCAATCCTCAAGCATGAAGTCCGCATCTCGCACTCCACCAAGCTCCTGGCATCAGAGCTTGTGGATGCCCTCACCGACGCCGCCTTCGAGGTCTTCCACGCAACAACGCAAAATGAATTTGGCATCCCCATAGACGATATCGACATCGACACCTCTTCCTGGAATACAGGCTCCTGGCTCCGCCCGTCGTCCCGTCTTTCAGTGTCCACAATGGATACCCGCACAAGGGAGAGAAATAGGAGGCACATAGCCAACTGTGATGCTTGTCAACGAGAACAAGAGAAGTACGCCATACCAGACAAGGATACACAACAGGAGAAGACCCAAACCCCAAAGGTAAGAAATCCAACTTGATTCGGAGCCTCTAATTGGCTCTAAAAAATAAATAAATAAATAAATAAATAAAGAAAGAAAGAAAGAAAAAAAAAAAATTCGTGCTCACCAGATTTTAATGTCCCAGGGTTCAATCTTAAGCATAGAGTCATCTTCGCTGTCGAGTGGGAAGCACCCTTCACCCGTTCCTCATGAGCCTGTCAAAAGTAAGGGCGAAGATGAGTATACTGCTCAGATCAGCATTAGCGGGATGACCTGCGCATCCTGCTCCAATAACATAACGGAGCACGTCCAAGAACTTGATTTTGTCAAATCAATCGTTGTCAACCTCGTTACCCATAGCGCTGCGCTTACCTTCCGTGGGCCAAGGGAGAATATCGACAAGATCACGGAGCGGATCGAGGATCTCGGCTATGACGCAAGCGCTGAAGAAGTGGTGGTTCTCAACTCGCGACCTCGGGATCTCTACGTCGCGAACCTCAGCATATCTGGAATGACATGTGGCTCCTGTGTCGGTTCGATTACTCGTGACGTCAAAGGCCTGTCCTTTGTGACAGATGCGGTTGTCGACCTCCTCAGCCACTCGGGAAGGATTGAGTTCGAGGGCGAAGGGAATCTTAAACAGATCCTCGATGCGATCGACGATCTCGGCTATGATGCCACTGTGATCGACTGCAAGCCGATTGATCGCACTGAAGGTGCAGAGAGTGGTCCCAAAGCTCGAACCATTGGAATTAAAGTAGATGGGATGTTCTGCCACCATTGTCCTGGGACAGTCATGGAGGCTTTGGGGAACCTCGAAGCCGGTAAAATCCAAGTTGAAGAGCAAATAACTACTCAGAAACCCATCGTCACGATTACCTACACTCCTGATCCACCCAAAATGACCATTCGAAACATCCTCAGTGCCATTGACGCGTCCAATAATGCCTTCAAAGCGAGCGTTTACCATCCGCCGTCGATAGAAGACCGTTCTCGCGCGATGCAGAAGCAAGAGCAGCGTCGTCTCCTGCTTCGTCTCCTGTTTACATTCATCGTCGCGATACCTACTTTCCTCATCGGCATTGTCTGGATGGCCGTCGTCCCCAAGTCAAACTCAGTTCGACAATACCTCGAAGAGCCGATGTGGGCAGGATCCGCATCACGCTTGGAATGGGCCCTCCTTATCATGACTACCCCTGTGATGGTATACGGCACCGATGTCTTCCATGCCCGTGCTTTGAAGGAGATCCGTGCCCTATGGAGGCCTGGCAGCCGTGTTCCTTTCCTTCGAAGGTTCTACCGCTTCGGGAGCATGAACATGCTGATCTCCGCTGGAACATCAGTGGCATATTTTGCTTCTGTGGCGGTCCTGATTATCAATGCAAAGAGCGACAAGCACGAGGCAGGACACACATCCAGCTATTTCGATACGGTGGTCTTCTTGACCTTGTTCATCCTGGCAGGCAGAGCTCTAGAGGGATACAGCAAGGCAAAGACCGGGGATGCCGTTTCGATGCTGGGCAAATTGCGCCCGTCTGAAGCACTGCTCGTTGTGGAGTCCCCATCTGCTGAGCAAGAGGGCCCCAAGTCAAGCATCCAACGCGTGCCTGTCGACCTTCTTGAGATTAACGATATCGTCAGCGTTCCACACGGAGCCTCTCCACCTGCAGATGGCGTGGTTACCGGGACTGATACATACAAGTTTGATGAAAGCTCATTGACTGGAGAATCCATGCCTGTACGCAAGGTCGCCGGTGACAAGGTCTACTCCGGCTCTGTGAATGTCGGGCAGCCTGTGTCGATCCGAATTACTGATCTGGGCAGCACATCGATGCTAGATCAGATCGTGGCGGTGGTTCGCGAGGGACAAGCAAAGAGAGCACCCGTCGAGAGAGTGGCGGACGTCATGACGGGCTACTTCGTCCCTATTATTACCCTTATCGCGATTCTCACTTTCGTCATCTGGGTTGGCCTGGGTGAATCTGGTGCTCTTCCCCCAGAATATCTCGATAGTTCTCAGGGAGGATGGACATTCTGGTCCCTCCAATTCGCGATTGCTGTATTCGTCGTTGCTTGTCCCTGCGGTTTGGCCCTGGCTGCCCCTACCGCCCTGTTTGTCGGCGGTGGGTTAGCTGCGAAACGTGGCATTCTGGTTCGAGGTGGTGGTGAAGCTTTCCAGGAGGCCAGCCGTCTCGATGCTATTGTATTTGACAAGACCGGTACTTTGACCGAAGGAGGCACTCTAAAGGTCTCCGATCATGAGGTACTTATTGACAACGGGGAATTGGAGCAAGTTGCGTGGGCCGCAGCCAAAGCACTGGAGGAGAGTAGCACTCACCCGATTGCCAGAGCGATTGTCGACTTTTGCAGTGATCGGTCTTCAGTTTCAGTCACTTCGTCTTCGATCAATGAAATTGGCGGTCAAGGAATGAAGGGAACGTTCACAGTACCTGCAAAGGAAGCCGAAGACACTCCGGTGGAATACGAGGCTGCTATCGGGAACCAGCGTCTCCTGAGCTCGCTCATGGCGGCAGACAGCGATACTTACTACCTGGACAATCTTCTATCCAAGTACCAATCGGCAGGACGCTCCACTGCCATCCTCTCTATCCGCAGAGTCTCTGGCCCTGGAAAATTCGTCCCTGCCATTGTCTTCGCCACTGCTGACCCTATTCGCGCTGAAGCCGTCGACGTAATTCGCCAACTCCGAGCCAACAACATCGACATTTACATGTGCACCGGCGATAACACTGTCACCGCTCATGCTGTGGCTTCCACCATTGGCATCCCAAGCACAAACGTCATGTCCAACGTTCTACCCACCCAAAAGGCAGAATACATTCGCAAGATCAAAAACAACGAACTCTCCACGCATACTGGCAAATCCCCCAATAAGAAAACCATCGTCGGCTTCGTCGGCGATGGCACAAACGACTCTCCAGCCCTTGCAGCTGCAGACGTCAGTATCGCGATGGCCTCTGGTTCCGACGTCGCCGTCAGCTCCGCCGGCTTCATCCTCCTTAACTCCGACCTGCGGACCATCCTCGAGCTCTGCACCCTCAGTCGACGGGTCTTCCGACGCGTGAAATGGAACTTCTTATGGGCTGCGGTGTACAATGTCTGCCTTATCCCCGTTGCGGCGGGCGTCTTTTATCCTATCGTTAGCGGGCATAAAACTGATTCGCACGGACGGATTGTGAATACCCACTGGCGGTTGGATCCCGTGTGGGCGGCTCTGGCGATGGCTTTGAGCAGCTTGTCAGTTGTGATGAGCAGTTTGGCGTTGAGATTAGAGTGGAGGAGTATTAAAGGCTGGGCCATCAAAATATTAATGCGCCGGGGCGATGAGAGAATTTGATATGAGGGTTCATTTGGAAATCTTTACCAATTGATCTTCCAGGAGTAACTTTTTTGGTAGCACAATACCTGACCTACGACTGTTCCAATGTTAGACTTTTATTTATTAAGCCTTATGATTCTGCACACAAATGATTGTAACTGTTTTCGGAATTTCTGCTTCTCTTTCATTGTTTGGAGATATCTCCTAATTAGGATCAGTTGATTATTAATTGTAATGGATAGCCAGAGTGATATTTATTGTTGATATCATTTAATGCCACAATTCTTTAACCATCTATCCCTGGAACCAATGACCGCAAAATGATTTATATCAAGCGTATAAAATAATGGATCATAATCTAGAGTGCAGACAGCTAACACCGGATAGGATATCTGTATGCATAACAAGCGTCTTTGTCCCATGCACCTAACGCCCATGTATGCTTGGAACCTTGAAGCCGTAGCTAAATAACCTGGTTATTTCTGTCGCGCCCAAACCTCCGAGATCCTCTTACTCAAAGCTTTTCCCACTTTCTTCCTCCCAACTAGGTTTCCCATCTTTGAAAATAGCATTTCCTCCACTCTCTTCTTACCTTCCGCATCGCCGGTATCCACAGCCTCAAACGCTTCAACAAACTGCCGTGGAGTTGGCCACCGCCGTTGAATCTCCAACGCTTTCTCGCCGGTCACACCGCGGGTGCACATAAGCATTTTGAGAAATAGGTCACGGAGAGTCAACATATCGGATTTAGAAGAGAGAGCGGAGAAGGTTGGAAAGGTAAGGCCATATATCGTCGACGTGTTTCCACCTACGCTGACACGTACAGCTTCATCTTCCTTTGCGCGTAGGCGGCCAAGCGTTTCGAGATAAGATGAGGCCGTAGTTATACCATGCGTCGGAATGAGGGAAATGGAAGAATGTGTAAAGCCTGAAGAATTGCTGGTGTCACATGGATCGCTGAACATTTTTCTCAGCAGCGACGTCATTCGCGCAAGGTATCTGATCGTGTCGTCTAGGTTACGTGTCTTTTTGACGAAATATCCATTCACAACCTGCGTCGAAGCTATGGCTGATGTGACGGCTTCATGGACACTGGCCGCGCTCGCGTTTGAAGGGTCACCCACGACAAATTCCTCGACTAGGTATATCACGTTCTTGACCCCTGATCGACGCAAGCGAAACTTCTGCTCGTGAAATCGGCCATCCCTGATACTGCTAACAAGGTCATCGAGGCGCTTTCTCTCGACAATCCAGTCTAGCATGATCTCGTCGCCTTCTTCGCCATATTGTGCTAAGAAATTTGGATCTTTGAACTTGGCGACCCACAAGGCGTCTCCCAATTCCAGGGAGCGGACGATAGGTTCCACGCCTCTTCTAATCAGCTCATTGGAAATGTAATCTCTGTCCCTGGGGGTACGAATTTCTCGAACATCAAGGACCAGCTCAACGGTAAAATTTTGCGACGAAAGGGGAATTGGCGAAGTAGAAGTAAAGGATGGTATATGTTGCGGTCTATTGGAACCGCTCAGCCCGGCACCAGCCGTAGTCCGCTTGTATTGTCCAGCACTAGATACGTCTGGGATATCATTAAAATTATCCAGGTCAATTATGTTTGAGAGCTGGAAATACGGCGCGTTTTCACGAGATTTCGATGAATACAGGAGCATCCCATGCTGTGGTTCTCGGAGCGAGTCTTGAGTTGCGTTGACGATTTCCTGGCCGAATCGGCGGCTACTGGCGACGGAATTACCAGGCCCTGGGCCAATATTTTCTGATTTCTGAGTATTCTGAATTAATCTTGCAGTTTCCCTGCCTTGGTCCGTTAGAAGATATCTTTTCAATGGCCGACCGTGCTCGTAAACAAGATCCTTTGTCACGAGAGTTTTCATAGAATTCCACGCGGTATAAAACTTTGTCGGATCGGACGGAGCGGTGAAAGATGTGTCGCAGTGCGGCTGAGCCGCTTCTATTAGCTGCGCCTTTGTCGCGCCGATAGATGACTTCTCTTCGAGAGTCGCGAGCGCCAGCAATAACGCGTAGGGACCAGAGCGGAGTGTAGGGATATAAGTCCTGGGCTTCCTTGCCCGCTTCGTTGGTAGAACTTCTGGGCATCCACCGACCTCAGGAGTCTTTCTCTTGCCCTTCGCCTTCTCTACTAGTGACGCCGCATTTAGTGCTCGGGATGAAAGGGAAAAGGCGGCAAGACCGAGATAGTTAGAACACACCGGTATGTGGAACCTCGGGCATAGGAAGCCCATTATCCCGGCAGTAATCTTGTAGCTTGACTGTTAGGCGCTCGCATAGTTTCGGCCCAAGGCCATTCAACTGCTGCGCTTCTAAAGGGTGGCTGAAGGTTAGCGGGCATGCCTTCATAGAATCATAGGCCTTCTTATACCTGCAAAGCGAGTTAGCCGTGATTATAATCTCCAGATCATGGGAGACTAACACAGTGAACCCCTTTGAGCTTCGTTCTCGAGCCTCATCCAGCCATTCTTTGATCCATCTTAGGAGGAGAGGGTTTGCGCATGAGTAGTCGGCCATGCCTGCTCGGTGACGGGAACACCAATGAGCCCGTACTCAAACTAAAAGCAGGATTACTAAAGTATTAGATATATGTTTCTGCCTCCAGTACCTTGTCGACGAGAGTGGTTCCGCTTCTCCCTCTCCCTCTCCCACTACTGCCCGTCGTTTCCGGGGTTGCACTCCATAAAAACAAACAAAGCAAACATCCCTGTCGCTGCAATCGCGACACGTGCTCACGTGACAGTGCTAAATGGTTGGAAATGATGATCACGTAATCAAGTGGTGGTGATTTCGCATCGAGTGAAATCTTGTCATGGCCGAATCGGTTGAACACGAATCCTCGCTCGGGCCATCAGCGCGCTCTCGAAGGTATTCAGAGAGAACCAAATGTTTGCTCGCTTCTGACAAGGTTCAGGGTTGGACACAGGTTTCCTACCTGTGATCTTCCCCTGCATTGTCGTCGTCTGCGGCTGTAATATTACAGAGGTGTGGGAACTTGGCGTAAACGATCATTCGTACAGTTAAGCGTATCGTTAGTTACCGTATATGGACGCTAGCCGCCTACTCCCGAGGTCGGTGCGATAGGACCTTTCCAAGACTACAAACACCGCTGGTGGTATCCTGGAGGTAGAATGACGAGGGTATAACGATGATGGAAATTCGGTACGCGTTAAGGTGATCTCACGAGCCGTTGAGAGGTCAAAAGAAGCTTGGGTCCGGAGAACCAGGATCCAAAGATGTGAGCTGCATCGACGTGGAGGTACCCTTGTACTAGCCAACCTTGGTACAGGCTTATGACACGCACATTCAAACCGACGGGTACGTGTGTACTATACAGTACAGTACATATGCCGTACACGCCAGCCAGCCAGCTGGCAACCTTACCGTATCTTTGTAAGACCGCCGTGGCTGGAACCCCTGACGTACCCCCCGTTGAGTCTGTTGCTATCAAGCTCGCCCACACTTCCCCCCTCACGCCAGCCGCTCACTTGTCCGCCCCCCAGACCTCACCTGCTTCTCCCTCGCTTCTCTCCTCCTCGCACCTCCATATCTCGCACCTCCAAGCCATCTCCCCATCAATTGGACTCCTTTCTTCATTAAAAACCGTCCTTTTTATCCACCATAACATAGCATCACGATTATTTCGCGCCTAGGCGCATTATTAAGCAGCGCATTCTCTCCACAAGTCCGGGTTTCGCACATCTCGCAACTAGCTATGTCTACCCGGAAGAGAAGACAGGAAGCTGAGGAGGAAGAGGAGCTGCAGGCTCTGCCGAGCGACGTGAGCGAAGAGGAAGAAGAGTATGTCCAATCCCTATCTCAGTTGCTGAGCTGCCCTTTACCCTAGCGTTTCTTCCCTTTGGGACACCAGGGAGACCTACTCTCTGCTGTTTTGCGTGCGACCATTGTGTGCATCCTTTTAGGATATGTCTATGGCCTCATTCGTCAGATGAAAGCACCTGATGAAGATGGAACATGTTTATGTTTTGATAGCCCCAATGCACGCTTGACATATATCTTTGTACCTGTTTTTGCCTTTGAATGTCAGCTACTGCTCTGCATCAAATAAGCACTCCAGTATTTTCTGACCTTATCACTTCAAATAGATTTGAAGAATCAGAGTTTGAAGCAGAAGGCGGATCCGAAGAAGAAGAAGAGGAAGAGGAAGAGCAGGTTGAGCCTGAAGAAGAAGAAGAAGCTGAGCGTAAGTTGATCGAATTCATCCTATCCTTGCTCATCAGTGCGTTGCGAAAATAGTGTATATTCTCATATTGCCCCTCCCAAGTTTCCGTTCATTCATCAGTGTTGCCTAATTTGGGAGCTTGTGGCTGATGAGTCTTTCTCCCAATAGCGCGACACAAGAGACGCAAAACAGGCCCTGCCCCTAGAGAGAAAGAAGAGGAGGAGGAAGTAGAGGAAGAGTTAGAGGCAGAAGGAGAGGAAGAGGAAGAATTAGAGCTTCCAGCGGAAGAAGAGGAGGAAGCAGAACTGCCAGAGGAAGAGGAAGAAGAAGAAGAAGTGGAAGGCGGAGCGCCACTTGAAGCAAATGGCCAAGGCAATCAAGAGGGAGGTGACGAGGAGGAAGAGGAAGACGACGATACACCTCTAATCAAAAGAGATGTGCGCCACGCTACTGAGAAAGGGGCTGCTGATGTTGCTGCCAAGCCCACTGCGCAGGTGGAACTTGACGATGAGGAAGAATGAATTCACCGGGTATAGAAAAGGGACAGTTACTCTGGTCCGTGTATTCGTATATTATTAGTATGGCTTTGTATTAGAACTGCTTCTCGAATATGGACGGAACTCGATAGGCGAATGGTGATTTCTCTGTCATGAATCTCTGGGATTTTTAGAGAAGTTCAGCCTGCAACACAAAATGATGTCGCCCCACTTCAAAAGATGTGAAGAAAACAAAATTGTCTTAGCCAATGAAAATATGTTTGCATTATAAGCAAAGTTCTCAGGGATTGCAGCACCCAAGTCTGATAACAGGCAGGATCCCTAATTGCGGACGGGACGAGAATAGGTTTTATGAGTTAAGAACTATTAAATTTCTCCGGCATATCTGCTCCATGCGCTGGAAGTTTCGGCAAGGAATATTAACTAATACTATGGATCCACAAAGAAAGCCATGATCTTTATAGTCAAACCTCTCTTTCAGCCTAGCCATCGCTACCAGTGCTTCTAAATGTAGCGCAGAGTTGGCAATAATGGTGGGTAAGGTCTAACACAGGTTGGGGTAAATTTGTTGCCTGGACTATGCTGCGAACTTTAACCGCTCCTTCTTCCTCGATCAACCTGCGGATCGTAAACAGGAGCTCGGGAGAGAACTAAATATAGCAGATACCATCAGCACTATGAAACGAGACAATCGACAATTCCCATATCTTCAAGCAACATACCTCCGAATACCAACGATATTGCCAGGCAATAAGCCTGATCAGTGCGTTAAGCATACCCCTCGTGTCGTTTTGCCGCTCATACATTTTGAGAATGCCCTTCATCGCTTTGGGTGAGAAGCGAATTTGCAAACAATGCTGGTACGCCTCTATAGCCTCATTGAAATGATGCAGTCGCTCTGCCAGTTCTCCAAGGATTTCCCATTCGGTTGCAGATTTCTTATATTCTATCGACTGTGCACGAGATTGCGCCGTTTCACTGCGCCAAATGGTGTAGACGCGCAAATCCTCGTATAAAACCATAAATAAATTGTCAAGCCAACGCTCGCATAATCGTTTGTTGTTAAAATGCGTATAAGCGTTCGGAGACTCGTGCTATGCGTTAACGGTAAGCCGATATACAAAATATAAGAGGAGAGAAACTCATCTTACATCTTCACCGCCCGACTTTACAACCTCTGATGCCATACTTTGCTCGGGCTTTTCGATTCTTGATTCAATGGAATGGCTTTCAGACTGATCCAGGTCGCCGTTTTCCTTTGGTGTTTCACCATGGGTGCTGTTTCGATCGCCATTTTCTTCCACGTCATCTGAGTCGTGGACTCCGTTTCCGTTTACGTCTGAAGCTGCGCTAGAAGCCTCGTGAAGCGCTACCGTACTAGCGTTGTTGCTTGTGACGGGGCGCGCTGAACTCGCCTGGCGCTCGACTCTGTATTCTTCTTCCATGACAAATACTTCACTTCGGATCCTCAAAAGCTGGTCCCAGCCAATAGCTGCTGCAATCTTCGTGAGTAGGCTGTATGCTTTCAAAAATGTGCCTTGATAGGTAGCAGCGTGAAGTTTTTTCAAAATCGGGTTGACCATATCAACGGGATCTCCGGGTTTCGGCTGCCCCTCGTCAAGCTCATCTAACATGCTTTCGGGGAGGATGGGAAGGAGGATCCGAGACGGTTGTGGAAGTCTTGGGGAATCTTTATCTTGATACGTGAACATAGGACATGAATTTAGTGTCAATAAGGCCAAATCCCACTGTTCCAAGTGCACGTATACTTCCGCCAACCGTATCCAGGAGCTAAACTCGCTTGGAGCAGCTGTGACACTCCGTTTAGCACATTCGAGCGCCATTTCATATTCGCCTTTGCTCTGGCAAAAGACTGCTTGACAATCCAAAAGAGCGTAGTCCATAGGTACATCTTGCAGTGCATCATGCAGTAGCCTTACTGCTTGGACCTCTTCGCTTGCCGATATCAGGACTCGGGCAAGTAACGACGATACCTCAACGTCTTTTGTTCGAAGTTTTTCGAACAAGTTAATACCCGATGCATAACGCCCGGTGGTATGGATGTATTTTAGCAGACCGGACGCCAGGTGGTTGCTCACTGTGTTGGGAACCTGAGTCTCTGGATCGGAACTAAGTTGTCTTCCTAGGGTTCCTGTTAGCCCCCGTAACGCCAATCCTCCCAGGTAGGGAATCCCAGACCATTAAAGAATAGCTTTTCCGCTGCATCAAGGAATTTATGTTCCATTTCCGTATTGGTTACGGGATTGAATCTCCGAACAGCGACGATCTTCTTGATAGCATCGCCATTCCCATCATCTGCATACGCATAGGCTCTCAAAACCCCACAGACGAAAGTCTCGAGCCATAACTGCTCTGTCGGAACACGTTTATCCCCGCGCTCGTCAATGCAATAGCTTTCGAGGGTGCCGGGAATTTTGACCTCGACTCGCATGTCTAAGTGGGAGAAGGCATTGTAGCAGCTTCATGCCATCAATGATTCGTCCTTTGAAAAGTAGGCTTGTTGATCTCACCAGTATATCCCTGAAATAACCTTGTTGTGCTTATCAAGCGGAGAATAAGTAAGAGTGGTAACATATGCAGCCAGGCTGGCGGAGGAGGAAGCGTCGATTCCCGTCACATGGTGGTAGACTCCTGTCTATAACATAGGGGATGGTTAGCATTCCATCACAATACCAAGCATGACAATTGAAAGTCAGGATGTGTGAAAGCAGTAAAAATAGCCGCATGTTTTCTAACCTGATGGTTGGCGTTGGCCTTTGACTGCTTCACGACATGGACGAGATCTGGGGGCCCGAGTTCCCTTAAGCTCTGAAGAGATTCTGTTCGGGCCTCAATTGAGGCATGGATATCCTCATCCTCTATCAATCTAAGGAGAATAATAGTCAATAGACATTTGTTGGAAACAAAGGACCCAATTCCGATCTTACTCTGGGACAGCTGGCGCAATCATGATGCAACAGGGTCGGGATCGAACAGGTGGCTGTTAAGGAGCGAACGTGTTGGGAGGCGAACGCGCGTGAAGTGAATCTCTTTGAACAATCCTCATAGGCATGAACAATCTTGTAGGCAAGCGAATGAGCCCAGCAGGCATCCAAGGAGAACTAACAGACGTTACAGTGGGAATTAGCTCCTGGTTTATCTTCTGGTGCTGCTTATCGGCGCTGCCATGCGCATTACGACAGCGTGCCAGATCGCGCTATGCTGGATTAGGAAGCTCTACATGTTCTCGTCCAATGCTCCTCCATCACCCAACTGCACCACTCAGTCTATTTGAACATCTGGGATTCCTGCTTGAACTTTCTCAGAAAATCTTATAGCACAGTTGCTGTGTGTTGCTTGCATTGGCTGGCCTTTTTTTTTTTTTTTTTTTTTTTTTTTTTTTTTTTTTTGGTTCTCTTTTGCTGTGCATATGCAATATCTGTGACGTGCTGCAAGGAAGTTGATCTGCCCCGGGACCCTGGCGAGCTTTCATCATGTCGACATTTGTTGCACTGAATGTCGAGCCCGCTGAAGATATCGAGGATGTTGATGATACCAAAGAAATCCAGATAGAGGAGGCCCTCAAATTATACCAAAATGCCCTGAAGCTCCATTCCCAGGGGCCTGAATACTACGACCAAGCTCAGGAGGCCTACAACGCCCTCTTTGAATCCGAAATATTCAAATACCCAGAGGCTACTTCTGAATACAAGAGAGATCAAATTCTAGGCTTGGATGATGACGACTTTTACTTTCCTGACGAGATAGCTGAAGGCGACTCGGCGCCGGACGCCATCAATACAACCTCCAGTGCTTTACCCCAGACAATATTTTTATCGTACAAAAATCATGCACAGTTCCTCTTAGATTACCTGAAAGTGTTGCTGGATAAACGAGAAAAGCAAGACGACATTCATGTATCAAACCAAATAAAGGAAGCTCTAGAGCATTTCGCAGAAGCTCTTGAACGGGACGAAACCGATATGGAGTTATGGAGGAAGAGCAGCCGAGTAGGAAGTGCTCTAAAAAGTCATCGGATTGCAAGATTTTGTTTGGAAAGTGTGCTTGAAGGAGATGGTTATGGGGTAGAGGACCGTCTTGGACAACCAGGGCTAGAGCAGGTTTTTGCTGCTAGAGACCTGCATGAAATCCTCAGAACCCTTCAGGATAAAGTTTCCTCCGCACAACTTCCACTTAGGCAGCCTAGAAAGGGTATTTCTCGTCTTTTGGCAAAGCAGGCGGACCTATATCCATTCCTTCCCCGTCACTCGAAAGAAACCCGCAGCTGTTCGGCGCCCCACCAGTCCGATGGAAACAAAACCCGCCATCGTCTCGCTACCTCTGCGAGTAATACGTGGACAGATGTTGGGAGCGCCATTCTTCGAGCATTAGCAGAGGAGTCACAGACCGACGATTCGATCTGGTCACCCGTGACCCTACGGATTCAGCTCCCTAGAAATAGCTGCTTCGTTGAGCTTCCGATCATTCAACAGAATAAAATAGGCGACTTCACAGAGGTTCGATTGGATGATGACGACGACATAGAACTCCCAGATAGAGAGAGCGGAGAGCCGGTAACTACGGCAGAGAAGCCGAGCTCTAAAAGCCCCAAACGCGAATCGGATTTGGACGACGAACAAAGCACGGAGAAAAACACAGATGAAAATGCTAAGGATAGTACGGACAAGGCCGAGCAAGCAAACGAGAAGAGTGCAGAACAGGACGGTGACGGATCCCTTACTCCACCTGCAGCTGACGCAAATGTCAAGGTCCATGGACCTCAATCTCGAAAGAGGTCCTCTACATCGGTTGGCAACGAAGAGCCCACAGATGGTGGAAGAGCAAAGAGTCGACGCATAAGGGCGCGTGAATCCATCGCCGAAGCGCAAGCCCATCAAGATGAAATCGTCTTCGACCAAACCAAATACTTCGAGGACCGCTTAGAACATTTTGCTCATGCCGACCAATGGATGTTCAGTACTAGCGGTGCACTCCTTTCAAAACTAGGCGTTGAGGAGCTTGGTACGATTGATGAAATGAGGCATGCCATCGACCAAACTGATGGACATACCTCCCCCCGTGGTTCGTTCCACGAGCCTAGCCTGGAATCAGTGAGTATGCGGGATCTCCGTGAGGCGATTGAGAATTGGTCCGGGGCACAGAATTTAAAAGATGATATTTTTACATCGCACGATGGTCTAGCAGGAGTTAAGCAATCCGGCCTGAATATTTTTCTCGAACGCTCTCGACAGGTTCAACCAGCTCTTAGTCAAAAAGAAAGCTCTTTTGATGATGAAGGGCTATCACAATTTGTGGAATCTGTTAATTCAGAAAATTTCCACCCCCAGAAAGTGGCATTCAAGTGGCTAGAATGCCATTTTACCTCCGATCTTTCATCCTCTTTAAACACCACCACTTCATCCAACCTCCAGCCAAGCTCAGCCTACGCGACTCAACGCTGGTCCGACAGAAAGAAATCCCTTATAAAGGATTTGATTGTCAGAAACGACGAGTTTACCTACAAACACTTTCTTTCCAGTGCCTGCGATTTCACCCAAACTTCCCCGGCTGGGAATGGGCCGTCGGCAGAAATGGCCCAAAGCCTCTATGAGCTTCACCTTGATATATTTGCATCCATGTGTTCGCCAAATAGCGATTCTGATGAATCCTACAAGGCACTGCAACGAGACCGACTCCGTCGTTGGGAGTCACTTGCGCGAAGACTGATAAATCACCGGGTAGAGATAGGTGATAAGAGCGACTTCCAAACCGGAAATATCTTGCGACATCTTTGGGCAACTATAATGAGCTTCAATTTGACAGCTGGAGCCGATCGCGAATATGTGCTAGCATGCCTCAATGATCTGAAAAGCGTCCTTACATCATTCGGTGAACCCGTGCTGACCTTGGTAAACAATGCCACTATGCCGGAGTTATCTATTTCGGCAGTTGAGCAAGAAATAGCAAGAATCAGCTCTATGGAGTTTTTCATGAAGGTGTTTGGCCCGGGAAAAGAAGACCCTGTGAGTCTAATCGAGAACATTGAGCCAATTCTAGACCCGTCAGCTATCGAACATCACCCATCCGAACTCGCCGAAGATCAGGTTACGAACTTGCTTCACGTTCCAGCAGAAATTCAACGAGCTCAAGATTTGGCTTTCTTCCTCGATCGTGGTGATGTAACGTTGAAGCTATTCCTTTGGCGGCGGCTCCAGAAAGCTTATGAGTCCATTCAATACCCAACCAAAGTCATTTCATGCTCACTCAGGAGCATCGAAATCATTGTTGGAGAGCTTGTAGCTCCTACATACCTCGAGTTACCAAGTAACCAACGCCAGGAAACCTTGCTGAGATGGCTTAATCGCGCGGACTATTTGATGCTTAATGTGATAGGAAAGATATTAGATGACCCTAAGAGCTCGTTCGAATGCATTGACATGAGCCACCTTCAATCGTCTATGTCTGCCATCGCGCGACTTTCAAGACTGCTACATTCATTCGTCCTCTACGAAGACTCTGTACGGATTGGCCAGACCAGTCCTCCAGAGATTCGGCCCGCAGCAGCCGCGAAAGCATACGACCATTATAAGGAGAAACTCCGTTCCATGCTGGTCAGGTCGTGGACTTTACAATACACTCTAATAAAAGAGGGTATTGCGCAGAATAAAGAACTGTTTGATATGCCCTCTGATGATTGTATCAATTATCTGCGCTCAGTCCATAACGCGCTCGGAATACGTTCATATTGCAGATACGCAAATAAAGTTCTCTTGAAGGTGATGAAGCAAGAGCTTCTAACCCTCGATGCAGAAGATAGCTATGAGTCAGACGTGGCGCAGGTGCTGTTCGATTATTACGGTCTCAAGTTCTCCCCAGAACTCGATATTTCCCTCGATCACGGCTGCCCCGTCGAGAAGTTGGACAGGTCTACGGCATTAATGATGGTAGATTTTGCCATGCTGCAGGCTAAGCGGATGAACATCAAAGACTTTTTAAGGTCAGACTTAAAGTCTACAATAGACACTATACAGATGTCTATAGGCTGGTCTGGTAGGATATATCCTGCTATCACCCAAAACAAGAGGATTATATCAGCGTTCCTGAAGTCTCCTATAAATCCTGCCATTCTGTACAGAGCAGTCCAAGGAGTAAGTGACGTATCGGTCATCCCTGTCCACACTGAGAGCTTCAGGTTGGCGGAAAACGGATGGTACTTCCTACTTGGGCTTGCAGCATTCACAAAATTCAAAACTCAAAAACGCCTTGGTCCTACGGCCACAGATGATCTCGATCTAGCTGCCACCTTTTTCCGCCGCGAGCTAGAACATGGAGTTGACCGATGGGAAACTTGGTACCGCCTCGGACAGGTTTATGATGCGAAGCTCGAAGAAGACATCACTTGGTCTGCCGAAAAACTAAATCATCATCGTGCGGATTTGACTTTGTTAGAGAGAAGAGCTATCCATTCGTACTCGATGGCAATAACTCTTGCTATTAGAACGGCAGATTCGTCTACGGAAACAAAAAAGACCATATCAGATCTCTATACACAATTTGGCTTCCGGATCTATGCTTCTTCAAGGGAGCCTTTTTCAATGGCCGCATTTAGCCTGGATGATTTTACGAGACATTTTAGCAGTGATAAGAGCCAGCAAATGTATACAGGGAGGCCGTTTAGGGATATGAAGCTCTACTCCACTTGGTACTTTGCTAGTTATCTATTTCAAAAAGCCATGGTTGATCGACCAATGAACTGGATGTAAGTGAATTTACAGATAATATCGTGCAATTATTTGGGTGCTAACAGCTCATATAGAAACCATTACATGTTCAGCAAGTGCCTTTGGAAGATGTTTACCTCCCAAGATCCTCTGAAGGAACGCTACAAGCCAATCGAAGTGGAAGATATCCTTGATTCTTTGGATGCAGCTATCGAAGCATTGCCTAAGAAAAGAGATTCCAGATCTGACCCAATTCTGGAACCTCATTTTAAGCTGGCGTCAATAATTCATAAACTGGTAAAGCGTGGAGATTTAGATGTTAGTACCCGCAACCAATCTTCTCATTGGAAGCTCAAGTATCTGACTATAGTTAGCCATGCAATGCAAGTGAGAGGCTTATTGCTACTCCTTGGGGGAGGAAACTTTCTCCAGTTGAAGATTTGGCTGGGTGGAAGCCATTCATATTGAACGTCCTGAAAAACCTCGGCACCGCTGACAAGTCAAACTGGCACCATCGCATTGTGGCAAGGGTAAGTATTCTTGCATCTTAGATTCTGTGCAGGGACTCATCTTTAATAGGCTGCCCATGTTATATACGACGACAGAAGGGATGTTGAGGCTGCCGCGGCAGCGAAACACGAGCTTTCCCAGCACATATTCACGAAAACAATGACACTCCAAGTGTGGAGGCCTGAAAATGAACGACCGGGAAGGCACTTCGTGTACACATCTCGTTACGTATATTTTTTTGTACACATCATGGACCAGCTCAACGATAGGACGGGCTTAGATCTTCTACTTCGTCGTGTACGGAGAAAACCCAACGACTACGTCAATTATACAAAGCTCTGGGAAGATATATGTCTTACCTATATAAAAGTATGTTGTCGGAATTTTGATACTGTTGCTATTATAATCCATGGTTTGACCAGCAGTTGCAGCTTTTCCGCCGGTTGGGCCATGTTCCCACAAGTCACGAAGAGGCGATATTCAAACCCTTAGGCCATGAGGAATTTGTTGCGAATGCCACTCGTTTAGACTCTTGGACACATTCCGAAACGGCGGAGCCAGGATTAATAGATCTTGTCAGAGAAGCTGTCGAGTTGAAGAAGCTCAACGGGGGGCTGATAAAGCCCGGTATATTCGAAGACTTGGTTGGAGACGTTTATGCACTTATATACGAAAAGACAGTTCCCGGTATCTTGGAAAGGATTGCCAAAGAGGAGAACCGCGAACGAATGAAAGTCGATCATCTCCTATCAGCTGGCGACTCCGTCAACGATAATCACACGCCACCCCCAGGGCTTGATAAATCTTCAGATAAGCCCCCGGAAAAAGCACCAGGACCTAAAGCCAGAGCCAAAGGTGTTACAAGAAGAGAAGTACAGCGAAAAGCAGATGCTATCGCCACCAAAGCGGCCGCATCGCGCCCAAAACCCATACGTCCAGCCGATGAAGACTCGAAGCCTGTTGTTGTCGAGCAGGCTGCGACAGAAGGAACGGCCAACAAAGACGAGGCTCAAGAAGAAGTCTCAAAACCGGTTTCACAACAAACTCCAGAAGCCGCAGAAGCGACGGGGCCAGCCATTGTCCCTAGTAGCGCGCTTCCAAGTATTCACGATAGTGGAGAAGACGAAAGCGAATTAAGTGAACTCGACGATTCAAAAATGTCAGACCCTTCAAAACCAAGTCTGCCCATGTTTCCTAATTTGCTTGTTAAGCGATTAGCGTCTCCGAATCCCATGTCTGAGTTGTCTTCGAACATTAGCCACGACGGTAGAGAAACGGGTGGAGATGTGGATGTAGATGGGGGCCCTGACGACGAGGGTGACGGCGAGGGTGACAGCAACAGTGAAGGTGACGGTGGCGGTGAAGGTGAAGGCGAGGGAGAGGGAGAGGGTGATGCTGAAGGAGAGGCTGAAGAGGAGGGGGATGGAGAGGGAGATGATAATGATGGAGAATCAGCTCAAACCATTTCCGTACCGGACAATAAATCCGAGCCCGGAGTGGTAGATAAGAAGCCCGGACGCACTGATGATGCTCGAAAGTCCGATCACTCAGATGTGGATATGGAAGGAACTTGATAAACCATCATCTGAGACTTGATTATACGAGCCGGGACTCTGCGTTCCCTAAGACATTTGTGCACGTTATTCGGTGTAATAGAGGCAGTCTGGGAATTCGAATTATGGAGTTTATTTAAGGAGCTCGAGGTATACTGCCTGGTGTGAAACTTTGTGCCCCAGGTCTTATTCGAATCGTTTCCAAAGGGGTTTCTTCGGCCAAACACGTAACTAACTATATTGAAATGCGAATTTTAAAAGGCTTATTTATCATATCTTTAGCCCGTTGAAGATAATAACAATTAGAAATTGACCTAGAGCGTTAACAAAAGCAAGCCTGTATATACCTTCCAGGGATATCATGAAAAGCACCAGCCAACGCTTGAGAAACTCCAAAAACGCCGCCGTAATTAATATCAGGTAGCTAGTAGAACGGCAGGCCCTCATTTCTTGTTCGTGTTCTTATTTTCTTTCTCTTTGACTAAGGGGACTCGATGGCAAATTTTCGCCTAACCGAAGTCTCCCCAATTTCTTGGAAATTGTTAGTGAGCCGTTCTCTCTGTCACTGTCTGCTTTAAGAAAGCTATAATCTAGTGAGTCAAAGCGACCAGGGATAGTATTCTTCTTTGACGTAGTGATGGTTTTCTTGGTGGGCGAACGGTTGAGTAATTCGCGCTCTAATGCAGCAATTCGAGTTCGGAGCATATCATTTTCCCGTTCGAGCTCGTCAACGCGCTCTTCAGTCGAGGGTTCAGGGTCTTCGTGGACTGATTCAATGTAGTCAGCTTCAGCCGTATTTAGTGTGAGCAAAAAAAGACCGTTCAAAGCCCAAAAACATACTTTCCACACCCCTTGAAAGAAGATCCAGCTTTCTATCGAGATGGCTTTCATGACGACGCGTCTGCTCATCCCAAGCTTGCTGCCATCTCCTTCTTTCGTCCTCAATGCGCTCTTCCATCTCCGCAAAACATTCCTCTCTAATTTCTTGATCAAGAAGTAAGCATTTCTCTTCTGCTGCCTTCCATCTGATCTCAGCTTCTTCCCGAGCCATCTCTTCTTCGGCCAATCTCATTTCTAGAGCTTCGTAGTCATCTGTCAATTTGGCAATTTCCAAGGCAGCACGCTCCAATTCCTCCGCTGAAGCTGATAGGAACGCTGATTTCCCACTATGAGCAGGCTTGGCTGGAATGGCTAGAATCGTGCTCGAAACCGACGGGATTCTGGGGACGGTAACCTCCCTAGCCAGAGCAGAGTAGCGTAGGATCTGTGAAGTCGCATTGAAATCGCCTAGTGGGTCTGCTGTGACTATCATGTTGGCCTTCTGAGGAATCCGGTGAGATGAATGTGCGGTTTGACCTGAAGAAGGGAAGGAATTCGAGAATAGCAACTCTGTGAGTTTGCACTGTCTGAAAGGAACAAGTGCCTAGTTGCCAACGATTAGTATATACATCAGTGAAGCCGTCTCGACGAATGTCAATCACCTTGCTACCAGACTGCAAGTTCGTCTGCATCTGCAAGCACTGGCCGAGATACATCAAACTTTCGTTAATTTTACCACCTTCTGCAAGAGTCGCACCGGCGGTCTTCGCATTCCTGGCGCGCTCAGAGCCTATTTTGCAAATTTAGTACAATCCACCATCAATTTGCGGTACGACATACCAGCAAGATCAACAATGGTCAGCGTATTCCCAACCCATGATTCATATCCCAACCTTTGATCTCGGATCTTCTTCTTGACTTCAACGCAAAAGAAGCCGTGACTTCTCGAACTAACACTGTTGCTTCCAGTCCCAGTGACTTTTCGCTCAGTTAACCCGGTCTCTAAAACCGTCAGTGCTTCCTCGCAAGTGCTACAGACGACCTTTCGTAGACCGACAACAACTTTTCTGTCCATTGAACCTTCGGTTGGTTTGAACATTAGCGGGCGACGGCTATCCTTTTGATTGTTGTTCGCTGAGCGGTTGGAGGATCCGTTACTTGGAGAAAGTAAGTCGAAAATTCGGTCGTTATATACTTCATACATCGACACCAATACGGCATATTCATCGTGTTCGGGTATAGATAGTACAAAGTCACTGACATCAGGAGTCTGCGGGAACGCGCTGGGTCTAGGAGCCATATGACGGCGAGGGAACGTTGCTGTAACCGGGGTTTCCTTAACGAGAGACTGAGATTTAGTTTCACTTCTTTTAATTCTATGAGTTCTCCAGAAGGGCAATTGGGAAGGGAGAGTGAGCTTCTTGGGTGCCGGCCATATAGGCACATGGCCGCCATCAGAATCTATTGAATTCAGAAGCCGAATTGTGGAAGCATAACAGCCTCTTTGGGTATCGGAATATCCAATAATCGGCCTGGGAACTGAAGAATAAAGCCCAAGGTTGGGACTCTGTTTCTTGGACGGGTTTGGGGGTAGGAACTGAGATGGACTGCATACCAATGGCGTCTGAGCTCTGGATGAAACATTGGGCGTTTGGGCTCTGGATCCGCGTCCGCGATCCGCACATGGATCTCCATAAACACTCTCAATAAACGATCTTGCGGAATAAAGTTGGGCTTCGGAAGGATCTGAAGCTGCTAAGGACTGCATGAGCATCGCATTATCCGAGCTCTGGATGGCGGGAGCAAGGGACTTAAAAAGGACATCGAGAGACATTTGGGTTATTCCACGCTGCGACTTCGAACCGAGAATCGTATGGGACTAGAGCAAATGGCAGTTTGTCAGTCTCTATATACACTCTCTCTCGGTCGGCCAATGTGCAGCCCCAGACCTTCCCGCTCCCACTGACTCCCAGCGTCGCAACTAGCCCGTCTCGACCTTCGACTAGAACTCCTTTTATTAATGGAACCATTCCAGTCTCCTCAAATACTTCCAATTGAGACGCTCGCTCCTCAAAGACTTTCGTAAATGCGAACTTCTCAACAGCCCGTTTTCTCGAATCATTCGGGGGCTGGACCGTGATATATTTTGACCATAATCTTGCTCCGTCAGTGTCATCGCTGCTACCGGCTTCCTCTGGTGGTTCAACTATTAAGTAGTCGGATTTTTGATTCTGTAAGTCAGCATTCTGACCGATCGGTGGGCGCAAACGAAGGTAGACCTGGAAGAGCGACGTTTGTCCCTGGAAGGGACTCTGCGAGGATTCCATGCCAGTGAAAAGCAGTTCTGTTGAAATTATTTCACAAGAATGATTAAATCCAGAAGCACGCTAGGTCTAAAAGAATCGTCTTAATGCAGGCTAATCGAATTGTCGTCACCTCTGGCTTGGGTTGGATTTTGGACGACGTGATGTTGCCTCGCACCAAAAAATCCGCGTTGCCTAGGCAACAATCAAAGCTTCCAGAAGCCTTACGATGGAGTCAAGACCACCGATACAGTTGATTCCACACGGAATTGCATGCAGCTACAGGACACCAACCGCTAGATGAGACCTGGCCCATGACGACTTGAGCTGCAATATGGTTCTCGCTCCCAGTTGCAACTCGGCGCAGTCAGCAGAACGACACAACGATAGCCACGACTTGAGAGTCAACCGAATGGAATTCTGAAGGAGAGCATGAGATCACTGAAACTACAGAGTAAACCGAACATTCTTCTCAGGATATTTGAAAGAACCCCGTGAGATACAGTTTAAAATCCTTCCGACGCCCGGAATTTAAAGACATGGTTACACAATTTCTTTTCGGACAATGGCTAGAAACCGGAATTTAAAAACGACGACACCTCCGTAAAGCAAGTTCATCCCGCTCTGGCCCTAGAGCGTGTCACTCGGGTCGTTGTTGGACCACCTTTCTCAGCAGACTTCCGGGGTCGCTTGGACTCGGTAACCTTAGAAGCCTTGGGTTCCGCTTCTGGTTTCTTTGGTCCACCAGTGGACTTGCGGCGAGCCTTTGGCGTTTCCGCTTGTTCAGTCCCCGCATCGGATGCTTGCTCTGCCTTTCCTGACTTCTTCTTGGGAGCTGCAGTTTTCGCCTTTTTGGGAGTTGGCTCTCCATCTGCCTCTACTTCGGACCCCGCATCCCCCTTCTTGCCTCGAGACCGTTTAGTTTTCTTGGGAGTATCGGCCTTCGCTTTCTTTGCCTATCGTAACGTGAGCGTATAGCTTTAGGAGTGAGGAGTCATAGAACACTGACATCTGCTTCCCCATCCGCACCCGCGGCTGCCTTCTTTTTGGAAACTCGAACACGGAAACCAGTTTTACCTGGGCGGTTCACTTCAACATCCTACATCGTTCACAGTTAGAACATGGAAACGTAAGCCCAAACAACCATGTAAAGCCGATTCCCAACTTACGCCCCTCCAGTCAGAATCAGAGACATGGCCTTTCTCAACTGCTTCACGGATCTTATCCTGGTTCTGGGCAGAAAGTTCATCAAATCCATCGAGGAGAGAGAAGTCCTTATCGTCTCCAACGATCTCCTGCAGACTCGCCACCTGCCTGGGAGTCACACAGCCCCTGTGTTTTGCGATATCAGAAATTTGAATGCAAAGTATAAATTTATAGGATAAGAAGGGATACTCAAAGGATATAAAATGGTGGCATATACCAGTGTTTCCAGGACCAGCTCTGGAATTGCTCCGTATCAACCCATGAGCCAAGTCGCAATTCACCCTTGAGAATTTTTTCTTTTTTCTGCTGGCATTCTGTGTTCTTACAGCCAGCGCGACCAGTGCTGGCCTCTTCTGTATAGCGGAAATTCCATTAGATATTGAAAAACAGCGCACTATCCAGAATCCAATGGCACAGAGACATCTGTAAGTCTCCTTTTGAATAGGAGAACTGGATGAAATCACTCATACAGCGCCGAACAGCACGGATGTAAAGAATAATGTGAAAGTGATGATTTGCAGCATCGCATACAACAAACCCTTTCATCAAGGGAAGACAGTCAAAGGGCAATAGGATGGTAATGAGCTGGATTTCATCCTTACCAACACGGTATGTTGGCATCACGTCGAAGTGGCACGAATGCCGTTGAAAATCTCAGGTTGAAACAACACCCTTTACATCTAATGTAGAATAGACGGCGACCGCTAATCAAACTATTTGATATTGATAATCTGATGGCTGCTGAATGAAGGGACAGTAAATTGATGGTGAGAGAGGAGATTGGCGTGTTGGAGTCGTCAAGAGACTCGTCAACGAAGTTCAACGCCTGAGCTGTTGTCACTAACTAGTTAAACTCGCCAACCGCGACAACGAGACTGCTACATCAACGCTAGCACACTTTAATCTATCAGAACCCAGATATTTCATGACCACATTGCTTATATTTAGTATTGGCTTCGGTATTAAATTCTAGCTTTGCGACTCTTGCCTCGTTGTAAGCCAGTTTGTTACCATTTTCTCCAGGAAAAAAAAAAAAAAAAAAAAAAAGGACAAATCGTAATGTAGCCATAACAGGTACTCCCTATTCGCAATCACGTATATATACAACACTTGGATACTTACAAGACTTTCTAATTGCTAATATACCACCGACCTGTGTCAGTGCTATTGGTGACATTCGTCTGGACGACCTTCCCACCCTTGAGCCAGCCATTCTCCACAATACCTCCAGCAGGAACTCCCACAGGACCACGATCTAGACGGTTCGCACCACTCTTAACCGTGAAATTGGCCAGAGAAATCTCACCAGGGTTACGAACTCGCAGCTTGGGAGTACCAAAAAAGCGAGCATCAACCTCCTTTGGAGTGATATGAAGTTCGAAGTATCCACGATAATATAGCTCCGACCACTGAAGAACTGGGTTAGTTGTCACAAGTGCTTTCGAGGCGTTGATGGAATCCTTGATGTCGATATTGCGTCCCGCTGGGGATGAGGATGTCACTGCGCTTCCTCCAAATTCGACGCCAATTGCCCCGGCTCCAGTCGCAGGGTCGTATTCCTTCTGGCCCAGCCAGACCAAGTCGCTCACCCAGTTCGCGTGGCTGTCTCCTGCAATTAAAATGTTATTGTCGATTTTGTTATCAAATAGAGTCTTGAACGTGCGGTTTCGATTGGCCTGGTAGCCGTTCCAAGCATCCAGATTGAAGGCCCGATTATCGCCGAATGCAGCAGATTCATCGATATATGAGAAGACTTATGAACTTATCAGTGCCAAAATCGCTGAAGGTAAATATATTAAAAAAAAAAAAAAAAAAAAAAAAAAAAAAAAAAAAAAAAGGTAAACATAAAAATTTAATGGGAAGAATGATACCTATTTGGCTTCCAATAATACGCCATTTAGCTCCTCGTTTAGCGGATTGGATTAGATTGCGGTAGAGCCAATTCTCTTGCTTGGAGCCCATCAAGCTGCGATTGGGTTCGTTCTTCAATTGGTCGACATAGTCTTTATTCCAATACAGGTTGGTAATCGATCGATCATAGTTCCTGGTATCGAGCATAATAACGTCCACAAGAGAGCCAAGCTGGAAATTCCTCCAAATACGAAGGTTGTCGTCCATATCAACCTGTCTTTTGGAAGGAGTTAGCAAGAGTCGCCATATGATGTAGTATAAAAAAGGCGAACCTGATTGGCATCCATTCAAAATACGCACGAACTGCGTTCATTTTCCGTTGATCCACCGAGATGCCGCCGCTGGTAATAAACGATGCCTCCGTATTATTCAATTCGGATGAGCCATCGCGATAGGAGTTGTCTGCAACTTCTATTTGGAGTTAGAGAGCAAAGACAATAGCAACAGATAAGGCTAACATACCGTGGTCATCCCACACCGGGATCCAGGCAAAGTTTTGATGATTGGCTTGGAGATCAAGATCGGTCCTATAAGTTGCAAGTCGCTTTCTGTAATCATAGAGAGTGTATATGGTGCGATCTGGTAGAGACAATCGTCCAATATCCTTGCCGGAGCCGCTGCATTTGGGTTTAGTACCTTTAATCAATGGTGGTGTTTGTGGTTGAACTTACTATTCGCCGTCAGCATACTCATAGATGTAATCTCTGTGGCAGAAATCAGGTAGTGAGCGTGACAATTTCCCACACGGTTTCGGGAAACGGCACATAAATCTCTTACCCAAGGTGAAGGACGTAATCCACAGAGTCCTTCCGTGCCACGTTACCATAGGCATTGAAGAAACCGAATGCTATTAGACTCTATTAGCTGCTAGCCGTTTAGGAACCGAGAGGAACTGCCATACGATAGTTGCTGCAGGAAAACACCGCCAGGTTGATGCGGTCGACCGAACGAGATGCCTTTGGGGCTGTTTTGGTGCGCCCGATTGGGCTTTTCTTGTTGGATCCGCAGACAGAGAATTGGTAGTAATAAGTGATGAAAGGCTTCAGTTTCGTTGCTTCCACCTACATTAAACCCCGAGTCAATACACATCTCTTACGAGAATTAGGGGGCGACGATGTTGGTTCATTGGAATGACAGTACTCGCCTTTACAGTGTAATCGACATCAGAGCTGGTATAAACCGTCCCTTCATCCACAACGCGTTTCAGCTTATCGTCGGTAGCAACCTTGAAGCGGAGGCATACGGGCGCATTTGATATAGGCCGATGCTCATCCGTATCCTTATAGATGGGAACGGGGTTGTACATCGGCACTAGACCGGAGACGGTGCTGTTGTCGTTCACGTCATCAAACATCGGGGAGCAGCGCGTCCATAGGATGACGGAGGTAGCATATGGGTCTCCAGATGCCACACCATGGGTGAAGTTCAATTGCGCCGGATCAAAGGCAGATCCAGGCTCAGACCTCTTTTCAACTTTGGGAACAGAGACCCCCAAGCTAGGATGGTTGGCTGAGGGGCTGCGATAGTTGAGATTCCCTACAAAGGATGCAGAAGCGGTGGCCGCCGACAGGGCCAGCAGGCCCAACGAGTATCGCATGGTGCAAGCTGCAAATGAAGCGGTCGGTGGCGTGTTGCAGGAATGAACACGGCAGCATCATGGGCAATGCTGGGCCTCTGGGGCTTATATCTTCCCCAGGAAGAGGTATTTGCTCATGCAGGCCTGTTTCGATACACTGGGTATGCGCTTTTTCCCGAACGAATTCGACTCCGCACCAAGCCTTCTGGGATCCTATGGTCCCAGTCCGCAGCCCGTGTCTGGAGCGAATGATATCCAAACGCAGGGGGGCATGTGGCAGAGGCGCTTTTGAGATGCGGCAAAACCCCCCCGCCCGAGCTGGGATCCACAAGAGGTTCCTTGCAGGCTTTCGAGGACTCCGCAATAGGTGGGATATCGTTGAAATTGAAAACCGCGTGCGGCTCTTGGGAAAAATTGCTTGGGCAATGCCCTATTAAATCGACTACACCTGATTGGATAGAAGAACCTAATTATCCGTAGGACAGATAGGAAGTGGGATTCGCAGTATGTAAAGCGAAGCAGCTCGATGGAGATGTCCACGACAACACATTGCTAGAAGTGAATGTTTCACAGCCATAATTTTGCATTTCAGTGTCGACCCAGAAGAACCTCTTCTGACAGGAAATCCCGAGCCGAGAATTGTTTCTGTGAGCAACGCTGTGGAGGTCGACCGCAACACAGCCCGGCCCTCCCGCCCACGTGGGCGCAATTGATTGCCTAGCTTGATGTGCACGATGAATCAGACACGAGAAATCGCAGATCCACAGCACGCAAAGGCATCTCAGCTGGCGCAGGGCGATTGCGGACACCATGGGTGGACCAAATGCCGGTTTCACCGCAGCCATATTATTACTATAACAACTGAAGCTCAAGTTCGATTCGTGGTGGGGCTTCAAGGTTGAGGTCAGGTGAGCGCGGAGGAAGCGGGACAACGATGTTCCGGCTGCAGCGGCTGAAAGGCACGTGACGCTCCTCCGATGTCGTCACAGCCAGAATCTCTCAAGAGAGTGACTTGACGGCCACACGGCGGAAAAGCCTCTTAACTGAGAGGACAAAAGATATCCTATATCCTAACTTGCTCCGTATAGCCTCTACAGCTGAAAGTCAGCTGGACGCAGCTTTACATCTCGTGTGTCCTAGAGCATAACCGACTTCGAATATCTTCCTCCAGAGTTATCGTCGACTGTGCAAAAATACATTACTTCTCCAACCATGTCCGAACCCATCCCAGAATCCATTCCTACGAGTCAGGACCCTCGTAGTAAACGTCCCTTGAAGCGCCGCGCACTCACGCCTGTCTCCGAACAGGCTAAGCAGCTCGACACCCTTTTCAAAGATCCTAGCAAGGAAATCCACATTCCCGCCACCTCCAAACCACGCACTGCCGCATCTCTCGCCCCACCGCCCGAAATTGTCGCCAATGTGCAAGGCTCATCTGCCGGTGCGGGCTCCGGTGAATTCCATGTCTACAAGGCTAGTCGGAGACGCGAATATGAGCGCGTGAGACTCATGGAGGACGAATTGAACCGGGAAAAGGCCAACGAGGAGTTTGAAAAGAAGAGAGAAGAAATGAAGCGCAAGGATGAAGAGAAGACAGAAAAGAATCGGAAGAAACGAGAGAAGCGGAAGGCAGCGAAGGCGAAGAAAGGCACCGGTGACGCCGGGAACGCCACGGGAAAGGCGGACGGTAGAACTGGGGTTGGTGTCTTGAATGGACCGGTGCTGCGTGAAAATGGACACGAAGGCCCTGCTCAATCGGAGCCATGCGAAGATCATACCGAAGTCCCGGGTGTTATTATCCATGACGAAGACTAGACTCGATCCTCCTATATGCAAAATAGTCGAGAAAAGTAAAAGGAGAAAGGCAAGGACGATGATACGTGTAGATTATGAATGATGTACTGTACGAATAAGATACCCAGGACAGCATTAATGTTGTTTTATTGCAATTACTTCCTTTGTCTATGCTATTTTATCTATCCGCAATGGGGAGACGAGCAGCCTACTCCTCGCCGCCACCGACATTGGCAGCTTGCTTCAAGGACTTGGCGCTGCAAATGTCATCGACACGGAGCAATAAGCAAGCAGACTAATGAGAAGGATGTTAGCCAAACTCAGTGATTCCAAGCACGGAGAAGTCTTCTTACCTCAACGGCAGTTTTGATGCTTTGTAGCTTAACCGCCTCTGGTTCCCACACACCGTATTCTCTCATGTCCACGATAGCGCCAGTGTCTCCGTCGATGCCATAACTGCTATGACCTTCAACTTGCTTGGCTCTCAGACCAGTCAAAACTCGAACAGGGTTCTGTCCTGCGTTCTGAGCCAATGTCCGTGGAATCACTTCCATCGCTTCGGCAACAGCCTTGTATGGCCATTGCTGGACACCCTCAACTGTTTTGGCCAACTGACCAAGTCTCACAGAGACGGCCATTTCAGTCGCACCTCCACCGGGTGATAGGCGAGGATGAAAAATGACATTTCGGGCAACCGCCATAGCATCTTGCAAGTTCCGCTCGATTTCGTTCAAAATATCTTTTGATGGTCCTCTAAGCAAAATTGTGCAGGCTTTCGGCTGCTTGCATTTGCGCATAAATGCAAAATATTCATCGCCAATTTTCTCAATCTCGAAAAGACCGCACTGAGTGCCCACATCCGATTCTTGCAAGTCATCGACACGATTAACGATGGTGGCACCCGTTGCACGGGCAATGCGGTTATTGTCCGTCTTCCGAACTCTACGTAGTGCAGTGACATTGTTTTTAACCAAGAAATGTTGAGCCAAATCTGGGTCAGTGTTAGCATACCAGATCCACTGCATTTGTTACGGTTGAATATCATACCAGATACGCCCTTCTCAGTGATAACAAGATCAGGCTTGAGGGCCAAAATCGCATCACACATATGCTTGATCTGTTCTTCCTCGATCTGCAAGATCTTATTCCAGTCCTCTTCCTTAGAGATCTCGATGTTCGTCTGTGACTCTCCCTTCTTGTATTCCAAAGGACAGTCAAGGAGAATGATCCTCGGGTTCTCAATTCTCCGCCTCATCTTTGGATGCGTAATGTCCTTGTTAATCATGACTCCGTCAATCACTTCACTGTCCTCAATCTGACCACCAGGGATCTTCTCAACACGAGCATATCGCTTAATATCGACCTCCCTCTTTCCACCACCAGCATCGAGGGAAACAGTGCGCACAGCTTTCAATGCCAGGCCGCACATGAGCTCGGACCACCGGGAAACAAATTTCGTGCCAATCGACGATTGTATTAAGCTGTACATTGCCTTGTCATCGTCGATGTCGACGGGTATGGAGATCTGCTCCACTATGGCAAGGGCATCACTGAGAGCTCGTTTAAACGCGGAAATGATGACAACGGGATGAATATTTCGTTCGAGTTGTGGAAGTGCGTATGCCAAAATCTCACCCGCTAATAATAAATTAGCATTTTACGATCTCTCAACAGCTCGACGCTCGCAACTCATACCTAAAATAATGACCGTAGTTGTTCCATCGCCAACTTCTTCATCTTGTGTCCGGCTCAGCTCGATCATACTTTTGGCCGCGGGGTGGGCAACTTCGATTTCTCTGAGAATTGCGTGGCCGTCGTTGGTCAGAACAATACCACCCATGGGATCGAGAAGCATCTTCAGCATGGCTTTCGGACCGAGACATGATCGAATAATATCTGCGACACTGCAGGTTGTCAGGTTGTATTGGAAATCGGTTGCTTGTTCGAGACCGTTGCTTACGTCTTTGCAGCTGTGATATTGGATAATTGAGCCTTCCTGCCGACCTGTCTATCCCCACTTTGGGTGTCTAGTAGATTAACGGTAAGTTTGGTGCTAGAATCATTGTAAAGAGGTATGCCATACTCATTACCACCACCGGAGCCTGCATTTTGGCGGGGTGCTATCCTTACCCACAGAGGGCAATGAATGCTGGTGAATCGAAGCAGAAAAAGAAAAAGGTGAACGCGCACAAATTGCAAAAAGAAGGCAAAGTGCAAATTAGTAGTTGGTTTAAACCAGTGACTACTATCAGAGCATGGAATTGAGGCTTCTCCCTACATCAAAGGTGAAGCTGTTGAGCTGCTCGGATCGCTTTTTCCATGTGGGCGGAACCATTTCAACCTAAACCGAAACTATCCTAGTGCATCACCAGCCCAACCACCGGCATCCCTCAACCCCCAACCTCATTCCTGTCTCTACGCATCTCCCAGGAAAGAGATCAAAAGCCCTGGTCACCGAATTCCTCCATATTAACCATGATACCAATTGTGAAAAGAAGACAGAACCGTGAAAGCTTGCGTCTTTGCTGCTACATGTTGTTGACAAAGTGGCCTGTGCATTCTTTTGTTGTCCTGTAACTGCCGCCTGTTGGCAAACAACAGCAGTCGCAGAGAGCCAGCCATGGTTGAATTCATCTATAGGCTTGAGATCAGCGGTCGGCTCTTTATCAACCCATCTAGAAAGCAATTAAGACTACATACTTGGGGGATCCGTCTTCGACAGAGTCGAGCCAGCGCCAAATTCTTCTGAATGTGGACGAAAGGTCTGGATAGAGATCTTCATACTGAGAGTATCTATATCCGGTGAATCCAGGAAGGTTTGCATAGTACCGCGAGTAGGGCGGTCCTTGGCGACTAGTTCCAACCTCATGGCCGCGCGGATATTCGGAGTATGATACCGGGGCTTGTTGAGAACCACCCGAGCTGTAATGTCGTGGTGCATACGGCGGGTGAACTAGTGTGGGGTAGGGCGGAGAGGCCTGCGGCTGCCGATATTGAGAGTCAGCAGGCTTTCTTCGATACCGACTACGATGAGGCACCGGGGACCCATAGGCGGTAGCGTTCTGAAGCTGCCGATACTCCGCGGGATGAGTGACTTGGATGTTCGGAGTTATAGGATCCTCCATCGCGTACAAAGCGCCTTGGATGTAGCGACGACGATCTACTATCGCTCTTGTGCTTGGCGAGTCATCGCTTCCTGAAATTGGCTGCCGACTCTCGGTTGCGCTGGGACCATTAGCTGCTCTGCTGTTCCCATTGTCTGATCCATCACTTTCACTTGGGTCTGGTGTTGGATCTGGGTTCATAACGCGTAGCGGGCCCCTGGGGAATCCTGTGGTCGCAATGTCTCCAAGATTATTATCATGAAGACCGAAGGTCTCTTGAACGACCCTTAGTTGGTGGGCAATCTGACGCCTGTTGCTTGACTCGCCATCGGGGGTTTCTTCCGAACGAGTTTGCGGGTTGTGTGCGGCTCGCCCGGTGCCATCTTCGGCTTGACTTGCACGTGCACCGTTGGTGGTAGATTGGAATTCTCCAACATGGGCTCTCTCTCTTTCTGGCTTGGGAGATCCCACAACGTCCAAGCTGTTATTGCGGGTCAATCCTATGCCTCGGCCCCTACCACCCCCTTGATCGGGCATCGCCTGTTATCTCATTAACCACGCGTCACTATAGCTCAGAAGCTGGGACTATACCGTTGACTGTGGCAGTCGTTTTGCCCTTTCAGGCGTTGATGCTGCTAATTTCCACCAGTGGCAAGCGTGAAGAGCACTAAAAGGGTTTAAAACTACCAAAGGAACAATGAGATTGGGCTAATGTTGAAGAAAGTGAGAGTAACAACAGAAGCTCCCTCATGTTTGTTCTGAAGGATAGCTCCCCTTCCCTTTTCTGCTTAGCGTCCTTTTTTGCACAAAAGGGCTTCTCATTCACCCTGCAACCCCTGGCAACCAAGAAGGGACATTCTATATGTTTCAGAAAATTTCCACTACTCTCCTGCCTGTGCTCCATTAACGGTACATTCCTCTATGCTCAGCCGTTGAGATACCTATCTTTCACCTGTTTCTCTTTCTGCCATACTGGCAACCAGATATTCCATGCTTCTTTGGAATGCTCGATCCCATTCCAGTTCCCTTGACTTACGCAGTATTCTTGATCTATTTCCTACCCATAGGTCTGTGTGGAAAGGGCTGTTGGGCGGTCTCTATCATGTATTCCTATCGATACTGTTTGCGGTCAAGCTCGCAAAGATTGATACTAGGAGTACATGCCTCTCCATAGCCCCGTAAAATCCTTCGTTCTCCGAAAAAGGGACCAGAAGAGTAAAAGAAAGGCCCTTTAACCCTTTAAAATGACCATCTTCTTCTGGCACTTGGTTTCTAAACCTCAAATCTTATATACAACAATGCATTATCAGTCTGATATCGTATGCTACTTATGTGCCTATAGGGGGGTTTCTATTCGCTACGTCCAGGACTATGAGTGGAACAGCTGAATACCTTGATCGATCTGATCTTGTTTAGAGGAGGTTGGGATTGAAGCGCATGGTGCAGTTGTGTTTCTGAAAGTGAGGTCAAAGTGAATGTTCCGGAACACGTGTGATTATCATGTGATTAGACTCCTGGTGAGTGCTATATCCACATATTCGCAGTGGAATTTCCAGAACTGAGAGTGATGAACAGTGAGCTTTGATTATAAGAATCCAATCATTGGGAATGTATAGATAGAACATAATAAAATTCTAGGCATCATACGACGTAGGGTATATAAGACTCCGAGGCGGCACCGGGTGTTTGCTATCACATATAGGTCAAGAGTTACTAAAACAACAAAACATTAGGGGGTATACCAAGAAGAAGAGCTCTGTAACATAAGTAAAAGGACAGCCAAACAGAAGGACAGGGCAACTGCCTTCAGAATTCACGACTCTCGCCGATATCACAGACATCAAACACACCGGTCTCCGCGATGCCATTCTGTCTTAGAGCTTTCTTGAGCTTTCTAGGTGGCTCCAAGACATCCTCTTCTGTTAGAACCCATGTTCCCCAGTGCATCCCAAGAGCGTTTTGGCATTTAGTATCTTTGAATATATTGACTGCATCATGAGGATCTGCGTGCATCGGACTCATGATGAATCGGGGATCATACGCGCCAATGGGTATCAGCCCAAGCGTGAAAGGACCACGGTATTGGCCCACTTGGGCAAATGCTGGACAGTGTGGATAATTATGTCCAGGGCCGTAGTCGTCGACCTCTTTGGGGAGTTCAGGGACCGATCGGTATCCGGTGTCGCTATGGGTCGTTAGAATATCAAGTTCCCTCCGGAATGAACGAAGAAGGCTGCTGAAACCTACCCGGCAAAATACACTTTGGAACTACCCGATTCCACACTCCAAGAACCCCAGAGAGTCTGCGATCTATCCCACAACGTCCGAGCACTGATGTGTTGGCATGGAAGGCAACCAATACGAGCAAGGATATTCGACGCCTTATCTGAAGCGTCTCGAATGGACGTCACCTCGGCTGACTTAGTCAATGGTGATAAAGTAATGTCTCGTTCTTCCCACCAGTCCAGCTCAGTTACGTTGTGAATGCCACTCGAAGTGAACCATTGCTTGTTTCCAAGCGGAGCAAAGAAGTGGCAATTCGGATGACGCCGATGGATATCCTTAATGGTCGGGTAGGAAAGGTGGTCATAGTGGTTATGGGAAATTACAACAGCATCGATGAAAGGTATATCTTCCATCTTGCAGGGCATCTCTGTATAACGCTTTGGACCTAACCAACTAAAAGGAGAGCACCTGTCTTCAAAAACAGGATCGAACAGCACTCTCAATCCGCTTGGGAACTCCACATAGTAGCACGCATGCCCTAACCAAGTGGCCCTCAGCTTTGGCGTTTGCCGGCTGGGGAGGAACTCGGGCTTCCGCACCGGGACAGTAGGCGGAGTGGTATCAGGGACATTCGCCTCGCCAGAAAACCGCCGGCTACGAGTCCCCGTCAGGAATTGAGGTCAAGCAGCAAAGCATCACATTTCCCTAACTTCGACTTACGCTATCATTTTTCTGACTATTGTGAAAGCTGGGATCATGTGCCAGGACCTGCGACTCTGTTAGGCTTGATCGAAACCACGGGTGGGCGACCATTGCAACTCACGCCCACGGATTCCGGAACCCTCCTGACTTCACATGGTGAGCCTTTGCCTCCGCATCTTCAGGGACGGGTGACTGTGATGGAATAGACAGAGTCGCTGCATGAAGAACGGCTGCTGCGGTCGAAGCTGCCATAGGTGCGCAATGAAGGAACTCTGCCCCGTCGATAGGAACCGTTGAAAATAAGAATATACGCTTTTAAAGAACAATTGTAACTACAAATAGCTACTGTGCAGAGAAATTCTTTGGTCTGTACGGAGTAAGTTAAAAATATATATATACAGCTCTGCTGGCGACGACAAGATCACCCCCCCAAGAAAAGTGATCTGTTGGCAAGATGACATGCATCATGAGAGGTTGAACGCCAGCCCTGCACTCCTGCTGCTTGGCGGCTTGGAAGGCAGCACCCGTTATTAAGTCGGCGGAGTTAAGCGTGGAGCTATCGGCGTTATACGGTTGTCTGATTGGTTGATTTAACGAGCTAGTCCTATTATAGACTAGCGCGCTGATGGAACTGATCGGGGCAATATCGACGAGGTTTGCAGCTGCGATGAACGAGTTCGCCCGATGCCGAAGGTCTTCGTGGCCAGTCCATCGCCAGTCAAATGCCCAACGAGGATGGAGCAGCAGGTCTCCCACGATCAATGGAGCCTGCTGCAACTGTGGTGGACCAGCCATCCAATAAAGCGGCTGACTTGATCCTTCAAAGAAGACAAGCACCTGAAATTTCGCTTGCTAAGTCTGACCAGGGACTGTTAGCTCAGCTCTCAAGCAACCCATTTTTTACAGCCGTATGTTGCATTGGAGTGAACTGATATTGATATGCATTCCGCTGACGATCTGACGAACGTTCTAGGGCTTTGGTTTAGCAGGCCTTGGAGCAGGTCTCACCCTCGCCCAGAGAGGAATTCGCTATGGAGCCGCCCTTCTCCGCAGACGAATGCTTGTGGACGTCGAGATCAGTATAAAGGATGATTCTTACCCTTGGTTTCTACACTGGATGACCCTGTATCAGCGCTCGCAGCTTGCCAACGTGAGTCAGAAGGCTGGGTTCTTCGAATCGTTCCTTCGAAAGATTACGCCAGGCATGCGCCACCTGTCCATCCAGACTGAGAAGGTCGAACTGGCGAACGGAGCTCTCCAAACTCATTTCTCGCTGATACCGGGTCCGGGAAGACACGTGCTGCGATACAAGAACGCTTTCATATTTGTGAATCGGGTTCGGGAAGCCAAATCAAGGGACCTACAGACTGGCCGCCCTTGGGAGACGGTCACTCTAACGACTCTATATTCGCAAAGGCACATATTTGAGGATTTGTTCAGGGAAGCTCATGAGTACGCCGCCAAGTCGCATGAGGGGAAAACGGTCATTTACAACTCCTGGGGGACGGAATGGCGGCCGTTTGGACAACCTCGCCGTAAACGCCCTCTGGACTCCGTAATTTTAGAGGCTGGTGTCAAGGAACGAATAGTGGCGGATGTAAAGGACTTCATCGGCAGTGCCTCTTGGTATCACGATCGGGGCATTCCCTATCGACGTGGGTACCTCCTCCACGGCCCACCCGGCACGGGAAAGAGCTCTTTCATCCAGGCTCTAGCTGGCGAGCTGGATTACGACATCGCCATACTCAACCTCAGCGAGCGGGGTTTAACGGACGATCGGCTCAACCATCTCCTTTCTATCATCCCGTCCCGGACGTTGGTCCTATTGGAAGATGTGGATGCTGCATTTTCTACCCGGCGCGTACAAGCCGATGCAGATGGATATCGAGGGGCCAATGTGACTTTCTCCGGGTTGCTGAACGCCCTGGACGGGGTGGCCAGTGCTGAAGAACGGATCATCTTCCTGACGACGAATCATGTTGAGAGGCTTGATGAAGCTTTGGTTCGCCCTGGTCGCGTGGACATGACGGTTAGGCTTGGCGAAGCCACCAGGTACCAAGCCGCCCAGCTATGGGATAGGTTCTATGGTGAATTTGAACACTCCGAGGCATACAAGCAGCAGTTCCTCGAGAAGCTCGAGAAGGTTGGAATCCTCGAGGATGAAAACGGAAGAAGACCCGATCTCTCCAGGGCGACGAGTACTGCCGCCCTGCAGGGTCTGTTTTTGTACAACAAAGGCGATATGGCGGGCGCGATCGCCATGGCTGAGGAACTCGTAGGCGACGAAGCCGCTGACCAGGTTTCTGTGACAGGGTCAGTGCACAGCTGAAGAATTGAGAAGAGTGTAGGGGGTGTCGAGGCTGGGGTGACTGACAACCCCACAATGCTCCCTGTATAGTACATAATACCTCATAGTAGTTAATCATTCTCCAATTCCATGTACTTTGTAAGCAAACGTTGGAAATTTTTACCGCCCGACAACCCCAATCCCATTGGCTTTTCGATGTTGATATCAAAGTTTCTCTCGGACATTCCGCTCAACGGCCGGAATTATGATTCACCGGCTTCGTGGTTGGACGGGTGCCGATTGGCTGAATAACTAAGCTTGCTCGCCGGCAGAGAAGTCCGCTTAACTAACTAGTTAGTCCGGTCTGCACAATAAACTCCACGCCAGACCTGAGGTCGACATCGAGATTCTTCAGGCCCTTGGGGGACATGCCACAAGGGTGCGAAACCGCTGAAGAAATCTTGCTCTTCCCTAACTGCTGGGTCAAAAAGGCTGTGAGGAGTTACGGTGACAAATTGTTTTGCAAAGCGAAACCTTCTCCAGGCGCTGGCTGTGCTCTCAAATGCAGGGGAGTTCACCAATCGCTCGGCCATTCGTCCAGTTCGCAAGCGCCGTCACCCCAGAGGCCCACAGAGGAACCTTGCTCCTACGAATCATGCATGGAATTACCTTGGAATCAACAGCTTGTTTTGCATATCATGCAAGGTGACACCATGATGTCTGCTGGACGACCCATGATTTGCAGAGAGTGCCTTTTTGGGAGATCAGTCTGCAGCCCTTCAACCATGGTCAGTTGGCTAAAGTATGCTACCAATGCACGGTGGCGGCAAAAAGTCTGACCATGGCCGGAAGGATCTTGACCTGCCATTGGTTTCACGAGCGAGCTCACAATCAATTCGATATCCTACTGAAATTGGTGGGTTGTTGAGAATTTCGCGCTTCGAGTTTTAAATATCCCCTCTTGTCCAAATTTGGCCCCCATTTGGTGTTGCATATCGATCATAGTATTTAACGATCGTGCCCTTCGTACGGTGGCACAAGTCTCTTGCAGCAATGGCCCAAGCTCAGCAGTCCTTTCAGCTATTTCCCACTGTTCAGCCCCAAAACCACCCGCCCAGCGGCCACCCCAGGAAAGGCCACAGAAGGCGAACCACAAAGTCACCGAGTGTGTCGCCAGTGATCGAAGACGTCAAGGCCTCGGGACAAACTGAGGCTGTCATTCTTCGAATTATTGAAGATACCAATATCATTGTGCCGCCTCCGCCCGCACGAGCCCCAAGATCACGGTCGCCGGCCATCGCGTCAAAGTCCGTTGGGATATGCTCGGCTATCGTTACGCAGGAGTCGTGGAGTGGGACTCCTTCTCCCCCCCAGGTGTCAAGAGAGCAATCCCCGTCTGGGAGTGTAGTCGGGAACCCACAGGTTAAAGCCAGATCATTTTCCGCACCTTCTCCAGCTCCCAGCTCCATGCGTCCCCGGACACCAATCACGCAGCAAAACGGAAAGATGGGGACTGCAGAGTGTACGCCTAATAACAAAAATCCCTCATCTCCTCCGTTTTCTCGCTCAGAATCACCAAATTGCGCATCAAGTGCGTCGGTTCCCTCAGCTATTGAATCTCCGCCGGACGCCAAGAAATCCGCTCCTCCGCAGATGAAGTCCATATTCCCTGTCTATGACCCTAACGTTCCTCTCGATAAGCAAAAGTATTATCCTCACCGCTCATCGTCTCTCCCACAAAATGTCATCCTCACAGCTGAAACACCGAGTCCGCCGTCAATTCCTGTTGTCCCAAAGGTCAATACCTGTCCAAAACCTTCAGGAAATGAGCGAGGCCCTTTTGTATCGTCGGATGATGATCTTGCCAGGCTCTGGGAAGTTACCAATGGGGGAGTGTTCGGAGCTAATCTAGGCACGTTCCAGTTACAAATGCAGAAGTAAATATATCCTAAGTACCCGGTGTCCTAGGTCAATATTAACTTGATATTAGGGTCGATGCACACACCTTTGTGCTTGGAACTCACTCTACTCCATTCTACACTCTTCGGACAAATCCTATGAATGATCTCGAGGTTCATAGGACCCATCCCAGCGAACCGAAAACAAAGTCTTCTATTGTGGCGTTAAATATTGGTGATCTCAGCGGCACAGGCCCCACGGGGATAGCGCTCACCTTGTTTCCCAAGCTGGCTGAAATCCTAACAAGAAAAGAAGCCATGGAGGTAGCACGACGGAATCAACTGTCTCCTCAACGGGCTATGGAAATCGAGAATGAAGCGGTGGTGAGATCGGAAGCCCAAAATTCTTGCATTCTTGAACTACAACCGGCGCAAAACCAATACAATCTTTATCATGCAGTGTTAATTGGAGATGAAATTCTTCCTGCCGCGAGGTTTGCAGTTTCACGGCCACTCAAAGAGCAGTCCGGACTCCTTCACGCAAGTGTTTTAAGATCATTACCTAACACGATTGCTACCCGTCAATATCCCAAAATACAAATTGCGGCTCCCGGGCACAGTTCAAACCAGGAAATCCCGTTGGCCTCCCTGGACATGGAAACTATGGCGTTATCTATATCTGCTGAACGGATACTCTCGACGGTTCCCTCATTTTACGCCATTGACACCATTGTCGCCGCGATCCTGACTGTCGCAATTTCCAACGAAACTTCGAAATCAGTCCTTGCACGCATGAACACCAGGCCTTCCAAACCAAACGGCTCCCCTGACCGGAGAGGCTCTATGACTTCGCAACATACTGTCGGCCGACCAGGCATCCAACTCATCGCCACCCAAGCTGAGCGTGAGGAAGTTGAGCAAGAAGCCGCATTGATGGAACAAATTCGCTCCGAACCTCGATCCCAAGGCAAAGCAAGATTCTCTCTCATGAGCATGTTCACCGGGAAGCTAGCAAGCGATGAAGCCGCGGATGTTAAACCCAAGCAGAAGAATAAGAAAAAGCCGGCTGCGATCGAGGACATTGACCTCGAACACTACGGTGCATACCGAGATAGCAAGCGTGCCGACGAGAAACTTCCTGGACTGACAAGAGCGCTGCTAAAGGGTATCATTTGGGTATTCTCGACAATAGTTTGGGTTTTGACAGTGGGAGTAAAATTTATCTCTTGTGCGGTGGTTACAGTGACAAAATGTGCGACACGCAAAAAGCCTTGAAGCGCCGCCCATGTTTTTGTGATGCTCTAATGACCCGATGATACTAAGAAGCGAAGCTCCTTTCGTGCCTGCTTTTTGACTTAATGAAACTGTTTTTTTGTCATTTGCTCGGTTTTTTTTTTTTTTTTTTTTTTTTTTTTTTTTTTTGTGGAAGAACCCGCCTGATGATACCCCTTTGATGTATAACTGCCTACGTATTGTTATGTGATATGCCTAACGTGATGCCCAATTGAGATACATTTAATCTTTGATTTGAATGTCGTACTCTGTATGCATGTACATACGTACATACTTCAATCTTCAAATCCACGACATGCAGCCAACTATTGGGTGCATAACTATGACTAGCCGCTAGTTATTCTCTCATTTCAAGACATAGAAAGCAGATGAAAGTATGGAGTTCCCAGTACTGCGTACAGAGTAGTTAATAAAAATACCCATAATTAGCAAATGTAATGCTAAACAGCCATGGCATTCTCAGGCGTCTCTTGGTAGAATCGCAATAGCTGCACTTTGACATGTAGTTCCTATGCTGCAAGGTAAAGCGGGGGAGATTGCCCCCCAAAAAAAAAAAGGAAAGAGAAAAAGAAAGAGGGTATTCTGTATGTAGATCACATTGTTCGGCAAATACGTCCAAAGCTTCATTCATCTCAGATCTGGAACCACGGTAAATGTGGCGGAAACAAAACCAAGGAAAAAGAAAAAAAAAAAAGCAAAAAAAAATAAAGCAAAGAATTACAATTCGTAGAACCATGGTACACAATATGTGATATTCGAAACACAAAAATAATACACGGCAAGTGGTTGATCGTGTGAACGATATGGCGCCAATCTTCTCTATCCGAACACCCTGAAGACCCCAGAACTGTGGACATATAATCATGGCATTATCAGAGAATAACCGAGAGAGAGAGGAAAAAAAATGAAAAGAAAGTTTAGAGAGTGCCACAAAAAAGAAAAGAAAAGGAAATCCTTAGGGAGGGCGTAACAGGGTTATGTATGTGCTGAGAAGAGAGAAGAAAGTACATAGGTTGGTAGGCCGGTAGGTCTGTCCACCTGCTAATGCAACAGCCAGCTCGAAGAGAGAGAAGAAGGGGAGGTGGAAAAAAAGGAAAGAAAGAAAGAATAAGACCCCAAAATAATAAAACATTGGAATTGAGGGCGTGAAAGAGCCATGAAACCTCATCTAAAAGTGTGATTCTTCCATGTTCTCCACGCACCAGCCTGAGTATTATTATTGCTTGAGGTACTTGGGCGACGGTCGGAATCGGCACCAAAATTCCCAGGACACGCCAAAAACGACACTCGCTCCTTATCTTCCCTGATGGCTTGTCTCCGCGCAGCCCTCAGCGACTCGATTCGTGCTTGTGAGAACCGGAAGCGTCGCACAAAGCACTCGTCAGCGAGAGCACTTGCATCGATCATCTTCTTCGGGGCCGTCTGCACGATCTGAAATATTTCCATGGGATCGCTGACGGCGAGTATGTCTCTTTGGCTAAGCCTAAAGATTGCCAATGCAACACGGAAAAAGGTTCTAGAACCCTCGTAGAAAAGAATATCCCACACCCGCAGCGTGGTTTCGAGAGGAAGGCTGCCGATGAACATGGACATCAGCCAGTTCGTAAGGCCAAGTGTAATATCAGGGAGTCGAGTGGTAGTGTTGATGGCGGGCGGTTTTGATCTAGGAGTTGTTGGTGTTGGACTAGCAACTTTTGTGTACACAGGTGGCAGAGCGTCCTTCAAGGCAACCATGAGGATCCAGAGGTCAGCGTTGGCTCCTTCTAGACTCACTTCATGCGTGCCTGGTAGATATGTGGAAGTAATGATATGAAGTATCCAGAACGCCTTTTCTTCCGGAAGGAAAAGAAGCAGGAGACCCGTGATGAAGTTTAGGGACTGGGTATAGCCAATCTTTGGGTTATGCACTGAAAACGCGTATAAGACACGACGTAGCGACTGGATTATGGGTGTCTCCTGGGCATCTGGCGCATACTTGAGGTTGCTGCTACCGGCAGCCGCGCCTGTCGTCGTTTCAGAAGACGAGTCCGGCTTGTAATGGATATTATCAGGAAAGGTCCTATGGAGGTCTCGCTCAATGTGCTCCTTGTCATCGTTCATGGGGGAATGAACGGCTTGCTCGACAAGTTTCCGGTAAAGACCCGGGTTCCGTTGGAGATGTTCATGGCCTCCAGTATACCAGAACCACGCAGCACCACGGTATTCCGGAGGTATACCTTTTCTAATATACCGCTTCACTTTGCCTGATCTCGGGGGGAAGGTAAGAGTGTCCTTATGCTCGAGACCACTGTCCTTGAGAAGCTCTACCCATTTTTGTCTCCGGTAGCCCACGTATCTTGAATATGGTTCGTTCCACTTGTTATACTGCGCCAGAGTGACATAGGTTGTCTCCTTTTTGAATCCATATTGGTCTCGTAACTTGGTTGCCGCAGATAAGGGAGGCGGTACACCAACTGAGAGGACTTCTGGTACTGTAACCTTTGGTTCCATAGGCGGGGGTGGTGGTTTTCCAGTGGAACAATAATCTTCTGCATGACTTTGGTTCTCCAAACGGCTGCTCCCTGTTGGCCCTTCAGGAGATTCTGGGTCTTTAGGGCTTGGTGGACGTCCGGGTTTTGGCTCCTCTTCTGGCGTGCTTGGAGACTCCGTTGCCCTAGATGGTGGTTCGGGGGATTCAAGAAAGTTGGGTGGTTCCGGCGAATCTGCTAGTTCCAACGATGGCGACGAGTCATCCGAGAAGCCATCAAGATACATATCTATGGCATCGTCGACACTCATTCCACCAACTGGCTCCTCTGCGGTGTCCGGTGTCAGATCCGTTATGGAGCTGGTATTGGTGAGAATACTACTCCGCTCTGTTCCGCTTGCGGGTTCCAAACTCGAGCTTCCAGTAGTGGCAGACTGCAAGCTCGATCGGAGTGGGATATCAAAGTGTAGCTCGGGGGGATGGTGGCGATGAGGGAAACGAGCGCTGACGGGGGTATCCAGCGGCGGCCTGTCATGACGAAGCGGTGCAAATTGGCCAGATTGCATGTTGGTCATTGAGAGCGTCGGCTTCAGCCCCATTGGAGGAGTGTCGAGCCGGTTTCTGGGAGGGACTGGTCGCGTACGCTCCCTCGCCGGGGACAATTGCATAGGGCCATGTCGAGTGGTGTCGAAAGAGCAAGCCGAGCGAAGAGGCGGTTCGACGTGGGATATTTTGAGGTAGGTAGGGCGGAGGGGATCAGGCCTTCTGCCACCACGAGGGCCATTGGACGGAGGGGCGGAGTTGGCGAGAGGGAGAGGTCGGGCCACGGGCGAGCGGCGAGGCGGGAGCGTTGTGTCTATAGCATTGAGGGTTGGGCGCTTGACGGGACTGGGGCCATGTGGCCGGAAGGCAGTGTGATCACCGCCGCCATGGGGTTTAAAGGGAGGATCTGGGACCGCGTGCTTTGTGACCATGGCCACTGTTGTAGGAGTGTGTATTCCGCCGGGACATTTGTTTGTTCTGCCGCGTTACACACCCGGAGAGAGAGCAAAAAAAAAGAGCGCTGGCGATGGAGGCAAGGGAGACAACAGCGAGCGAGAGGGGGGATCTGGTTCGTAAGCGCCGTGAACGAAGGGCAGGGCGTCGGGTTGGCCGTCCGGGAGCGATCGTGGGCGCGGACTGGAGCTTGGAGCTGGAGAGGCGGTTGGACTAAGGGCCAGTCGCAGGAGTGGTAGCGCGGCGGGAAGGTTCCAGCGGCGGCAACGATGGGGCTTCTCGGAAGCAAACAAAAGTCGAGGAATCCGCTGGAGAGTCTATCGTCCAGCTCATGGCAACCAAGAAAAAAAAAGAAAAAAAGAAGGGAAAAAAAAAAAAAAAAAAAAAAGGAAAAAGAAAAAGAGACAACGGAAGAAGCAGAGGAGGAGGAGTAGGAGGACGACAACGACAACGACGCGGACGAGGACGGCAGTTGAGGGAGAAATGGAGATAACTCAGTGAAGGGCGTGAAAGTTGGGCGTCTGGAGCAAATTATTTTGGCCCTTTTTTTTTTCCCTTTTTCTCCCTTTTTTTTTTTTTTTTTTTTTTTCCCCTCGTCCGCGATCCGGCCGAGCCAAGTCTTCCTTCGCTTCATCCATCGCGATCTCATTCATCCCGAGGAGCCAACTGTTCCAGATACACAGAATCCCAAACACGAACCGGCAAAAAGAAACATGCAAGTGAAAGCCGAGAGGGGCTGTTTTGCTGCACCCCGAGAGAGACGGGTGAGCGACACGGCGTGTGTGTGTGCGTCTCTCTCTCTCTCTGTCCCCAGTCCCGCTCTCGCCGCGACAAGACGAGCCCGTCCTTTCAGCCACCATGCTTCCAGAGCTGAGCTGCGGATATTGCAATGCAGCTCTCTCGCGCCGAACGGGTTCGGTATGCAGGTGGCACCTCCATATATTGGAGCAGTGGGGAAGCTCGGATCATTGTCCAGGAACTGAAGCTCTCCGTCACCGATATCCCTCTCGTTGTTGTCCAACAGCCAACCTTGCATGCATTAGTTGCCGCAGCTGCAAGAGGCGCTCAATAGCCCATGATTGTCCTCTTGCGTGTTCGCATGACGTCCGGACAAAGGAGCAAAGCACTATGCCATATGCCCTCTCGCCAAGTGATGAAACAGACCACTTCTTCAGGGTGTTCTTCAAGGTTTTGGTTTGGCCGCAAGCTCCTGGTCATTGTCCCGGCATCCGTCTGTATGTCTCAGAGGTAACGACTGCATCCCCTGTCCGGATGTCCATTGGGCCAACCGAGTATCTGCCTGCTTTTTGTCATTTATGTTGGGACCCGAAGTCCTGGGAACCTAGGCCGACTTGCTTTTTTCTTTTAATTTTTTTTCGGTGTGTGATGCTCATTTGCATATTTGGCCTAATATATGAGATCGCATTTCCTAGAAGCCTATCGATGGAAGTTCGATAGTTGAATGGCCCGGTCAGTTTAGGACGCTCGTCTTTGAGTGGAGGGGCCTATTGTTGCATCTGAGATATCAGAATTCTTCATCTGTTTCTGAGAATTCCAACATTCCCCTCTTCCCGACGGGGCCCCCTGGCCCCCTTGTCTCTCATCTTTACTCAACTCACAGCTGAAGACTAACAACTACTGCAATGCTATTGTACTCGCGACTACTTGCCCACATTGGATCACACTCTTCAATATATATTTTTCCCTAACCCGGAGTTTACGAGCGAGCTCACTTGCCTGCGGTACCACGACCTGGATTCCGATGCCGCGTGTCAGACAGACGTACGCATGTACATATGTAACATACACGCATCAAGGTTGCTGCCTCCTAAATTTTCATCGCCGAAAGTGGTGAACGAGTTAGCGTTAACCGTCGGTGTGTCGCCGTCTATATTTACTTTCAACTTGGCCCCCCAGCTCCTGTCAGGGGTTGGCATTGAACCATTATATATGATATCGATTCAGGATCCAACACTCGGGTTTGTTTTCACCATGACTCCCAAATTTAGCACTCGATACGATTGTTGCACTCCCTTGCATATCTCGAATCCGATTTCTCAGCAAAAATTACGATCTCTCCCCGCCTATTGCACCCAGGGCTTAGGTACGATCGATGGCGTCGTTCCCCATCGTGGATCATCTTCAAGCCCGCAGTTTACGACCAAAACTCTAGGATCACGGCGAAGGCTAAAGCCTAACTTCTAATGAAAAAGACAATTTATTCCTCTCTATTTGCTCGGAAGCAGTGTAAACGCCATTTATCTGTGCCCCCAACATAAACCATACTGTTGCAAGTACGCCGAATCAATCAAACATAACTCCCAGATCCCAGCCGCTCACGCACATGAGATCCCCACTCATGAATAACCCGATGCTTCATCAAATCATTACAAGAGTCCCACAAAATTAATACGTCAAATCTGGAACACTAGGGCTCCGAGCACGGTATTCATTTCCCACCCCCCAGCTCACCAGAACGACTTCTTGCCCTCTTTCGCATACTTCTTCGTCCACTCCTTGGCTGCCTGATCAAATGCCTTCCTATCGTGATTGAACTGCTCGGCGATCTTTCCCTCCACTGCATCATCCGGCATCGGCTCCGAGAGCAACTGTCTCGCGAACTCCAGCACGGACTGTAGCTTGGTCGATGGCTTCCATTCGTCGGCGCGTAGCATTCCTAGACACACTGTTCCCTTTCCGTCGTTGGTTACGTTGGGGTGGTAGATCTTTGTCGTGAAGGAGACAGTTGGAGGCTTGAAAGGGTATTCGGGCGGGAGAACGAGGTTAAGGACAAAGGTGCCGCCCTGGGACCCGGAAAAAGAAGCGTGAGTTATTTGTTATTTCCCGCAAAAACTATTTTAAAAAAAAAAAAAAAAAAAAAAAAAAATCCCAGAGGAACGAGAGCCGGTTCAAGTGGAGAGTTTTGGTTTATCATACTTTGTACGGTGAATCGTCGGGTCCCTGCATGTGAATTTCCCATTTGTACAGGTCGGCCTCGTCGGCGAGGGACACCTGTATGCCTGGCGGCGGGGCTTTGGTGAGTTCGCCCAATTCCTAGGAGGCGCAATAGAGTGTGAGCCACCAATTGCGGCTTTTGAGCTGGTTCGTAGGCGTACCTTTGCTATGCGTTTCTGGCTCCCCATAGTGTCCAGGACCGGGCGATGGAGGGGCTCGTGAGGGGTAGGTTCAAGATCGGATCTCTGCTTGTGAAGCGCCGTGGAGGACGATGCTGAAGCTAATAAGGCCTCGGGGAATTAGAAACGGATGCTGTCGAGGGGAAAACTCTTAAGCAAACGGGCGAGGATGTCTGCTGGAGCGAAGGGGAGTTTGGGATTTGGTTACAGAGTCGCGGTAATGGCAATCAGGTGGCCGGTCAGCTGGTTGCCTGCGCGATTGGCCCCAACGCCGACGGTCTCTCCAGAGCAGGACAACACAACGACCAGGGATGTTCATCCACCACGAGTTCAACTTCACACGGAATTGACTGGGCGAGGCCTGGGTTTTGACAGATTTCGCCAGAGAGAACGCTTTCAGACTGGTGCTGGAAGTTTGGCCAGTCTCCCCTATCCTTATTTTTTAAGTTCGGTGCCATTGAAGCCATGCACAATAGGTATCTCAGTATCCTAATAAAACTATTCTCGCTGTAAAATGACCATCGCGCCCATAATCCCCAGTAACACGGTCTTCAGCCATGGATGCTCGCTCAGCATAATCGTCACATATCCAACTGCGGGAATATACCCGCGTACACTGCCCACCAAGTCCAGTTTCCGGTCGAGATAATCCTGCCCTTGAGCATATAGCTCCGTATCATCAGCAATATTATTGTCGCCCTTGGTGAGAATCCTATGAGAAACGAGCGCCGAATCTGAGTGAAGAGCCCTATCCAGCTGCGTATCAGTATCCATTGCTCCTCGCACATCTCCACGGAGGGGGACAAGAAACCAAACACCCACAACCATTTGTAGCATATAAGTAGGGAAAAAGGGGGAAAAGAAAAAAAAAAAAAAAAAAAAAGGAACCAGAAATCCCACTCACCCAGCCGCAATACTGTCCTTCTTGACCGAGCTCATCACCTTCTTCTTCTTCTGTCCGTTCGTCTCCTTCGGACTCTTCTCATCGTCCCCAAACGCCCTCACGACCCGATGCACAATCGGAATATCCTTTCCCCTCACATTATACACCACGATCTCCCCCACCTCCGCCCGCGGGCTCCGATTCCACAGGAACAGCAAGTCACCTCTCTGGAACGCGGGCTCCATGCTACCGGAGAGCACCACGACGATGGGCGACGAGGAGTTGGTGTAGATCGAGAGGCCCTTCCACATCATAAAGGCGGTGGAGAGCACGAGGGCGAAGTTGAGCACCTGCGTGAGGCTCCGCCGGAGGTTGGAGAGGTGTGGGGAGAGGCCGGCCAACATGGTGACTGGGGAGCTTGAGATCTTCGCCGGTGAAACTTGGAAGGGTTGAAGAAACCGGAGTGAGTGCCTAAGGACGGGGAGTTGTGGGCGCGTGTGTACGTGTGTGGGTTGTAGACGGGAGTTAGATTTTAATAAATTCCGTCTCGGGTCCTTCCAGACTTCATTTGTAGCTTGTTGCGATTCCGTGATTGAATCAGTGCCTCTCGTCTTTGGAGCTGGGCTGGTTGCGCGGAGACGAAGCTAAAAAGCAAGCTGTCCACTTTCGGCGAGCAGAGAAGCTCCGTTCGAACGTCGTGCTTCAGCCCTAAATTCAACAACCGCAAACATCAGATTCAACACACTCGCTCACCCAGCTATTCTCATCGTTTTGCATTAGATATTTAGCATGTATTGATGGCAAGCACACTGTCTTATCCCAGAAACTAAAATACAAATATAAACCTCTTCTCTACTCAGTGCTCCGTCTCTGCCATCGCTGTTGCAGATCGCGTCTGAGCAAAATCAACAAACCTGATCGAAGCTCTCCAAGGGCAGAAATTAAAAAAAAGCCAACAAAAAGATAAAAGCACACATCTGCAAAGCACGCATTCGTTTACACAGAGATCCTAGCAGACAGAACAAGTGAGAAGATGCTAACAGTCCATAGCAATTATGCCGCTGAGTTGTGCTCTCGTCTGAGGTCTGGTCCTTTGATTTTCAAGGAATAAAACGGATATATTGGTTAACTATACGGAAGTAGAGGACAACGGACTGCGTCTGGAGCTCAAAGCCCCTGGAGGGACTTCTGATTGGAGATCGCTCTCTTCAGACGCTTCGACATTCCATTCCTCCTCTTCCACTTGATTCTCTGAGCTCGCCCACTGGTCCAGGCCCACCTCTGCAGCTCGTAAGTATGCGCCGATTCTTAGAGCTGGGTGCTTCCTGAGCAAGACCTGGAAGAGGTCACTCTCGGTGATCGACACCGAAGCTAGCTTTCGCGCGAAGTATTCCACGAGGAATGCCCGCATCGGCTCCCTTTCGCGTTCATATCGACCGTCGGAGGCTTCTTCGGTCGTGTACCTTGCCCCATAAGGCTCCTTCCAATGCCAGCTCATGGACGAAAATATCGAGTCCGCGACTTCGATCACAAGCCTTTCATCTAGGTACGGGAATCCAAACTGAAGCTTTCGCACCACGAGCATTTTGAGCCCTGGTAGCTTCAGCACGTGCGCAAGCTGGTAGACATGTTCGCATCGGATGAGCTCCCGCTCATAATCTTCCTGTGTATGCAGCCCTTCCAAAAAGTGAGTTACCGCTCCCGGCGGAGGTGGTTCGGTCGAGAGCGGGTGCTGTCCACCACGGCATTCAATGAGGACGGGGGGATATTCGCCCGTCAAAAGAAAGCTGCCCATCGTCCCGAGATCTTGCTCATTCAGCGACTGAAGGAGAGGAGCCGCCGATGGATCCACCATGGCCATTAGGTGTCTTAGCGGCACCGACATGATGCTTGACTCGTTCCTGATCCCTTGGATGTGGTACTTTCGATCCTCCTTCCCAGCCAGGCGAGCCTGGTATCCCCGAGGACTGGTTCTAGGAATTTTCTGTTCGAAATTGAAGGCGTCCCGGTGTCTGGCAAATATGCCAATTGGGGAGCCCACGCCGTACAGGAGCTTCTCCCAACTATATTTGATGAAACAACGTTCAGAGCCAGCTTCACGACTCGCAGCTCTCCAGTAAGGGTCCAGTTTGGCTGGGTCGCATCTGGCCCCCAGATAAACCATCTCTGCCTCCGGGTCCCATTTTCGGACTGCGCTACACCGCCCTTCAGCCTTGAATTCCGGTATGACCTTCCCCTTGGTGCGATGTGATCTTCTAAAGGACCCGGTTTCTGGAATCATAGTTTCGGGCCTCGAGAAGTTAAATGTTGACGTCACGGTCTACTTAAGATTTGGATATTATGTGACTTTGGAATTCCAAAGGTTCAACACGTTATAGAACTCGACGCGGAACCATCAGAGTGGCATCTGTGGATTCGGCGTCATTGAAATGCTTGTTTATCTTACAGCTATCCCTTTGCGTCTGTTGAACACGGGGGGGCAGCTTCGGCCCAAATGTTGGGAAGGTACACGGTGTGGTTGCTTTGATAGCTCGTCATGGTGCTTTGCTTCCCGGCATTGCCATACTGCCCTGGCCGTTGGAGTCGAGGTTGACGGCCCGGCCTTTGTGTAGCTTTCCTGGGGTGTGAATGTTTGATCGCCTCGTAACGGCTCGCTTCGGAACCATAAAATTCACAAAAGTCATGGTTCCACAAGATGCCTCCTAAAGTTGCGCGGTCGTGTTCTAGAGTACAACGAACCTAGGAAGGATGAGAGCCTTTTGCCAACACGACACAATACAGGAAATAGTTTGAGGTGACCGAATCTTTCTCATATTCCAAAATTATCCCTGATCACATCCAACAGTACATGTGGGGAGGCTCGAAGCGAAGAGATATTCAAAGTTCTAACAAAGGAAATTCGTTTGCGAAGGACAGTCGCGGACTGACTGCTTCTCTTCTTCCTTTAGAAGTAGAAAAGGAGGGGAGATTGGAAGTATTGGTGCATGTGTGCAATTTGCAATATTAGAAACGCTGGATAGGTAGAGCAGAAACCGTCATTCTTTGCCAAACACCATGGGCTCGATAAGGTTCAATCTGGTGCCATGGTAAAAATGTCTAAACCAACCTGGAATTAGAATGGGAATAGAATGCCAGATGTTTGAGGGTAATTATCGCTATCAAAAGCAAGACACCGCCCGGACCTGCCTCTTTTCCTAGTCTTTTCCTGTTGAAAACTGTTTCGCATTCTGGTTCAGATTTTGTAAAAGTATTCCAATTAGACAATTTGGTTTAATAGCGTCTGAGCTGGATTCGATTTGCTTGAGCAGCAAATGCTGAAGAATACATCTTCTTTAGATGACCTTGGGAGAGCGACTGTTGCTGTTAGAAGTAAGTCGTGGATGTTGGCAGTTGTGTAGAACCCAAAAACAGAAAAAAAAAGAAAAAAAAAAAAAAGAAGAAGAAGAGAAGGTGCGCAGATTAGCCTTAAAAGAAATCAAGAGATAAAGGGTTCGTACCTGATCTCCACGATGTCATCGATGTGATTGCACATCGCTACAAACAGATCGAAAAACAGTTTGCCACCTGTTTCCATCTCCATCTGCATTGTTCCACTTCTCTTGAAAGTCTTGCGACTTCGAATGATCAGGGCTAGGAAATGAGCTCGGAGACGAGACTCCGTATCTGGCGTATTGTCGTACGCATACCGAGCCGATCGAAGTATCACATCGACTGGGATTCCGGTTTGGAGGCCCTGCTTTTTAAGAGCTAGGCTCTTCAACTCATCCAAGCCATACTTCTCAGCGGCACAGTATATGGCGGTGTCCCGAAGGACATAGTTGCCCACGCCGGAATGGAAAACGACCGATTCACTTGAGCCTCGGCCACCGGTTTTATGGGGCCCCTGAGCGTCCTCGAGGTACCAAGAGTTACGGCGCTTACTGTGCAGCAAGCGTGGATAGTAGTCACCCTTGTAAAGGTATTCGAGAACGCAGGATAGAATTTCGGGTTCTCTGGAAGACATGTTAGGTCCACATTTCGAGAGAGGAGACGGGGATGAAAAGTGAATTACGAACTCGTCAGGCAGATCAATCTGTTTCGAGCTGCCATCAAGAATTTGATCCTTCAAAGCAGCCGAAAAGAAAGGAGAGAGCGACAGGACATCCTCATGTGCAGCAAAAAGCCGCTGATCTCGACCTACGACCAATGTCACGATAGGGCTGGTGAGGTTGCTGGACGGACGTTAGTTTTCGGCTCAACGTGTTCGAGAAAGAAATAGCTATAACGCACCTCCCCGCTGGCGGGCTGTCCAATTTCTCCTGCACTCTGGCCTTTGTTTGGTCGCGATACGTCTTTTTGATGGGCCTGGCCGACTTGCCCACTCGATCCTTTGATGAAAAGGAGCGTTTGAACATCGCGTTCAGAGCCACAGAAGGATTGACAAGACGGGATTCGACGAGCACAAAACCAAAAGACCGAACGAGGGGCGGAAGAATCCCTAACTCATATATATGTTGTGTGAAAAGAGTGGACGGGCTTTTCGCCGACTTGATTTGACGCTGATCGATCACGCACGTTGCATGGGAGCCTTGGAAAGCCGTTTTCCAGGAATTACGTCCGGATCCTATCTTCGATTTCTCATCGGGAGAGAAAATGACGACAGAAGAGACGTCTACCCTTGGAGGAGGCTTTGCGCACGAGATACCATTCGGAGATGAACCTCGTGCGGGGGTTGACTGGCCGGCTCTGCGAAGCGTGAGGGAGAGAAACGAAAGACGAAGCCGGACGGGCGAGGTTGATAGATAACACCGTAACTATCTGATCATGTGATTCCCAGGCGTGCTGCCGCTAATCTAACCAACGAGTTTTAACTTGTTAATATTATTATGGACTTGTGAACGAGCGGGATCAGGCGAGGCGAGGTGGTGACAAGGCAGCCATCTCACCAACCGCCTCCCACACCCCCACTGCGGGATCGTTGACGACAACGTGCCTCGCAACAGGCCAACTGGCCAGCCGCCCTCTCGACTCGATTAGTCGGGAATGAGTCAATCTCCAGACTGGTGTTGGCTTCCCAAGTGTCTGGGTCCGCTGAACCCAGAGCTTTTTTAAAATCAACCCTAGAGATGTGGCGACCCGGGCCTCGTAACCTGGGCTGCTAACCCCTGTCTCCTCGCCCGCAGTGGATGTGTGATGGATGCCACACCACACACCTATCACGCAGCATTCTTCAGGTACGTTGGCCGGAATGGCTGCTCACGAAAGGTGCGACAAAGATGAATTATGGAGACAGCCAACCCGGCCCCTTTTGTCCAGGTGGAATAGCTCGCCGGACTTACCCACATAACCTTATCGTGACAGCACCTTTCACAGTCACAGAACCCAGGAACACCCGGCAGGTGTGACATTTCCTGTACATTCCTCCTGCGCTCATTTATATTTAGACACACACATGCATGTATTCTCGAAACTTCCACCGGCGGTTTTCTCAACTACCTGAAGTCGATCCCGGTTTGATTCTCGACACAGCATCATGTTTCTATCTCATCGGGGCCACTTCTAATGAAAATGATACCTTGCTGCACAGTAAAATGTGCTTGCAGTCATTGTGAGCAAGAGAAATTGTGGTTGTTCCTAGCTTGGCGATGGCGCAATCCAATTTGACGGGCTTATACTCCGTATACTACCAGTGTTTATACCCTCACTCAGGGATCCAAGCTCCAAGGATCACTGACGCGAATCCTGCGTAATGCCAGGCTAGAGGAGGATACAGCCGGAGCGCACGGAGGAGTAGATATCTGTTTTCTTTTTTTACTCCGTAGTCCATATCCCGTTATGATATACTCATCCTACATCGTGGGTTGTTTTTGCTGGGCACTGTAGGCATTTCTGGAAGTTTATGTCTCCACACGACCACAGATCTCTCGGATTGCATTGAGCTCGAAGCCGAGATAGAGGGTGGTGGTTTTGAAGTTGACGCCCAAACAAGGGAAGGGATTCTACATTGGCTTGAATAAAACCCTTTTGTTTTTTGTAAACCTATGAGAATGAAACACTGACAGAGAACCGGGCTGGCTTGATTTGCTGCTTGTCTTGCTCACCCCGAGTATAAATCAAGGCTGGCTGATTGAAGCTTGCACCAGCCACTTAGCTAGTCCGTGCATTAAGCTTTGCGGGGTCAATTACGCAGTTATGTAACTTGCATGTGGCGGTGCATTTCCTAGCAACTTCGGAGTGCACGAACCAATTAGCTCGCTGCTGTTGGTCAGGTCAATAGCCCTGTACATCACAGGTTCTGTTCTCTTAGTCGAAGATCTTGAATTGTCCACTGTCCAAGTGATCCTGAGGTGTTATGAAGTCAGTCTACGAAGTACTCAGTGCCCAATGCAAGTGCTTGCCTAATAGTCGAATATCTTGGTTGCATCCTTTTTTTTTTTTTTTTTTTTTTTTTTTTGGGGGGAAATCATCATTTATCGATGTTCTCGGGTCTGTCGTCGATGATCGGCTGAGGCAGGGCTTGGTAGAGTGGCGGACTCGCGCTAAGCCCCATCAGGTAACGGTCGACTCCGGCCTTGCAGGCTGCGGTGGGGTTCCATTCCCAGATGCCAAAAAGGCGGCCCGGTTAGCTAACTTGATAACAGATCTCATTATTGAAATGTTTAGACGATTGTTACCGACATTTTGAATAGCAAGTGATTTATTAACAGATAGTTTTCCCTTTTTTTGAGTTAATACCTACTACATCATAGTTGCTCCCCCGCGTTGGTGACAACTTTTGGTGCCTAAGGAGCTTCGCCAGCTTCCCCGCTTCCTATAGTACCATGGCGATGAGATACTTCAAAGTCATCAAGGAGAGAGTCCCTTTCACCAAGCACGCGACGAAACCACACAATCCAATTTTAACTGACGAAGAAGAAGCGTTTCTTAGCCAAGTTGCTAACTCCCCCGAGAAAACCAGGGTGGATGATGGTGGCGACGCGCAGGTCGCGTTGATGAATGGTGCGCAGAATATACCCTTACCGGCGTCTCCGGAGGAAGAGGACGATTTGGACAAAGAGTTTGCGTTCGAAGGGAGTAGGGCGAGAACTTCTGAAGAGGTAAAAGGGGAAGAAAAGTCAGTGGCGTCGCCAAAGAAATGGAGACGTTGGAGTTGGATGCCGGGTAAGGAAGTGCATGATAAGACGGGAAAAGATAAGGCTGGAGAGGTCAGAGCTGCTCAATTTCAAGGGGGTTAACGATAAAATAGGACGAAAATCCCTAATTAATGCTTTTTTATTATTATTTTAGGAGCCCCCTGTAGCCGCAGACGACGAGGTTAAGAAAGAAGAGCAAGATATTTCCGAAGTTCTGGAAAAGCTGAATCTCGCTGCGATAAACAACCGAGTGTTTTCGATCAGCGACGAAACTCAAGAGCTGTTGGAAAAATTCAAGCTTGTGTTCAGGGACCTGGTAAACGGCGTCCCGACCGCGTATAGGGATCTGGAGAGCCTCCTTACGAATGGGGACAAACAACTGCAAAGCACGTTTGACCAGCTTCCCGACTTTTTGAAGAAGTTGATCGAACAGCTACCGGATAAAGTGACAGGAAAGTTTGCACCGGAGATATTAGCTGCTGCGGCAGAACGCGCTGCTCAGCATGGGGTCAACGTAGAAAATGCGGGCAAGGCTGCTGGTGCGGCGAAGAAGATGGGGTTCAAGGTGCCCAGCCTCAAGGAGCTTGTGGGAAAGCCGGCTGCGATTGCGGGAATGTTGCGGTCTATTATGACATTTTTGAGGGCCCGATTCCCGGCGCTTATGGGCATGAATGTCCTGTGGTCATTGGCATTGATGGGTGAGTGACATCCTTTACAACAAGACCGATCGCTGACAACTTTTCGTCCCAAGTTCTCCTTTTTGTCCTATGGTACTGTCACAAAAGAGGCCGCGAGGAGCGTCTCGAAAAGGAGCGCATTTCTCGAGAAACATCTGCCTCCAACCTTGACAACACAGTTGGGCCGGCAGAGAACCTCATCATCACTTCTGCAGAGAACGCACCAATGGAAGCCGCTGAAACAGAAGGTGAAGGCGCCCAACAAGCACAGCGGGCCCCGGTATCGTCAGGAGAAGGCAGAGGGCCGGTCGCCTCGCTCCCTGCATTTACCAAGAAAACACGTCGCAAGACAGTTGAGCCGTATGAGGGGACGTAAAGCCCGAATCCTTCTGATCTCGGCTTGAGGAGACGGATGTCCACGTCAAGTCGACGCTAGTTTTGTTACAATAATAGCTAGGGAGGTTTGGATCCATGGACGCGGGTGCGGGCCCGCTGGGGACAAAGCGGTCAGAAAGGAATTTGTCCTCGAAATTTCTTCGACGTCTGGAAGGAAAAGTTGCGTTGTGGTATTTTCTACAATTTTCTTACTTTAGTTTATTTTTTTCTCGCTACATTTTTGGCTATGATACCATATTAGGGTGTTATTTTTTTGTTTGACAGATATGGCCTTAATTTTGAGGTTCTTTTCACCCCCCCCCCCCCTCATGAAGCCCAGCCCATCTGTTTGATCGACAGTCATTATTATTCCGTCGGCAATCCCACGGTGGCGCTAAGGCAGCCATCAGATCAAAAGGTGGCTCGTAGCTTTTTCAATTTTGTTTTTTGGCGTTCCTTGTTTCGAGTGGGTCCAGATATGCAGGAATAGACCAACCGGAGAACGGGATCGCTTTGCATCATGATGCCAACCCGCCCGCCCAGTGGACAGCGAAGGGTGAAAAAAAAAAAAAAAAGAAAAGAAGAGGGAGAACCAAAGCTGGAGGGGAGTAAGTTTGGAGAGAAGAAATTCTAGCCCACGTCGAGATATTTGTCGGCCTTGTGTCGGCGCGAAGATAGGGAATGGGGTTTCAACACCTGGCCGCGGGGAGATGCATGTCATCTGCAGGACCTTCTCTGTTCCTTCAAAAGATCAGTCCACTGGAGAGTAACCCTTGCTGTCGAGTCGGTTGAGCTAAAAAAGTCCCGGGAATTGTCAAAAATACGAGGTGTCGCATGTCTGTCACAACGCAAGAGTGAGGGGTGGAAAATGGGCCTTTTAGCCTCTCCAACTCCAAGACTTGAGTCTTGACTTTGCTGGCCCAGGGAAATGCATAGGATTGAGTTGGAACGGGAGAATCCATATCGTCACCTTGAAACCCTGTAGATCTGAAGACCAGGCTCGCTGTGACCGTGCACACGCACGATTTGACCGTGCAAGGGGCGTCGGTGCGGGATTTGGGTATCACGATATTCGGCATCAGCGGCGCGAGGCGGATAGGAGGGGAAAAGAAAAAAAAAAAAAAAAAAAAAAAAAAGAAAAAAGAAACGAAAGAAGGCAGCGCTGAATCAGACTCCTCAGAACGGAGCAGAAGCAAAGCGCAGAGTTGACTTCCTTCCGACGCAAGCTTGCCGTAAATTACATACAGCCATACCCCCCTGTACATTCTGCTGCACCCCACACGAGCTCCCCCTCGAAGTCCCTGCAACTTGGTACCTCTCCATAATAAACTTGGTGCAGCGTGACTTTCCGGCGGCGTTGCTGGCCCAAAAGACGGTGAGATTGCCGGCCAATCATGTCGCTGGACGCCGAGGTACGGTACGGTAAGTTCGGATTATGACTGTGTAATGCCGTGAAATGCTGTTACGCACCCGCCCCACCGGCACAACATCCAGCCACTCAGGGTGCGTCCGCTGCAATGTAAATCCGAGCCGACAGCAGACCCGGCCGCGGCCAGCCCCCCCAGCGATTGGTCCAATGATGGCCTGATGATGATTCTTCTTCCTCTTTTCCCTCCCTCTTTTCTCCCTCCTCCTCTTCCTCTCTCCTCCAGCACTCCAGCACAACCACCCTGTTCACCCAGAACCCCCTTTCCAAAGCTAATCCAGATATTGAACGTCAGTACTAACCCAAATATTGTCGAGTACGCCCGCCAAATGGCTGTCGCTGGGCTCTAAATCTCCTTGCTGGGGGGGCATGGTCTCCATGCTCCTCCAGTCCCCGAGAAGTCCAACGAGGAACAATCTACTTGACTCGACGATATTTGCGAAACTCTTTCGGCCGCCGCTTCCAGCGTCGAAATTGCCCCTACTACGATCATAAAAGAAAAGAGCACGACGTCCACAAGGGTTGGAGTTTGTTAATGCTATCGGATCTCTCTCGATTACTCCCCCTCTATATCCCTCTCTCTCTCTCTCTTTCATTTTTTTTTTTCTTTGCTTCAATTGCTTCACACCGCCTTATCCTCTTTTCGATAGCTCCTCTTACTCTTGTATTTCACCATCCTCTCCGCCCCGCGCACCTCGATTTCACCCTATAACTACACCTATCGCTTTCGGATACGTTTTATCACGACAAGATCCTCCAACAACACAACACTAGAGCCTTGCATCTATCCGTCCCTTGCATCATGCCTAACTCCGAAGCTTACCAACAAAGGCCATTTGCTTCCGCGAGTGCTCGTTCCGGAAGACCCCGCTCTTCTGGAGGAGATACTGGCGCCTGTCCTCCCCCTTCTGTCCTCCTCGATACACCAAACGCCGGGCTTATTTCCCCCTCGAGCCAAACGAAGAAGCAAGACCTTCAACAGCCAAAGACACCGCTGTTTAAAGATTTAAATAATACTAATCCAAAAAATAACAAGAGAAAGAGGCCCTCATCCACTTCGGATGACTCCTCTTCTTCAGACACCGCCGATTTTGACCACGAGGAAAGTGACGATGATAACGCTGAAGACGATGCGGAAGAAGATGCTGAAGAAGATGAGCCGGCAGCTTTTGCCCCGTCTTATGGTGGAAAAGGAAGAAGTAACCGTAAGGCGGGGCTTAAACTCGGCCCATCGTACCTGAAAAATGGAAAAAGGTTGAAGATCGAGAATGATCGCACTGGCGGCGAAGTCGCCAGCGAAGAAGAATATATGGCCGGTTCAGTCAGCTCTGTTTCCTCCGTCAGTTCCGTCAGTGCTGACGGTTCTGTCGTGTGTGAAGACTCCGATGCAGACTACGAGGGGGTGTGCTACGTCACAGATGGCGATGATGAGGATTTAGAGGTTGAGAAACTTGAAGAGGAGATGATATTGGATGAGTTTCAGCGCGACCGTCCTAGCGTAGGAATGAGAAGCCTTGGGGACGAGTGGAGTGGATTCGATGATCTTGAAAGTCGACCTCTATACTCTGCTGGCTCATTTTTCGATGATGAAATTCTTTCACCAGATAATAACACTCAATTTGTCATCAACTTTGGTTCTGATACCCCACCTTGCGATCTTCCTGCGTCAAGGCGCGTTCATTTTGCCGAATCTGACGGTGACTCGTCAGATTCAGATCAAACCTCTGATGACGAGCTAGTCTCGGATTTCTTACAGCAAGATAGCCTTGACCCTGATTTGAGACGCATGATCGAGAACGATGGTGATGCACGCAGGACCACCCGGAGCTCGCACGACCTTTTTTCGAGCCATGATTTCTATGAGCTCCCGAGCAATATTTACCATGTCGAATCCGATAGTGATTGTAATAGTTTCTCCAGCGGTTATGAATGTAAGTGGCCTAGGCTGAACGGAATCATATTTTGTTTTCTTTTTTGTCGCTGATTCTCTGAAAAGCCGATGGCGGGGAAACTACGGACGAAGAGGACTATCCTCCACCTGCGACGATAACCCATCCCAGATCAATCCTTCGTCGTGATTCTAGTGCTTCACCGTCACCAGATGAGGAAGAGGAAAACCAACGGCCACAGTCATCTCGTAGACGTGGACCCCTTCGGGGAACATTCATAGCTGATCCACATAAGCCCGTTGCCGTCGTAGCTCCCAACGGCAAGCAACTTATTCTGATTCCCCCCTACGCTTCTTATCGACATGACTGGCTCGAATCAGCAGCGAATAGCTTGGCAAACACCGCTGCCAATAGTCCTCAGCCTATGGATGATAGTGACACTGATGTCCAGTCCACTCATGCTGAATGCAAGGTTTTCAGCCCCATGTTGGCCATCACTCCGAGCCTTGTGAAGACTGGCTTAGTTGGCAACGATCCCGCTCTTCAGATGACAGGGCCACCCGAGGCATTTTATGCTGATCGGGCATATCTTCTCCAAGCGATTGAAGACGAAGAAGACGACGATGACGATGACGACGACAGCGAAGCGGCACTTAACGTTGATGATTTTATCGATTTCGGGGATGGCTCTTCAGACTGCGAGGCTGGTAAGACGTTGGATGATGCTGATGAAGTAACATCTCCCGCCGTTGCTCCATCCGTCAACGTCGACTTAACCCCCACCCCGAACCGAACCGCTGAAGTTTCTCAAGCGAACAGCGCCGAACGTCTTCTGAACCACCTCGACCGCGGGATCGTTACTGCCTTCCGTCGAAATCATACCCGCTATCAGACTCTGATCCGTTTGCCACATCACCGGGAGTTCATGCCGGCCAACTCACCCTCAAGCCTTTCAAGTGCTTTCAGACGTTCCAAATTGACCGACTCGCGAACCCCGCCACGTCGACGTAAAACAACCAGCTACTTTGGTGGAGAAGCAGTTAGAAGGAAACTGCTCGATTCTCATCGGAGAGAAACCACTACAACATGATCGATCCTCATCAAAAAACCACCCGCTTCGAGTGCGACGAACGCACCCTAATATCTTGACAGTCTGGCCAGAAATTTTGGAACGCAGTGTTCGGACAAAGCCCACGGTTGGAACATCACCTCTTCCTACTTGTCTGATCTACCTGATATGTCTTGGAGTATCTGTCATTTTCCCCATAGATTCCCTTCTATTTCTGAAAGAGGATAATATGGTGAGTGGCTGCGATATCAAAAGACTGAAGGGAAAAAGAAAAATAAGTAAAAAGAGAAAACACAATCTATGTGTATGTGTTGATTATGCACGACACCCTTGCTAAAAGCAGATAGCACCATGTGCTTTTATTTTTGGCATGTATCTGCTCATGCATGAGTGTGTCTGTGAAATGAATTTCCTTTATTTTGCCGAGTACATGCATGATTTATGGATTTTATTATTTGATGCTGTTTGGCTTTTTTTTTTTTTTTCCCTTGTTGTATCCTCTTTATTCTTATTTTTGAAAACTTGATTATTATGCAGGTTTATACTCAAAGCCCCTCTCCGGATATATCATTATTCCATAGCCAGGAGCAGCGCTGAATTGAACGCCTTTATGTGTCCATCTCGTGCATGAAATGCTTTGCTGCGCCCTGCCCTGGCAATTTCACACCTCCTTCTCCCTGGGCCGAAACGCAATCCCTGACTCGAAGCCAAGAACCAGACTTTTCCACACATGAATGTTTGAAGTGTCCATGCTTTTTTCACCCCCCGTTTTTCCCTGCCTTCTGGTTTTGAGTTCGTGGCGTGCGTGGCTTTCCCCTTATCGGTGTGGTTATCTGGAAGTCGGGGTACGATCCCGGCTTTATTGTTACCAAACGAAAAAAAAAAAATAAAAATAAAAAAATAACAAAAAGCCGAAAAAAAAGAGATTTCAAAAAAGATGTCTTATACGAACCAAGCTATGCTCCGTACATGTAGTGGTAACTAACTCGCCTGTTGAGAGATCTTAAATGCTAAGTTTTTATTCATTATTTACTTCCTGCTGCGCGTACTCCAGTATAGATTCAAAATTCGCTGTCAATTTCTACACACAAGCGGATATGCACGGTAATAATCGTTCGTGTTACTCCGTCCATGAAATGCATATGACAAACTGGGTATAGAGCAATTGGAGAATAGAAAGAAATACAGACATCCAGGACAAGCAAAAGGGGAAACAACTGCAGTGCAAAAAGGAATGGCAAAATTACATAGATCATATTTTCAACAACCGGGCAAAAATAAAAAAGTCAAAAAAGGTGCCTTGTCCGGAAAGGGGGAGGAAAAGCCGGGGGGAGGGGAGCTCAGGCCCCCGATCGCACCATCGTTAAGATCCCGGCGACATTGACAAACTATCCATTGTCATGCGACTAGGGGAGACAACCACTCGTTCCTCTGTTCCTGTACGGACCGCCCTGTATCCGTTTACAGGGATACTTCCATGGGCAATTGTGCAGCTATATTTATCAGGGAAGAGTCGGCTGCGTGCATGGGAGGAGATATAGGTTCTGAATTCATTGCAGAACCATGTCCAATCAATCATATGAATACCTACGTTAGTTCTGGATATCCGCCTGCCTTTTGGTGCAGGAAGAGGAAAAGAAAAGCCCTCCAACAGCGAGAGTGTAATATGTCAAGCGAGAGAAGGGAGTAGAGGTATGAATCACCCTGTTTTACGCTTGATCACTTCCACGACCAGGGGGGAGTCTATCTCCTCATTTTTCCTACAGGTTAGGTATGTTCGGATTGGTTTTGCGGTGCTATCAAGTTCTTTTCTCAGCCGTTCGGACTCCATCATTGAAAAGAGGAGGTGAAAACCTACACGTTTCCCACTGCCAAGGGCGACCTTAAAAAGGCCATCTGCCTCACCAAACCCCTCTTTCTAAGCGCTTGGGTCAATGTATCCTCCTTTACATCCAGACCCAGCGCGTTGACCACCTCCTGATACGTCATCTGACGATTCTGTATGGAGGAGGTTATAAAGGTTTCGATCTCGTCGAGCTTTTCGTCAGTAAGGCGCCTGGCTCTCCCAGGCCGACGCTTGGGAGAGGCAGAGCGTTTCTGGCAGGTATATTGGACGGCGCCAAAGGGCACGTTCAGGTGTTTGCAAATCTGGTGGTACGTGTGGCCTAGACTACGCATGAGGAGGATGTCGCGTCGTTGGTCGCGTGTGAGGCAGTGGCGGTGTGGCTTGATGGATTTGGAGGGTTCGGGGAGCGGGGATTGGGTTGAGGGAGGGATGATGGAAGAGGGAGACGAGGAGGCGGGGACAGTGGCGGGATGGAGGGATATGTGTGGAATAGGCGGTTGTGGTGGTGTAGGAGGTACTAGTTTGGTAGCTTGGGCCTGTGGTATCGACGCCGACTGCCCATTGTTTTCATGGGGCGATAGCGGCGCCGGAGAGCGAGTTTGCTTCAGAGGTCTATCGGTGGGGGAGATGCCTGCCGGAGGGAGAGGGGTCGTGGCGGCGGTGGACGAGGTCGGAGAGAGGGGGGTGTCCATCGTTGGCGGATGGTGGTGCTATGGGCTCTGTGGACTATTCGTGTAGTCAGGGGCGCGAGTGTGCATGCATAGGAGGTACAGGAAGTAACACATCCAGGCCACTCAGACAGCCGGTCTGGACAAGATGCATCAGTTTGGGATGGTCTTCTCATTGGATGCATGATTGTCGAATAAGAAGATGTTCGCTAGACAGGGTAAAAGGAGAAAAGGTGCCCCAGGTCCAGCGTGACTTACTTTGAAGCCAGGAGTGGTAAGGCTCGCAGCCAGCCCCCGAACCACCAGTTCGCAAGCGCAGAATGGATGATTCGTCGAGTGGCTCCTGGAGAGACGGCGCTAGGAAAAAATAGTTTCAAAGTGAGACCCTGGAGAGAGGAATTGGCGCCTGGCCCGCAGAGGGGGAGGAGACAGGTTGAGGTTTGCGGACGAGAAAATACTTTGATGTCAGGAAAGAAAAGTCCAGGGTGGAGCTGGCGCTAAAGAGCGACAGCAGAGCTGCAGATCCGGGGGGGATTTGCCGGCCAGTGATCTTCACGTTCGAGGTTCTTCAACCGCTGTTCGTCATGGCAGCGTGCAGAGACGATCGATCTCGATTTCCACCCACCCCCAATGCGGTTCTATCTCTCTCTCTCTCTCTCTCTCTATATCTCTGTGTGTTTTTGGCGGCGGTTAGGCAAAAGCCCGGCGAGTGTCTGCGGTGACATCAGAGATACCTCTTTCTGGGCGGCAAACCCGGCACCAAATCAGGTTCCGCGGAGGTCAATCCCAAAATCCAGCTTCTCCTTGCGGACTAGCGCCAAGCAACCAACCAGCCATTACATAATCCACCAAGCTTCAGGCTTTTCTGCCTTTTCAACCACCGCTCGGATCGCGAAACCAAGCGACGGATTGCCCTCGAACCCACACAGGCTACGGGGGTACGAGGACACTATTATCGCCCTGTCTATGGGGTAGTTTGTTGGTTTGTTCAGCTAGACTCGCGTGTCTCACCGCCATGCATGATCTTGCCCACTCCCACGTTTTAAACACCTTCGCTTGCTTCGGAGAACTACGCGAATTGGCTCCGAGCTAAGATGTCTTATTGACTCTACCCCTCCTCGCGATTGGGCACCACGCGGTTCCGCCTGGTTTCATAAATCCTTCTAGCTCCTTCGTTAGTTTGGACAGATGGGGCACTGGCTTTCCTGCCTCACAATGGTTCACTCTGATGCGGATCTGCCATCGCTGGTGGAAATGTATGGATGCCTGGATCGCCCGGGATCCTGTTCCTGTCATTCGTCCGGCATGTCACCACCGGCGATTCGCCCTGAACTCTCGAAGCGCATCCTGCAGGGGGGCTGTTAAAAATAGCGATACCTCCAATTGTGGTTTCGACTACGGAGTACAGCAAAGTCACACCTGGCGCTAACGATGGCCGGCCCAAAACTTGAGACTCGAAAGAGAAACCCTAGGCGGATGGAGGAGTTTCATGCACTGCTCTTTTTGCACATCGGTGGGCCGAAACAGCCGAGTGAAAAGAAAAGAAAAGAAAAAAAAAAAAAAAAAAAAAAAAAAAAAAAAAAAAAAGGGAGGGGATCTTAACTTGCAGCGTTTATGTACATCCATGTCCTGCACGCGATCCTCTTAAGGACGCTATCCGCTTTATCCGGTGGCAACTATTGGCTAGTTGCGTTTTCGGTTCCTGGCTAGCGAAAAAGAGGAACTCAGGTCCAGCATGCAAGCTCTCGGACTTTGGCGTTGAACCAACGTTTCATGGTTTGGCATCCTTCTCTAGCCTAGCGATTGTTGGACTTCCAAACTCGCCACCGGCTTCGTGAGCCTTGCAATGGAGAAGACATTGCATATCCAGCCACTGGATGGGCCCTCATGATTCGGAAAGTCAATTTCTAGTTCGCTGCATCACAGCGCCAGGGGTTTCTCCTCCAGCTTCTGACGAGTGCTTCCGGAACCTGTCTGTGCTTGGCCTCCTTTGAAGGAGCCAAACATATATATACCAACATACCCAGAGCTCCTTCTCCGTGTTTGATTTCTCTGTCAGTTGTTCTAGTTTGGGCTACCAAACCTCTTTTCTTCTTCTATCATTGTTTTTACAGTATTGCTGGCTTTTTGTTTTAGTCTATCAACTCAACATTCACTCGTTGTAATTCAAAGCCAGTCATTTTATACATAATAATTGCCTGCGGCAAGCCATCTCTCTCTCTCTATCTCTCTGCGTCTATCTCTTCCTCCCTACTTTCAGCAAGTCTGATTTCATCTATTACTGAATAAATAATCATTTTCGCCTTGACTCTTCCGCTCTTTTCACCATGAAAATCTACCAGAGTACCGCCGTGCTCTGGCTCATTGTCCACCAAGCAAGCGCTACCGTATGTCTCCTATGCTTGTCGATTCATGTGGACGAACTCAATGTGTCTAACGGGAATATTTAGCTGTGGGGCCATGGCTCTTTTCCGTTCTTCAGAACCCCTCTGAGATGTGACAACGTGTGCACTCCTGGCCAGGAGAAAGGCTATGATTGGGGTGGCATTGGCCTTGGCCTTATCGACTTCTTCGACGACTTCAACTTCTCGGGCTTCACCTGCAAAAATATCCTTGATTTCAAGAAATGGACTGGGAAATTCCAAGTATGACCGTCGAGACTCTTGTCATATACCTTTATTTTGCTGATTGTGGAATACAGGACAAATGCATCGAAGGAACTCTGCAGAAGGACAAGTCGCTCTGTCCCACAATCATTTCCAGCAAAAGGAAGGGGTTTTCTATTGATACCTTTCATATCACTGTTGACATCGATATTGATGTTGCCTTCGAGTATAACATGCCTGATGGAAAGACCTGCAGAGAAATCCATCCATGCTCCCCGGGAGGATCTATCATCAAGAATACCCAGTGTGGAGGTGCCACTTCGGTGTCCTTCTTCATCCCTAGTTTTGCTCTGAAGGCGAAATGCAAGTTCGCCATCCACAAAATCATTTTCAAGTGCGGTCCTCCACAGTTCACAAAGACTGTTGTTCCCAGCTTGCCTGCTTCAACCACAGACATTACTTTGTCCACTCAGCCGACTCGCCCCTCAACCACTGAATCTGTTGACGTTACAACCACAAGTGCGCCGTCTGTGACTACTTCCACCGAGGGTGGAAACACCCCCGGTCAAAGCAGCACCGACATTATTCCAGGCGAAAGCTCTACTGTGATTATTCCAGGCGAAAGCTCGACTGTGATTGTACCAGGCGAAAGCACGACTGAGGTTGTTCCAGGAGAAAGCACCCCGGTCATCACCCCAACTGTTTCTCTGTCAACCTCGACTGTGTTTACAACCAGCCTTGTTACCATCACTAGCTGTGCTCCAGACGTTCCAGACTGCCCGGCCCAGTCACAATCTACTGTTGTTGTCACTTCTACCGTTGCGATCTCTACAACGCTTTGCCCAATCACAATTACCCCAACTGAGCCAGCGGGTCCAAGCAGCACGCCAGGAATTCCAGGACAACCATCTCAGCCCGGCGATGACAGCACCAACGTTCCCATCCCTACAGAAATCACCCAGACAAACGTCCCAGGCCAACCTAGCACAACCAGCGGAGCTTCGCCTGTTGAATCAACGCCCAATGTTCCAGGACAGCCATCTCAGCCCGGCGATGACAGCACCAACGTTCCCATCCCTACAGAAACCACCCAGACAAACATCCCGGGACAACCAAGCTCACCCCAAAACTCCTCTCCAGTCGAGTCTACTCCAAATGTTCCCGGGCAGCCAACAACGACTAGCGGTTCTTCGCCTGTCGAGTCGAGCCCAAGCATTCCAGTACCAACCTCTCCGTGCCCGGATGTCGTTCCCAAGTGTTTTAACACCTGGTTGGAACTTCTTCCCAAGTGTAACTCTAACAGCGATGCTAGCTGCTTCTGTCCATCCTCAGAGTTCACTTCTGAAGTTATCAAATGTATTGAGGCTTGGGGTGCCTCCGATGAGGAAGTCCGGACCGCTATTTCGTTCTTCACTGGTATCTGCGCTCCATACATCCCTAAGAACCCTGGAATCATCACCAAGGTTCCCACTTACATCCCCATCGGTCCACCCCCAACTGCTACCGCCCCAGCTGGCGTTACTGTTACTCAGACGGTTCCGTGCACCACCATCACTGTTTCCCAAGTGATTACCCTGACTAACGCCGAACCAACCACCCTCACCACCGAAATTACTGTTCCTCAAGTCTCCTTCACGACCGGTGGGCCTGGAGCCAACCCAACCGTCGACCTTATCCCCGGCCCCGCGCCAGCCCTTTCTACCCCGTCCGGAGAGGCCGGTCCGGGTGCATCTACCCTCCTTACCGTGCCAGCCACTGCACCTGGCGGGCCAAGACCTACCGGCCCTGAAGAGTTCACCGGTGCTGCCCCGTCGTTCTCCGTCTCAGGCAGATTCCTCTTCAGCGCCGCCGCTGCAGCGGTTGGTTTCATTGCGCTTCAAATGATGTGATTATCAGATGCACTATAGGCAATTAGTGCTTTACATTCCCTCTCTAGATGACCTCTTTGCTCTCTTATCCTTGTTTATATCATATTCTCTTACTTGTTTTTGTTTACCTCCAATCCCTTTGGACGAGGACAAAATAAATACCAAACCCTGGTTTGCACTACTCAGTACATGTATTTTCTTATTTTTATTCTCCATGCATGATGGCTATTGATGGTGTGACTTGAATCTCACATAGAGTGTAATTATCATGTGTTCTGACATTTCGGATATACCATTGACCATAGTACTGGTTAATATCAATTAATATGTAAATTATAATTCAAAACGAATCTTTTCTATTTAAAGACTTTTTTTTTTCGGATGGATACTTGAAAGGGTGCATGTACTGTACATATACGGAGTACTGCGTACTGAAATCCTACAACCCGGGCAATGATCTGGTGAAAGCTTCAATCGCAATGAAAATCAAGGCTTAGAATTCTAAGCGACTTCAGTGCAAATGTCTGGTGATACTTTTATGGAGAGTATAATGAAAGATCCTTTCTAGAGTCCCTAACAGAAATGAAAGATAAGGAAGAATAGGATTAGATGCCCGCCAACATGCGGAGTTATGCTGATAATTATATCTAGAAAACGAGAAACAGCCGTTAAGATCATCGTACATCATATATATTTTGGTCATTAAGCCTTGAGAGCAAGGCAAGGAAATTCGGAAGGGCAAAAAATTATCATCCCACTCTGATCCCGATGGCAGCACTTTTGGCATCCGTTCAAGATCCCGTCAAAAAGAGACAACAGCTCATCCGCCCTAGCCAAACACCAAGCACCTCACCTCGATGCTCTCCCTGCCCCTAGCGCCCACCGGCGTCCTCGGATCTACAAAGGCGGTATGCGGCACTCTCTTCCCGGGCGCACCCTCCTTCGAATCCGAACATTTTAACAACAACCTCTCATCCCCGCCGATCCCGGACCAATAGTACCACTTCTGCGTGGGGGCATACAGCACCGTGGCGGTCTCGCCCGTACGATCTGGATACCGATGCTCGACGGGGACCAAGTCGGCGTCGTCGACGGAGAGGGAGGATGCGAAGGCTAGTGGCATGTCCTGCACGGGCCCGTTGAGCGGGCGCCAGACGTTGATGATGCGATAGCGGCCGCGCAGCAGTTGCTCCGCTTCGTCGGCCGGGAGGTGATATTTCACGCGCTCGGCGGCGCTGTAGGGTGTCTGGTCGACGTGTGCACGGGTCACAGGTCCGCGAGGGGCGTCCGGGTTGCTGCGGCGGATGGTGTGGTCGAAGATGACGACGCGGGTGGCGCCGGGGACGTGAGTGAGGATCAGGTCCTCGACTTCTGGGTAGTAGACGGACTTGATGTTTGCGTCGTCGGTGAAGGAGGGGTCGGCTTTGGTTGGGGGCACGTTCTGGAGGGCCTGGAAAGCGTCGCGGTCGAGGCAGAAGTTGGCTTCGTGCCCGCGGATGTCGGTGATGGAGACCTTCTGGGGGACCTCGATGAGGTTGGATTGGGGTTGGCCTGGTGGTGGATTTTCGACGTAGTAGAATGGTTTGGAGCCGTCGGCAGGAGGGTGCCAGAAGGCTATGGATGCCTCGACGGGCCCGCGTGGGATGTAGCTGGGATCGTTCGCCGTGGTGGTGGTGGTGGCGGCGGCGGCGGCAGCAGATGGTTGAGAGACGATTGTCGTCGACATGGTGGAATCCGGATATATCTTATTGCCTGACTAGGCGTATAAACCTGAAAGCAGCGTTGAAACTTGTGGGCGCGAGATATCTGGCCATATAAGTACAATATCGGGGACGAGGGGACTCTTGGATTCCCCCTCTCAACCGAGGGAGCTCTCCCCGCTTCCGACAGACAGGGTGATGCCATCCTCCCCACATACAACGCTCATCCTACCGAACGCTGCTCAGTCAACGCGATCACGCAATCGGCTGCACCCTAGCTCTGCCTGCTCGACAACCGCCCTTTTCACGGCCTTCGGGCTCGGTCGTGAAGCGCGATTGATTTACCGCTGTTTTCGCCGACGAAAAAAAAAAAAAAGAAATCCCATAGTTATTAGTAATCCCAAACTAACGTAAGTAATTCCACACCGAACCGGACACCACACCAAGTCAGACACTAAAATCATCATATCCCAACTAACTGCTAGATAGCTTGTCAGCCAGGGTTCTATGCTTCAAGCGCCCTGCGTCGCATCAATGGCGTAAACTACTGGATCTCCTTTCCCTGGTTTGTGACGCTTAATGATGCTTGAAATTTTTCTTTTTTTAGCCCCTATCTTAGGAGATACAGTATGCGGATCGTTGCATAGCCGCCCGAGGGAGTATCAGTAACCTCCAGTCAAATCCGGTCTAGGCAGCATCAATTAATCCCTTTAAATCGCCCCTTTAATGACCCTGATCGCAAGAGACGTTTATTTGATGCTGGTGCCTCAAATCTCTAATTTTATACACGTTACAGTGCTCCTGGCTATGCCAAACAGCAATTGTTAACCAATAGATTATGCCTCGCCTTCTCTTCGCGCGTGAGGATGTATCAACTTCACGACCGCACCATATCCAAACAATTGGATAATATTCCTTCTTTTCAGTTTTATCGTTCATCTATCCCTGCATGGAAGTGCTTGCTATTTTTATTCAATTTCTATTCCTAGAACAGTGAGCCCGTGGTTCATTGCAGATAAAGCCGTCCATTCCTCCTCAAAAAGCTGTTTGAGTCAACAGGCTCAAGTCTTCTTTTGTTAAGCCAGACAGCATATGAATATCATTATATTCCCTTACATTTCAAGCCCAAACTTTGCATTTACTCGAACTCCAACTGTCTTGCAGCCACACTCGATCGGCACTACCCACAATGGCATCTCTATCCAACCCACTATGAAGCCTACAAAGTCAAGTACACGCTTGCTATGCAAGACCCAGAGGAGACAGAAACAAGATACCACACTGTCATCTTCATTGTGACCGACGACAACGGCGACGGTTATATTCACCATGTCACCGGCGACATCACAGCGGGAATGACATACCAACCCAAGCAAGGCAAACAGCCCGAAACCTCACAAACCTTCCACAGAAAAGAATTCCTTGGACTGGTCCAAAAGTCCAAATATCCCGACGAAGTTAACCGTGTGTGCATGTCCGTGCCGCCACCACATGCCCAGAAGCGATTCAACCCCCAGACCATGCGCTACGAACAATTCAAGCCCGACGGATCCTTCTACGCTCCTGGCGAACCCCGCCCAAAGTACTTCAAATGTACCGAGTGGACGGAGAGTAAGGCGATTCCTGCTTTGTTCCAAGCTGGCGTCCTTGAGCAAGGTGCACCCCTGAGATAGCTATAAAGCCACCTCCTGCGAGGTTCAATCGCTTACAGCTCAACACTCCATCAGTTTTGACGATAAGGCCATTGACAATCTTCATGGCTAATTGCTATCATCATTTCTATCATGCGATTTTCTTGTCCATATGTGCTCTGTTTAAATTGTTATACTGTTTGCCTGTGTGTTTGTTTTATCTGTGCTGGCCCGTTAATGTCCTTTCTGACACAATATTTTTTGTGCTTGATGGTCCTCTAATGTATCCATTTGTTGTTTGTAGTTCACTGTCCCATTACATACAAATTAATACCACGTGCTGGAGATTATTGGCTTTCAAATCTGTTTTCCAAAACTAGAAGAAAATGTCCTGATAGACCATTCTCACCAGAGCTGCCTCAGCAAGCCAAGGTTCCATAAAGCTCTCAAATCCTGCCGGCCAGTCGTCGTCCCAACGAAAGTGTGTGAATGAAATCGCGTAATCCCAGTAGCTTGGATACCAGCCCGCGTCTTCCCAGTCCACGAGTGCAACATCATAGTCGCACTTTTCAGAGGTATGTTTGCTGGTTTTGCGGATCAGGATATTCTTTCGGTAGATGTCAGAGTGCGAAAAGACTGGTGGGTGGTTTGAAAGTATCCGGGAGAGATGGCGCTCATAGAAATCAGATTTGTGACTGTGTTGTCGATGCAAGGCTGCTTGGCTGCGAAGCTGAGCAGTAATGGCGTTATTCACTTCATTTTCATGAAGAAATGGTCCAGATATCCTCCGATCCATGGGGTTTGTGTAGAAAAGGTGATGGGGAAGACTGCCTTTGATAACACTGCCATAGAACCCAGGTGAGGGTAGAGAGCGCATCCCATCAAATATATCCTTTAACCTGCATGCAATATGTGACTTCTCATCATCTGAGAGCACTTCCCAAAGCTTTTCCAAAGATTCGCCTTCGAGGAATTCCATAATGAGGAACAGCGTGCCATCCGAATCTCGATACATAGCATAGAGCCGCGGTGCATGGACAGTATTGCACAGGTGGTGCTCAACAAACAAGAGATTCTGTCCCTCAATTTCGCTTGTTCCACGTCCATATTTGATGATGAAATGCTGGCCAACTCGCACCATCTTCTGCGCAACGCGGTCACCGAGAAATGTTGTGGAAGACCTGATATCTTCTTTAGTGGGGAGCGGCCCAGGCAAGTCCTCTGAGTTGCGGAAATATGGGAGTTGTACAGGCGCCCACATCTTGACGGTTGCTTTTTCGAATCAGGGCTGATTTTGCGAGGGCATCGGTTGCAATGGATGTGAATTTCCAATGTTTGATCGAGGGACGATGCGGTGGGAGTGGTGGATGCTACAGAAAATCAAGGCTGACAGACGACCGGTAAGGCTTTCAGGGAAACCTTTCTCCGTTGACGCGAAGCTGTTGGAGGTCAGCCTTGGCATGTGCCAAGACTTCTCCCTAATCCGGCCTAGCACCATCACGTGACTTGGATAGAATTTGGCCTGACTGCCGCCTCCGCCAATACAATCCCCAGATTTCCCACAGAAGCCTCTCCCTCCCAGGAGGAGAGAACACTAGGATGAGAATACTATAATGAGCAGTTTTGCAGTTTAGTTGTTTGATTACGGCACTAAAAGTGAGATTATTCAAGACAGACCACCCATTGTAACCTTTCTCCGTATACTCTTCAGGTGACCGTTTTGACGATCGTTTGCTACTGAGTTGACTGGTCGGGGCCCCGTACATTGTCTTGCCGGAACCACGATTTTGCCATCCCCTGGGAGACCTCTGGCAGTTGCAGGATGATTGAGTCAAGTGTTTTCTCACTGTCGCTCAGGTAGGTAAATGGCCAAAGCACTACCGAAATCTGGCTAATTTTGGTTGATGTCTAGTATCTGTGACGAGAGCATTTTATTGTCCACAAAGCTCAGCGAACCCCAGGCCCTGCAGGTTCAGGCCATGGTCACGACCTGCCTATTTTCCAGAGCTCAAATTTCTCAGTCTCCCCAGGCAACAAACGCAACTGTGCCCGGAAATTTTCAACCTCCGTGAGTTGCGCAAGGTAAGGTATACTGTCATCATCGTTCACAGGCGGAGGTAGGAGAGACGGCGCGTTGGCAGATGTAAACATAGGGATGGCAGGAAAAACCTTTGCCATTCTACGTCAGGTTCCCTTGAATACGTCCACTGGAATGTTATAACTGCACCAAGGCAAGCTATATCTTTGCACCGCCATACCTCAGATAATGGCAAATCACAGACTTCACATCCTCGTCTTCGACTTCATCCACATCAACCGTCTCCCCTTGCTGAAGAGTGTACATGATATCGTCCTCGTACCAGCCCTCGAAGGGTGTCCTCCTTGTGTAGAGCTCCCACAAACTCAGGTCAAGGCTGTAGAGATCATACTCAATGGTTGGAGGAGGATCTGCCCCATCAGGCCAGCTCCATGTCTCCGGCCGCCAGGCATGACATAAAACAAATAGGATCTCATCACATCTCTTGAGAACTGAAGAGCCCAGCATATCCTGGTAAATTTGATTGCCCTGGGAGGGTGCTTCTTAACATCATGGTTAACCTACATTTCGAGCTGAATTGCTCCGAGTCCTTGATTCCCAGCTGTGCGGTGGATGATGGAAGACAAACCTCTCCTCCAGCTCCTGATATGCCTTCATTCACTGTGAAATCGCTGGGAAGCTGGTACTGACTCCAAAAGCTATCAAATGGGGGCAAAGGACGGACCGAAGTGAGGTCCTGTTGGAACCTCTCTTTTTGACCAATGAGCGGCGTCGTCGTTTGCGAAGGACTGCGGCGAGGCAGCTCACGTGACCGAAAGTCGAGGTCAAGGATTGGCATCAAGGTCCAGTTTGGACCGTGTTGGACAGTCCAGTTTGGGACCATGAAGGAAGGCTGAGGAGGGACCTTAAGCTTGTCACAACGAGGCCTCTTTTTAGAGTCGCAATGTTTTGCCATGTTGGGCCGAGTGATTGGCTCGTTGCAATAAGGACATGGACCTGTTGGAAGCATTGCTGCTGGAGAGGAAGCGATAGATGCGATGGATGTTGATGGATGTTGATAGATGTGGAAGATGCGGAGGATGCGGAAGATGTCCATGGATGCGATGGCAAAACTGCTGATTAGGCTTCTGGGGAAGCCTTTGACTGGCCTATCAAAGGGCAGAACCTTCCAGCCTCCAACAGATGTTTCTACTCTTGGAACAGGGGAGGAGCGTGGGGTGGCCTTGGCGAATGCCAAGACACAAAACAACCTAACTTGGCATAGTGTTTGAAATAAAAGTCAGGGAAAGTTGCATTGTCAAGCTGATTTTTGCAACGCACTGTACAGAGTCAAGAACCCCTTCAAGTGATGCTTGATGAGGGTGATGAGTGGCAGCATGGGATGATGCGCCCGCCAACTCATTGAAAAACTTCATGCGCAAAGAAGTGCTCAGGTGGCTCGGAATCGCCGCTAGCATAAACAGTGTAAGGAGATCTATAAAAGCCCAAGAAGTCAAGGGATAGGACATGAGAAGGATATCTTCTAACCAGTCGCCACTGATGAAGATGCGTGCCTGCTCAAAGAACCATTCTGGTGAGAGTGACAGCCACTCAGGCACCTTCTTTTTATGCTAGTCCCTTTGTAGTCTAGTTCATTACAGCGCATGTTTGGCACACTACGGAGTTACTCCGTACATTAGTTAGTTTAGTTAACTAAGTTAATGCTTCGTTATTACGTCATTCGGATTAGTCAGAAAAAGCGGCTCGGCGCTGAGCTGATTAGTAATGACAAGCGGCAAACACGGCAAACTTGACAAACAGAGCAAACATCGCCCCTCCCGGCAAGACAAGACGAGAGAGAGGAGAACAAACCAGAGCCAGAAACGGAAAAGAAATGCAGGATGGAGAGCTGTCCCTCTGGTTGTCTGCCGTGAGAGCAGTAACTCTTCAGTCAAATGACAGCCATTGTGTTGACTGTGAGACTGCCGATGCCTTGTTATGATTATCTGTTGATAGAGTCAAGCCCATCACAGGAAGCAACACTCCATCGAGGATTTATAGGACAACAGGTTCAAGTACACAATAGTTACATGATTTCTAATATATGAATACTGATGCTAGCAGAGCAGCACCAAGCAAAACCAGTCGTATCAAGGCCATAGTCATCAAGCCGTCTTCAGGATGTTGAAGCAAACTCAACTCCTGCTGCCAGCCATCCCACAGAGAGAGAGAGGAGAGGGGGGGGGGGGGGGGGGGGGGAGAGAGAGAAGCGAAAGGAAGACATAAAAGCAGTGATTCAATATCAAATCCATCAACAACCCTGCAAAAGAAAGCAGGTTAGAAAGAGGAGCAAAACATGATGCTCCATGGTGTCCCCTTCCTTTTCGCAGCGCGCCCGGCAGATGGCCGCAGAAACACCGGCGGAAGAGAACAGGCAGCAACAGCTTTCATATCCAACCCATCTAAAGAAGAAAGAAAGAAAGAAAGAAAGGAAAAAGGAAAAAAAAAAAAAAAAAAAAAAAAAGAAGAGGTTAGAACAATCGCTGTTCAAATATCTAAACACCTGTTTTTTCATCCTTCCACCCAATACTCCAGGTTAGCCCGCTAAAAGAAAAAGGGAAATGAAAAAGAAAATCCAAAATCGATAAGAATAGCATCGCGGATCTATCCCATTATCTAGCTGTCTTGCCGAGGATACGCCCGAACTAGATGCACATCCATCTCCCGCGGAAAGTCTGGGTGCAGGCTGCTGAATCGCTCGCAGCTGACCGTCGTCGCCTCGGACTCCGGCGGCACGAGCGCGTCCAGCAGGTGGTTGACGAGACGATTATCGATCCATCCACGCGGCTTCGTCTTCTTCAGCTTTTCAATGCGCGCAATGTCATCCTCGATCTCCTCGGGCATCAAAGGCGGCGGGGGTGGCGCCGTTCCCGAGCCGTTGGGCCGTTGGTGATAGTTGCCCAGGATGAAATACGGTAAGTTGGGGCGGTTTGCGTTCTTGTCGGTGAGTTCTCCGAGGAGGTTGAGCCCGGCGGTTGCGTTATTCCGTGTCGAACGTGTCGCGTGCACGTTTTGACTGGCTGTTCGTTCCATCTCCGGTGCGGCCATGCCATCTTCTTGGCTGCTCGTGTCACCGGATCCCGCTCCTTCTTCGCCTTCAATGCCCTGTCCCGCCGAGCCCGCCGCCTGCTTGGCGCGTTTTGAAGCTGACAGGAAGTGTAACGCGGCAACGTGCGCCTGATTGCTATGCATGGCAAGTTCCTTTTCGGTGAAAAGAGAGAGGATGTTGTACAACGGCGCGTTTTGTTGCTGGTTCAAACGGGCCTTGGCGCGATCTGCGGGTGTGGAAAGGCCTTCAACATTCGGCGATCCGAAGTCGTCGTCCGCTGGTGCTTTTCGCTTCCTCTTGATGGCTGTTTCTGCGATAATCGCGTTACCCATCTCATCAACATCGACTCTATGGCGAGTGTGCCTTGTTTTTCGGTTGCTCTGGAGTCCGCCAGGGCTTCCGGGATTTGTGATGCTGAATTGATTTGGATGAAGAAGCAGAGCATTCGTGTCTGCAACATCGAGTTGCTCCTTTTCACGCATCAGGCGGTTCTTTCGCTGGGAGATTGACTGGATCAGCCGCTCCCGAATCGTGTCAGTTAGTTTGGCACACTCCTCGATGGCGAATTGGTGTCGGAATTCTCGATCTTGCTTTAACCTGTTGAGATTGTCACGATGACGATGCTGTCTCATGTTAGTATAAAAGCATTATCATCATCATCACCACGTGCAAATAACCACAGAGGACTCTAGCTCACCATAACGACGGTCAGCTCCACATCCCTCTCTTCCTTACTCCGATTTATCTCGTCAACAAATCTCGAGTACCACCGCCCAGTTACGGGGGCCTCCGATACGGTATGCCCGCTCGCAGCCAGCTGCTTAAGCTGATTGGCAACGTCTTCGGGGGCATCGCTCATTGGCCACTCGTCATAAACTTCAGCATTGGCGATCAGGGCCATCTCATTCTGAAGCTCATGCACATGCTGGCGGAAATGGTAGTCGCGATTGTTGGTAAACGCTTCTCGGATATCATTGAGTCGGTCATGGATCGCAGTGCGTCTCTTGTCTCGCTTCGACAAGGGCTGGGCATGCTGCTGGGGTGTTGGGGAGCGGGCAGCTAGGTTCGTCGTCGCCATGGTGTAAGGATATACGCCGGAGCCAGATCACTAGGGAGAAAGAGTTGTTATATTAAAGCCAGTTCGCCGAGCGTATTGATGGCTGGGGAAAAATTATATGCGGCTATGCAGGTGCTGGGGAAGATCGGAGTTTGTTCGGTGAGAAGATTCGCGGCGCCCCCTAGAATCCTTGTATCCCGTCAGCCGCATTGAAGCATTATCGTTTATTGAAAGGAACGATGAGAGCTTGGGGGGGGGGGGGGGGGTTTTCCCTAAATGTGGTGTCCTTATTCTCTGCTAGGGTCAAATGAACATACCTTCTCTGCGCACTAGTGCCCGCTTAGAGAAAATTCTTGTGTGAACAAAAGCAAAGCTCGTGACGGTTATAGGTCGTGACTGCCGTCTAGATATATCCGCTCGGTCCGAAGTGTCCAACTGAATGTCGAAGAAGCACAGGACGAGCTCTAGGCGGTCGGTGTGATGGGGCGGAGCGCAATGTTGCAAAGGGTTTCTCGGTGGACGGCGGAAGAGGCGATCGGTCGAGTGGAAGTAGTGAAACTCGTAGGAAAAAAAAAAAAAAAAGAAAAATTCAATCAACAGGCAGATAATAGCATGCGATATGGCCAGCCGTCGAAGCGCTTTAGAGAACCGTGGTCGAGGGAAGAGTAGGGCTGTTGTGCAGAGCTTGGTTGGCTTCCAAGCGCTCTAAGACGGGATTTGCCCAACGGGCTCATGCAAACAGACAGGGTGAAGAGGTAAGCAAAGAGACGGGCAGAATCAGGATGCTGAGTCGAGGTGATGGCTGTCGAAGTATACCACAACGGCAAGTAAGCAGTGGAGAGCGTGGACAGAGGTAGCAAGCATTATTGTCTGGAGAGCAGGTAGAAAAACAGAATCTCACTTGCTGGATTTCTTTCCGCTTGCTGGGCGATGATTTTGAGGGGGGAAAACTAATTGGAGTTAACCAGAAAAGCGCGTGATGTAACTAACTAACCTTCAGTCAGGTTGGGGCGGTGTGGGCCGGCAGTAACTAAACTAAACCACCCGAAACGAGAACTGAACGCGACGAGCCTTCACATGGCAGTTGGATGACAGCAGCAGCAAACGTGATGGCAGCTGAAGAGCACAGAATATGTATGCTGCTATTCATGTGTTGGAAGCCCAGCGATGTGTATGAGATACCCAGACTACATAATCACTCAGTTACACCTGTGTGGCACAAGAGTACTTTGTGCCTGCAAGCTCTTACTTTAACGACCCTCTCTGGACTGACTAGAGACAGCCCGATTCCCTAGGTAAGTTCACCCTCCAGGGATCTGTCAGAATATGCATTCATTTTCCTTAGGGTTTGATATTATGTGTTGGTTCTCAGATGCATCCATCCCTCCTAACTTTTTCTGATATTCAAAGGAAAACAATGCCATTGACAAGAAAGAACTCTCCTTGCACCCACCATGCGAGGGAGCAGTAGTATAATCATTATTATCCAAAAAAAGGAAAAGAAAGAAAATCAATTGAAGCCCAGAGACGAGATTGAGATGCGGTGAGAAAGTGACTGCATCAGGTCAGTGGTACTTTTCTTTCTTTCCACCCTGTAAAAAAGGCCGAGTGATGGCCGAGTTATCTGAGGAATGAAAATACGTTTTCCTAAAAAGAAGTTAAAAAGAAAAAAAGTAAAAAGTAAAAATTACCAGTTAATTCCACCTGGGGAAATGGAGGTGTAAGAAAAGACATTCCCGACACATTTCCACTCTGTGATGGATGGTGGTTAAAAGAAGTCAAGAAAGGAAGAATAGGTGAAGATATGAATTATGTCAGTTTTGATTCTGCAGCACATGAAGGAAAAAAAGAAAAAGAAAAAGAAAAAAAAAAAAAAAAAATGCACGAGAACACGAGAGAAATGAATTCATTCATCTTCTGACAACCCCCCATCCCATACTGCCGACCATGACAATGAGTAATACACACATTTGACAACTTGGAAGTGAAGAAAATGAGAGGGGAATAAAAGCAAAAAGGGTAAAAGGGAAAAAAAAAAAAAAAAAAAAAAAAAAAGAAAGAAAAGGGAAAAAAAAAGGAAAATGGGTATTGTTAAATGAAAAGAGCCGGACATTCAAAATGAAGTATCCTGCTGCAAAGTAACTCCCTCAATACACACACACACACACACACACACACCCACATATGAGAAATACGCCTTCCCTGCTGCCTTGATCGTATCGCTATTTACCGAAATCCCAAATATGAAGAGAACAACATGCCCGAGCATCCCAATATAAATGTAGAATTTTTCGTTTTTGTTTTTGCTCCCTTTTATTTTATTCCCCGCCTTTCCCCCATCTGTATCTGTAAAGAGGACCATCTGTACGCCTGTCTGCGAATGCTCTAAAGCGATCTGCGAATCACAAACACACCCAGCTCCAACCCACAATCCGGCTCGCACCCATCGGGATAGGCCCGGTGACGAATTCCATCGAGGATTTCCCGCAGAAGAGACGCGCCCGTGATCTCCTGAGACGTCGGGTGCCTCTGCGCCGCGTTCATCAAAGCACGGTCCGGCATACGATGGCCCTTGCGCCAGAAACGGTTGAGGATGTCCTTAGCACGCGGTGCTTCTTGCTGGATGTACCACTCGGTCCAGAGCTTCCGGTCGACCTGCACCGTTGTCTGTCCCGCGTAGGCTAGGGTGAAATTTGTCCTGCGCGAAGCTAGACCGGACGAGCTTTGATTTCTTGAACTGAGGCTATCGCACAGAGCGAGAAGTCGGGCTTTCATTCCTGCGAAGTCATCCATGTACTCGATGGATGCTATGCGACCTAATGCGTTCCCCACATCGGCCGATAAACCGTTTACAACGGCCATTTGGCGGAGGAGAGGATCAAGGATGGGACTCAGGTACTTGTCTCTGAACGTCTCGGCGCCCCTTCTCGTGGGGTATATGAACATCAGGCTCCCCCTGTTTGTAGAAAGCTCGAGAAGTCGATCAAGCAACACCGACGGGCCTTTGTTTAACAGTAAGGACTGATACTCTTGGATGGACGAAGGTGGGAGATACCGTTCGATGACGGCTATGTGCACACTGAATGGAGGGACAACTGGGGAAGATAAATGATGTCCTCCGGAGGGCTGGGAATTTATCTGATCGGTGGGGTATTCTGGGACGACTGCAGCACTTGAAAACACAGTATTGCTGAAGTAGTCATCTCCAGAGAAAAGCAGGTGAGGTGTGCTTGGAGGTGAAGTTGGCAAGCTGCTGAGATTGAACATAGGCGGTACGGCGTGTACAATGTTGATATATGGAGAATTGCCGGGTTGAAGCCGACTCTGGATTGCTTTGACGATAGGTGTAAAGGCGGATCTTGGTGACGCGGTTGCTGAAGATTCAGAAGGTGGACATGGAAGAGTTTGGGAAACTAGCTGCACAGATTCTCCTGGAGACTTTGGGATAGGGAGTGATGATACTATTAAAATGAAAGTCAGTATATATATACAAGTCATAAAAACGTTAAGTAGAAGCTATGTAGATGGTGAACAGCACCCACAAGCATTGCCAGGTTTGAAGGGCATATACTGACCTGCAGGTAAGATAGCATCCTGCAGCCATTCGTCAGAATTATCTTCAGGATACTGATTCCCATTTGAAACAGGCATTGAGGCTGTCATGTTTCTTGCATTTTGAAGAGGTAAGGAGGCTCCCTGTCCATTTTTCTCAGGGTTGGATTCTGATTCTGAGCTTTACATTGCTCTAAGGTCTTCCAGATAATGGCCAGAATCGTGCTCATCAGAAGGCGGGCTGCTGTGATGTGATGGTGGCTGGATGAGTGGGTGTGCGTTTGGGTTCCAGAGGACGTTGTCCTCAGTTTCTGGAGGCGTGAGGGGTAACGGTGATCTGTAGGGATTGTCGGGCTTTATGCAGAGGGATGAGGATGATAGGGGAGAGGAGATGCTTGAAGAAGCATCTGTCACAGGACGACAGAAGTTCCTGTCATTGGGCTGAGATGGTGTGAAAGCCAGTGAAGAGTTTGATATCCCCAGAGACTCAAATGACAAGAGTTGCAGTGGGTGATTTGATCTTGACGTTGCACGCATCGCTGACAAAGGTTCTGAGCGGAGAGACGTATGGGACGCACTGCGTTTTGCCTTTGACGACGGCAGAGAAGAGTGGGAATGACCTTGGAACCGTTGGTCCCGGGAGAGCTGGATGTTTCTATCCGACATTGGAGCAGAAGCCCTGCTAGATTGGAATTCGCAGGAGACGCTTCGACGGCCTTTTCGGTCTGACGTGTCGCCCAGTTTTGAATTCCAGCACGGAGAGCTGGTTCTGCTTTGACGATAGAACCTCATGTCTGGTTCAATATTCGCTTCTCCCGCCGTTGCGGATGCTCGAGGGGCTGATGGCTCATCCTTATGACGGTACATTCACAAAAGACGAGCTCGTAAATAGAGCACGAATTATTCCGCTGAAAAAGCCCAATCTCACTAGTCACCAAACCAGAGAGGAGATCCCTTCCAGACCAGCAGTGTGACTGTTGGAGGCGTAAGCCTAGATGAAAGAAAAGGGCAATCGATGAGTCCAATTCCAGACACAACTAGCGGCCTATGTCAAACAATCCCACGGATTGACCACCACCGCCTCTGTCGATGTTATCGAAACGCACACGCACACGCCAAATGGGAGATTCGAAAAAAAAAAAAAAAAAAAAAAAAAGAGAGAGGGAATTTCGAGACTCCGAGCAAGCGATGCGTCGTGATTACGGGGGCAGCCGATGGGGGCTTGGGCTTGGGCTTGGAAAGGCGAGAGGACGAGAAGGCGTTGAGCAGCTCCGGCGAGGTCCAGGGCGGTCGGACTAAGACTCACAACGGCACTGTTGCGGCGTCGTTTTCGTCGAGTAGGAGAGGAGGGGTGAGTAAGCGGAAAAGGGCTGGATCTGATCGCGAGTGTGGAGTAATCGTTGGCAGGATCGTAGAGGGCGGGATGCGTGCGTGGACAGGTGACGAGCTGGAGAGTAAAAGGGACCTGACGCCTGTAGGCAGTGAGAAGAAGCACACGGAGAAGATGATAGTTTGGGGGAAGAAAGGGAGAGAAGGAGAGTTAGGCAGAGAGAGAGGAAGAGAGAGAGAGAGAAAGAGAGAGCGAGAGAGAGAGTCAGAGAGAGTGTGAAAGAGAAGAATCACCAATCCGAGAGTCGAGGATGTATCTCGTGCCTCTGGCTGGCCGATGCCCGGGTCGCAGCTCTTAAGTTGAACCCAATTCTGGCCCAACTGGCGACGGTTCACGGGCTTGTGTTCCAGGGTTCCTCAGTCGAGAGTGGTCTAGACCAACCTAGAGGCGCGCTGCACGCACGAAAACTCTGACCGGGATGATTATCACACGCTCGCTGCCACCGCTGAGGCTGCCAGCGGAATGCTTCCATCTCGAGGCATTTTACAGCCCTCTTGATCCTCGCCGCTGGTCGTGTCGATTTCTGAAGAATTCACTGCAACTAGCGAGCCAGCCAACCACACGGTTACCAGACTTTTGCCTGTTGGCATTACTAGGAGTCGACCACGGAACAAGTTACAGAGTTGCGCCTTGCTGACCCCTTACCCTCGATCATGTGGTTGCCAACAGCCGTAACTACATATCCTTGACGGTGATCATAATACAGGACGGCAGGTCACTATAGCAGGTCTGGAAGAGAGCAACTTCATTTGCAAATAATATTATTAGCTACGGGGCTATCCGGTGCTACAGTTTCAAGAATCCCTCTGCCCTACGAGAGCCCTGCCTCTAGGTGGTTAATATAACAGGCACGTTAATGGCCCGGACAGGTGTATAAAACAGCGTCCGTGTCCTGGCCCCCGGGTTCTTCTTTTGACACTTCTTCATGCAGGTGTTCCAAACTCCTCTCCGGCCGGCATGTGTCCGAGTCATAGAAACATCCCGTCTCCTTCTCTCATGCCGGCTGACCGGAAACCCCCCCACCGGCTGGGCTCTCTTATCTTCTCCTGCTGCACATGTACCCTCTACAAAGGATGTTTGCGAAATCTGCACGGCTGACTCGGAATGATAATACTCGCGGGGATAATCCACATGACTCCCCTGTCCGAAGCACTATGCTCATTCGTGCCCGGATGCCCTTGTATAAGCGTTCGTACAGTACTCAATTTCCTGCGGGAGTTAGCTCGGTAGCAACCGCGTACATACCGGGAACCACGGGTTTGCCATCTCCATCGAGTTTCCCTATCATCTCTGCACCCATGGGTCGATCGATGATGGTGATACCTGCCTGCTTGCTGGGGTGAAAAAAAGAGCTTCGTCAATCTCGCGGCCAGTGGGTCAAACTCTCCCTCCCCACTATTTCCAACCATCTGCCAGGCCGATCTTCTGGTCGAGCTTAAAGATTAAACCAGGAGTTCCAGACCACACCCCCCGCGGCCCACGAGGGAGAGATCTCTTCGCCCGGGGATGATTCCAAGAAACCTTGCTGCTCCAAAGCAATGTAATATGTAGGCGAACGTGTGCAGGAACCCAGCTTATGGAAGGCAAGAGGCGAATTTCATTCCTGATCACAATCATGAGATTTCCAAGCACCGATGCCTGCCCTTTATCAGTTTTATCTTTGAACCAGTTACTTGTCCCAATTCTCCACTAAGCGAGTTCGCAAGTCATTTCTCGTAATTTTAGTTGCCGCAGTTATTCACAAGCCAAGGCGTCCCGTCCAAACCAGCCCGTTCGTTGATCACGCTGCAACAGGAGTCGTCTCCTCTGTACTCCGTACTCCGCACGGGGATTACAAAATAGAAAACCTCCCAGCTTTCCCTCACGTCCCTACGCGGCAAAATGGGAGAGCAAAATCTCAAATCCTCAAAGCATTCAAGCGCCGTCGAATAGACACCCTTCGATGATTCATCATCACTGGACAAACCCACGTTTTTGCGCGCGGCTGATGGGCCGGTGGATCAGGCTTTTCTTGTCTCCGCAGTGGTGGCAAAACTCTCGTTCCGTTTCGGCACGGACTTTGTTGCGTCCATAGGGCTTTTGCTAGAGGGTGCGTGGGGGGCCAACCGTGGATGATATGCGAACTCTCTTTGCATGACTCCCCTCGAGCTTCATTGTTATTTCGCAAACCTAGCCGTTCCACAAAGGGAACGGAGGGTGGAATGCAGAATGGCCGTATGTATTGAACAGGGCACTCCGTCTCTCTCCCGTGTGAGATGCCAATTGCACAGAGAAGCACGGCGGGCGGCCAACGTAATTATTCAGGGTGGACTGGGTCCTGCGCCGTCCTTCGGAGAAAATTCATCGGCCGCCCGTGCAAAACTCGGCGATACAGGGATTGTCCTGGCGAAACGACCAGCTGAAACGAAAATCATTCATCACCACTGAATCTCGAAACCTCTCGATCAAGGCATCATCACTCCATCCGCCCACGGCTTGCGGTCGTGATCCTCCGGGGAACCACCATGCTATCGACGTTGCGTTGCAGGGGCGGGTGATACAGGCCTTTCCGTCTTTCTCTCTCGTTGACCTTATCTGCCCTTCGATCCCAATACCTCCATCGATCAGCACTCGTCCCTCAGCATCTACGGTCAACGCTCTGTGCACCCACCGATCCGCTCCTCCATCTCAAAAGCAGAAGGTGACCACGGTCCCTCCAAACCCGAAATCTTCCCTTCGTATTCGCACTGACCCTCTCTAGCCTGCACTTCATTCCTGACGCCTGATGTTGTCAAACAATACCGCCTCGCCAGCCAGCACACGCAGCGAACAAGCTGCCCCCTGGCATTTGCCCAGTGATTAGCGCATCCTTGTTGTCCAATAGGAACGTCACCACACCCTGGTTTTATCAAAACAGAGGGAAGATATTCGTCCCAAATTTGAGGGCAAAGGTAACAGATTGTAACTAGCATCCATTTTAAAGCCCCTTACCGCCCTGCAGCACCAGCATTCTAGCTTGTTATTTATGGATATGGACGTCCGAGAAGCAAGCGAGCATCGATCGACAGCTCGCTTCTGCTCGACGACTCGCTTCGTCGGTACCGCCTACATGGACTCGTGGCATAACTTTGGAATTGCCAGAGCATTGGCTGAACTGACAAGCCATCTACCATAAAACTCCAAAGATTCACCCAGTGCACAACGCATTAAGATACGCACGCTAGAATTATTTTTTATTTATTTATTTATTTTTTTAGGCTCGTCCGACGCCGTTTTCAACCAGCAGCGGACGAGGTTATGCGCTCGCAATGACGAACGGGCCCTCTTCTTCCAAGCCCCAACCCATCGAGAAGCCCGTATCCTCGAGCTGCAGCGTATGAATTGTCAGTAAAACCGTCCATCATTGCATCCTCATAGACGGGACCCATCCCAGCCATCCGGCACCCCCTCCCAAGCAATAGCTCAACGCACATCTTCCTTCTGGCCGAAACACTCCCATCCAATGCTGACCAAAATCCATCATTCAAATCCCGGAACCAAATCCCTCACACGGCTCTTCCGTAACCCATGAGTCCATAATTAGCCAGTCATCTGCGATTTACGAACTGTGACCTCTTGTGTGGTTACGGCTGCTCCGTCCAATGCGGGAAAAAAAAAAAAAAAGAATACAGGGCCCCAAGGGTCTGAGCACTCTGCCTCGTCCTTCCCGTCCGTTCGTTGCACCCGAAAACCTCCAGGAATGTATCCCGAGGGAGCCAATCACCTTTCTCCGTGCCTTTCGTACGGTGTACGGAGGACGGATGACCTCTTAGACACTGCCAACTGAAACCCAGCAGGGTTTGTGTTTGGGTTGTTCTGGAATTTTGCTCCCTCTCGTTCAGGGGCTTCTCCCAGAGAGGGGGAAGGGACTTGATTGGACCTTTCTTGAAGCATTTCTGGTTTTTGGAGATTTTTCTTTTTTCTCTTTTTTCTTTTCTTTTTTATAACTCTGTCCGGTGGTGACAAATCCTTATGTACGGAGTCACTATGTATGGGAGTAGGCGGAGTACTCCGTCACACACATACATAAAATACATACGGAGTACATTCATGCAATAATAATGCAAACTGGGACATACATGTCTAGCGGATTATGAGATTATAAGCCGATGGTCCATCCATCCCATACAGACATATAACCAATTCCTCGGCATACATACATCATCATACATCCGGAATCAGTATGGGAGTGAATTGTCGAAATTCCGGATGCAGCTCTGCAGTGTCACATCCCAAATGGTCGACCTGCAGCAACCTCCCGCTGCGACCATAGTACTCGTCGATCAGACCCTCCCGAGCATCGTTGATATGGTAATAGTTTAAATAGTCCATAAGGTATTTCACCTATCCTACCTTGCACACACATACACACACACACACACATGCGCCTTTTTGCCTCACAGGAACTACCCAATCAATCCCAGGCAACACCACGGGCCTTTTCTCAGTTAAGAAAAGGGGGCGCTTTCCGTGGAAACTCTAGTATACTTCAATGAATGGGGAGTTGTTTTAAAGGGAAACATAGCACCGTGTTACCTGGGACTGCTGGAGGTTCTCAATACGCAAGGTACGTAAAGTACATCTTCCTGACATATTTTTGACGGGTACCGGAAGGAGACTTGTGAAGGAGCAGCATGTACATATCTGCTCCGTACTTGAGACAAACTGAACCTCCTTAAGCTGAGTGACAGAAGACAGAAGATAGTAAGCACCGAGGTCGGAATCGCAGCCATGACTCTTCACCAAACTGACAGGTGAAACCAAAAAAAAAAAAAAAAAAAAAAAAAAAAAAAGCCTATGGTCAACAAGGTCCTCGTCCAATATAGCCTCTAGCCTCTAGCGATTAACATTGATGGTATTATGTATTAACCCGTATTATGGACGGGAAAGAGGCGGTTCTGCGATCTAGGTGCCTGGGCCGCTCGGCTGCGACCGGGCACCCCCTGCAGTCAGCTTCGACAATTCAGCCTGTTCCTCCCATTTCATCGTCACCTGCCTCAACGCTATGGCCGAGAGCTTTAGCTGAACGCCATCAGATTGCGGCCGGGGCCTGGGCATGACGTCGCTTCGGGACATGCCAACCGACGTCCTGCTCCCCACACCGCGTAATTGGAGGCACTGCACCGTAAGCTGATAGATGCCCAACTCCAGAAAGGTCGCACGGGACTCGACCCTTTGCCAGAACCCGTCGTCCCAGAACGGATCTCTCTCCACGGCGTCTTTCAAGGCAGTCAACCAGAACCGGAACGAAGGGACGTGGTACTGGCAGCGGCCGAGCCCTGCAGACCTCATATATTCTGGAAAGCGACACGCAATGATGATGAGACGGACGAGTGGCTCGGATTGAAACACATGCAACACGACGCAGGCGGGGCAACCCTTTGTCAGACACCAATTGCGCTCTTCGGTCACTATACATCGAAGCCACGCGTACGCACTGCGAGCATCGCCACGGAAAGCCAGCTCCAAATCTGAACGTGGCTGGCCCGGTACAGCAAGCGCAGCGACCAAAGACGCCTGCCGAAGAAACTGCAACAATGGCGTGAAGAGGGCGTGTAGTATATCGCGATGGAGCTGGAATGTCTGTTTTTCCGATGAAACGATCTCATCATTTCCGTGCAATGTGCAGAATCTACCTGTTCGTTAGAGAGCCAGGTTCTTTCATTTTCTGTCTAGCCTTCTGGCGGTCATCATGGTGGGCATACTCTGACCGTGCACTCTCTTGCAAGCGCAGCCTCACCGCTTGAAACTTTTCACTGTCATTCAAGGCGGCCTTGTCCTCCTCTCTGATCCGAAAAGGGGATTCCATGGCGGAGTTCAACATCGCGAGCTCTTTATATTCTGCTCTTAGTGGCCCATCGCCCGGAACTTCGAGTTTCAACAGTTCTGGTTTTAAGATGGCTCACACGTTTCATCGATGATCGAGGCGTGGTACCTCGAACCTACGGGCTTGGAACTCCCCCTTTCCTCTGCCCCCGCTCGGATTAATCGTGCTGCACTGGTGAGAATATACAAAGTGAAAATTGATGTCTCAGCCAGTCATCCTGCAAGCAACTGTGAATGCAAGAATTGGAGGGGCCGAGCCCAGCTGGCTGAGCTCGAAGCGCGGGCCAAGCGGATGGGCAGGCGATCGGTCTTGCGGCATGCGTGATGGACAGCATTGTCGGCAAAGTCTCATGATGCGAGATACCTGCGTTCACGCTGGGTCCGGGCGCAAGGACGAAGTACTCCAGATCAGAGGAATCGCGCAGCAGCGACGACCTGGGCCTGCCCACGTGCACATAAAAGCCCGAATTCGGCAACTAAATACGCGTAATCTTAGGGAAGGCGCGTTTCCCTGAGATTGGAGTGAGGAGTTGCGCCTTCTCAATTAAGAGAACAACAAAACAAAAGAAAAAAAAAAAAAAAAAAAAGAAAAAGGAATGAACGGGTATTAGGTTGGAGGGTGAGGTGAGGGGGAGGAAGAAGCAAGAAGAGTCTGGAGAACTAGATGAAGAAGGCGTTCACCCTTCTTTCTTTCTTTCTTGTTTCTCTTTCTTTTTTTTTTTTTTCTTAAAAAAAAATATATATATAAATAAATAAAAATAAAACTAAACAAGTCGGCAAGAGCAAGTAAAGGAGACGACAGAATGAAGCGCCCGAACGGGTTAGCGCCATGTAGTGTTTTTTTATGTAGAAGGTTGTGCAGGTGCAGCAGGGACGGCAGGGACGGCGGGACATTCACCTGAACGCTCCTCTGCGCTGTCGGCGGTCGTGAGCGAGACTGAAGACGGCCTGCCGCTGGGATCTTCCTCGAGTCGAGTCTGTCTGCCGCGGTCGGTGCATCGCTCAATCGGTACTTGAACTGCCTGTCGTCCTCGGGGTCCGTCGGATGGAAAGGGAACAATCATGTCGGACCCGTTGGGTATCACGTAGACATGGAGAGGGGGGTGGTTGCTCAGGGGCCTTTGGAGCACCAAATGGCCATTTCTGAAATCTTCAAGGATGTTGGACCATACTGGTTAAATTGCGAGTAGTCCGTAGTAGTTCGTTGAAACCCGTCTCTCGTCGCTGCTGTCGTACGCCGACAGTCTGCTTTTCCGCCATGTCGTCGTCCCGCCGCGTAGCACTTTTATCGAGTCTGTATCTCATCAGGGTCGGGATATGCCAGAAGAGCTCGCGTCGTGTGGTTGCAAGGTTTCGGAGAAGCTCCTCTCCCTGAAGGGGCCAAGACGCTGCTGTGCTCGCTATTGGGCCAGACAGATCAACAAGGTTAGCCGCAGATGATAATATACATAGCCCGAAGACGGGGGAGAAACGCGAACCAGGATAACCATCAGAGCCTCTGTTGCTCTACAGCCATCATGAGCTGCGATGTCAGGACACACCTTGATAGAGGCATGCGCCGGTCGGGAGAAAATCGAAGATGTATAACACGCGCCCGGCCACTGCCCAGAGAAAGCAGTTCTGGTATCGTGCTGCTAGCGTTGTTTTTGAATGGGTGGGAACGGTGGGAAAATGAGGATGCCAACAGCCAAGTTCACGTCTCCTGAAGGAAACACAAGAGCATCTCACAGCCAACAATGCCACTCAATTGCTGGTTACATCGGCCTTTTTGTCTGTCCTTCGTGTCTCTCACTCATTTGCGTTGCGCCCAAGATCATCAAGGCCTCTCTTGCTGATCGGAGAGGCATTTCAACACAGGCCGGTCGTGTCCAAGCCCGCACACACGCAGGACTCCCTTTCCTTCACTCTTTAATTCGCTCTCTTCACTGCTGCAGGTTACAGCTGCGAGCCTCGAGGCTCCATCCTGTGATGGGACAATCGACGTTATAGGAATGAGATTACCGTCTGTGTCCGCTCTTGCGGCGTTTGTTGCAATTCTTATCCAGTCACAAGATGCCTTCGCGATCTCCAGGATCTCCGCCGTTGGCTCCAAGTTCTTCAATGAGGAAGGAGAGCAATTCTTCGTCAAAGGTGGGATATCTCATGCGCACTAGAAGCCAATCGTTCTACGGCAATTGCTAACCGCTATTCGCCCCGTCCTCCTCCCCCCCCGGCAGGAAACGCATACCAGCTCACCCCGCAGGATCCTCTGGTCAACACCACGCAGTGCTACCTCGATGTGAAACTGATGAAGGAATTGGGCGCCAATGCAATTCGAGTCTACCATGTCAACCCTGACGGTGATCATGCCGGCTGCATGAAGGCATTCGCCGATGCGGGAATATATCTCTTTGTTGATCTCGACGATTTTCCAACACAAATTGACCAGGTATGGGAGGGATTGGAGTACATGAATATCCCAGACCATGGCGTAAGGGAAAACACAAGCTTACCGAAGATTTTGCCTGGCAGAATCATCCCGCGTGGGAGGCAGCACAATTCGATGCGTTCAAAAGGACCTTGGATGAGTTTCAGCAATTTGAAGACACCGCTGCTGTATTCGTCGGAAATGAGCTTTTGAACGCAAAGAATGGCTCGCATGCAGCTCCTTACGTCCTTGCAGCGGCTCGGGATATCAAAGCGTACCGTGACCCTAAAAGGTACCGGAATATTCCCGTGCGCTATTCGGCAGCCGATATCGCCGCGTTACGACCAATGTTGCAGAACTATCTTGTCTGCCGGTCGAATGCCTCCGAAACATTGGTCTTTTTCGCCCTGAACGCGTACGAATGGTGCGGAGATTCGACTTATACGCGCTCCGGCTACTTAAACCTCCTAAAACAGGCTGAAGGCTTCCCAGTGCCAATCCTCTTCTCGGAGACCGGATGCAACACTGTCCGCCCAAGGGTGTTCCAGGACTTGACCGCCATTTACGGGCCCAAGATGGTGGGAACCTGGTCTGGTGCAGTCGTCTATGAGTGGATCCAAGAAGCAAATGACGACGGCCTGATAACATACGGCAAAGCTTCCCAGCAGGACGATGAGAAGGACCCGTCTGATACAGTTGTCGTAGATGGATATTTCCGCCAAGGCAAACCAAAGCCTATCATACCGGATTTTCCTAATTCAAAGTCCCGCTGGGCAACGTTGACTCCAACGGGTGTGAACTTATCGGACTATTCGCGGAAGGCATCCTCCGTCATCGCTCCGCCACGTCCGGATTCCACCTCTGGATGGAATGTAGATCCCAGCGCTGAGCTGCCAATCCTTGATGAACCGATTGCGACCTTGACTGCAGAATTAAAACCCACCCAGACTGCAGACGGAGCAGCACCGTCACATAAAAACAGTGCAAGCCAATTGCTTTCATCACCCACTTCTGGAACGACCATATTTTCCCTCATGGTGGGGGCTTTGATTGCTCTCGGTGGAATAATTGGATGGCTTCTCTGAAAGGGGGATAATTCATTGGGCTGAGCTACCATAGTTTATCCTCTCAGGTACCATGGGAACCTGGCGTTGAATGTCGTTCCAGTTAAAAAAACTACCGTGTGGATTCCAATTTAGGGACGATCACGAGATTCTCCTATGTAATACGGATCATACTGTCTGCTCTCAGGGTCTCTTCGGTACGCTACATTCGTAACTATGGAGTTGAATTCCCCTACTTTCTAACGATTTCACCCAATATTACTGACTGGTTCGGTTGCACGATACCTAATGTATGCTGTTGATGTATGTATGATACCAATGGACTGGCTTCATGCTGGCAATTCTATATTGCTTTAAGCTCTTTTGCACCTGTCTATTTATAGGTGACCGACCGTTCGACTTTTCAGAGATACCCGAGCTGCCATTAGGTTCTATCTAGCTGAGTATAATCCCGCTTGAAGACCTTTGCTAAGTCGTCACCTGAAGTGCAAAAGCCTATGGAATCCAACTACGGAAAGTTACGATCAATAGACCCCTAGATATTTTGTATTGAAGACCACTGTGGTTGTAGGCACGAAGGATTCGGATGCTTCGTATCCATAATACTCTGACATATACGCATATCAGCCTCTCTAACCGGCCTTTGACGGAACAACACGTGGGTGAGTAAGGCCATAATATAAGATCATGTCATCATTGCATCAAACTGCATAGTCTGTCAAATGTCGAATATCTCCACCAAGCATAAACGAGACGTAGGATGGATCAAAAAGCAGTGTACTCCGTAACTAGTGAACCGGGGAATATTCTTTGAAGCAATGGATCAAAACGAGACAGCGAACCCAGAACAAAAACCTTCTACCGACCTTCCTAGTAATATCCATCACTCCAAGGGAAAACGAGGCTTAAACTGGAGAGGAATGCGTGTAGCTAGATGAGACATTGCAAAACGGGAAAGGTCATCACATAATTAGGTAAATCACAACATGAAAATCCTAAAAATTATTCCAATCGTACGCTGCTCAAGGCACATTGAAGTAAGAGAAAGTAGCCCAGGGGAGGCGGGAATCAAAGGAGAGGAAGCGAATATTCTTTCAAAGTGGAAAACCCCCCCCCTTTCTCGGAAGCTTCGAAAGAAAGGAAAACAAAGGAAAAGCCAATTGTAATCAGCGACCCATGACAGACGTTCTATGTCTCGAGAAATTCGGATAGCCTCTCCTATTTACGCTATCCAAATTAAATTCCGGAGGATCCACGGGCACCTGCGTCTGCGGTATCTGGTCCGCCTCCCTCACTTTCCACGGCGTCACGGGAGAGCGTGGGAACTTCTGGAGTTTAGTCCTTCCGCCCTCGTTGGGTGTGCGAGACCGCGATGGGATATAGCCAGGAATCACTGGTGAGGGTGAGAAATCAGAATCTAGAATTCGCGGTGGGAGGAATTCTGGGTGCGGAGCGGAGCGAATTGGTTGGAATGAGAGCGGGGCGGGAGTCAGGTGGTCTCCAGCAACACAGTGATTTAGTGGCTTGGCATTGGGGTTGGTAGGCAGGGTTTGACTACCGGGATTCGACGGAGAATGCCAGGGGGCAAACGGCACCGTTGTTGGGTTTGACGTGTGGAGTCCTAGTGGTGGGTTGGACCGTAGGTGCGGATCAAGGTCCGCAAATCCAGCGTCGATGTCAATGCCTAGGCCTATCTCCTCATCGTCGATGATATCAAGATCAAGCGCCACGGGCTTAACTGGGTTGTGCTTCTGCCTTGGTTGCTGGGCGTGGTCATGCGGGGCCGGGTGGCTGGAATGCTCGTTCTCCTCTCCCCGAAAGCTATAACATGACGAAGGGGATCGACTGACTGGATCTAGCTGCAAGAGCGGTTGTCGCCTTGGCTCGCTAGGCACTTCCGCCACTGTGTCTGGGGTAAGCGGAAACGAATTTGGCCCCGAGGAGAATGAAGAATAAGAGCTATGCTTATTTTCTAAGCTGGAGTTGTCGTTGCTCTCGCCGCTGTCGCGATGGTTCATTGCTGCTTCGGGATGGAAACGACAATGTGGCTCGAAATCGCTGGCAACACTGCATATCGCCCGGGCGAACCTGGCTGCTACTTGTGCTGAAGATGGGCGGACCTCAGGGTTTCGTGCGAGCATATCTTTCACTACCGCTAGCAAGGGAGACACGGCGCGATAATATGAACCCTTCTGCTTCGATGCTTCACGTTCGAGGATATCCATCCATGAGAAAATTTGCTCGGTGTTCCTCGCAAGATGAAAGGAAGCATCTGGGATATTGCCTCCATATCCAGGTGTACGATTTTTTGCTCCCCGGTGGTTGACGAAAGCGGATTGTTTCTTTTTGCAGACGCAGGTAAGGATATCCAAAGAAATAGCTGCAAGGCAAAAGACATCTGACGCCGGAACGTGGTGCCCTAAAGGTAAGGTCCCGAGTCTTCGTTCGCTGCTGTTCCTCCCACTGCCGTCATTGCCGTAAGTGCTTAATTTTAGATTGTTTGGGCTATTCAATGTACCTATTGTCGCCAGTTTTGGAGTTGCTGGATGAAAATGATTCGACGACGAGGTCGACATTGTCGACTGCGAAGTAAAACTCGGGATATTCCTCCGTGCTATGGAGTTATGTGAACTAGACGCATTTGATGAGGAGGATGTGGATCTCGTCAAGGAAATTTTAGAGTGGCGCTTTGATGCTGGAGACCGGGAGAAAAACCCCGCCGGTGACCAGCCAGGGGCGTTGTTCTGCATAGCATTTGAGGGTCGATCATCCCTCTTAGCAGTTCCTGGTCGGGATGGAGGACAGCTCTGAGGATAGAGAGTTGACGTAACAGGTAAAACATTTGATTTCTGCTCTGGAGCCGCGTACTGGTAGGTTTCCATGTTATTTGGCTGTTTTTGAGGGATCAATGGGTTGAACGAATCGAAGAAGCCCAAGAAAATGCGACTCTCCGAATCAATGAAGACATTGGATGGGCGAATGGCACCGTGGCACTGGCCATGACCATGGAGCCATGCAAGTCCACTGGCCAAACAATGGGGCCAATTTAGCAAAACTGAAAGCTGGTCATCCTTTGATAAGTGTTTGAATGAGCTTGGCCGGTCTTTTAAGAACGATTTAAGCGTGCATTCCGGTGAACCAGACAGCAGCACATTAAGAGTGTCTCCCACCGAATAGGAGCCAAAGACAGACATTATGTGTTCATGAGCGAATGGCCGCAAGGCCCTAACTTCGCGAAGAATTTCCTGTTCGTCCTGGCAGAAATGAACCTCATCGAGAGTAAATTTTAAGCGCAGCACTTCCCGACATTTTGAGCCGGCATGGACAACCCTGTCGACCTGGAAAGAATCCGGGAAAGAGACGGGAATTTTCTGCCGATGTAATTCCTTTAGTGGTATCAAATCATGTTCATGAAACCTTGTATGCTCGCCCTCGGGGATCGATCGCACCAAGTACTGTCGCTGCACGCCGGGGAATCTCCAGTCCAAGAAGACATCCTTGACCATAGACGACAGACGAAGATTAGCGGTGTTCTCTCTGGTGATGGGCAGGTCAGCGTCATCGTAGCCATGATCTATGAGGTGGAATATCCGGTCCTGGAAGTTGATTTCTAATAGAACGAGATATAGCTTGCGCGCTCTTTCGAGAATCCAGTCGATGTAGGAATCGTCCGTCAGGCTTTTGCCAAAGGAGGGATATCGATCGAGGCGAGAGTGCAAAGCAGGATCAAGAGTCTTTAGGACGTAGTCACGCGAGACGGTGGCATCAACTCTCTCGTCTGGCCACCACCGGGACGTTATTTCAGGCATCTTGATGGCATCGCTGGGCAGGCGGATTTTGTTTTAACGTGCAGTTAAACTCTCTGGCCCATGCGCATCTTTTCAGAAGAAAAAGAGAAATGTCGCGTGGGAGAGAGGGATTGATGGCATATTATTATCCACGTTTTGTTCCCCTCCCCCTCGTCTCGTCTGCTCCCGACTGACCCTCTTCCCGGGCACCCTTGGTCAACATCGAGTATGCACGCCACGATCTCCACCATGCGACCTTTATCGCAGGCCAACATGCTGTGTGGTATTTGGCATATGGCAGGGATGGCAATGAAACCTCGCTGACCCTTGGCCACCTTTTGCCCAATCCCAACCCGCAATCGCCCGCTAGCGGAACGAGGGAGATCCCTGATCGCGACTCGAGCCAACCCCCCCGCCGACGCCATCTTCCCCACGATTCTTCGTCGCTTCTCGAACACTGCTGGAACGATTGGGCCAAGGCACGAAGGAGTGATCGCTGCGTATCTGGGGAGAGGCGCCTTGGCTGTAGAGATGGTGGTGATACGGCATCTCATCACCCAAGAAAGTTTAGGCCATGAAACACGCTACACATTTTGAACACGACGCAGAGCCAGACACGGCGAACCGAGAAGCAGATTGAAGAAAACCATTTTGATCCGGCACACTGGACTGTCTCACGGCGTTGTTACATTGCGTTCTTCGCGGACAAGCTACAAATAGTTAGTCGTATAACGGCTTTCTCCTCGTCGAAGAACCGGAACATAATACTGTGAATGGAAGAGAGAACATTCCCGTCTCTCAATCAACGCTAAAATCCATAAATGTGAGCGCAAGCACGAGCTGATCACGTTTCCGGCTGACCTCGCTGTCGCGACGGGCCCAAGCCGAGATCTTATTCATTAATAATAAGCCAGCCAGCCAAGGCTTCTTGACTGCGCGCTATGCGACCTCGTCCGCAAAGCGGAGTAGGGCTGACGTTAACACACCAGACACCCGGCAATTCAGAACGTCTTTCTGGGTAGATGTGAAGGGGGTTGAGTTTTGGACCAGCATAACGGGACGAGTGAGTGCACAAGCTTGCGTTGGTCATGGTTTTCTATCACGATGGGAAATTTAGGCCACCTGGCCGGGAAATTAAGTTACGGCACCAGTGTGGGACGATCCTCTGTGCAGCGAACGGGCCCGTATTCTCCAGGCGCCAGACCTTGGCCGTCGAGCGAATAAGGTGGAGTG